CACTCGGGAATGCTGGCACCGGTGCGGAGACGCTTGCGGAGCTCAGTTCCGGAGATGTTGAGGGTCTTGACACCCTCTGGAACCTGGTCGTGTGGGCGGTACTCATCGGTGTCGGGGAGGTAGGTGAGCATCTGGAATTCGACAACCTCGATACCGAGCTCATCACGGTACTTCTCAACGAGGTGCTGGGCGTCGTATGGGCCGTACATCTCCTGACCGGCAGAGTTCTTTCCTGGACCAGCGTGGTCACGGCCGACGATGAAGTGAGTGCATCCGTGGTTCTTACGGATGATAGCGTGCCAAAGAGCCTCACGGGGACCACCCATTCTCATGGCAAGGGGCAAGAGACCGAGAGCGGCCATACCGTTGGGGTAACGGGGGAGAAGAGCCTCGTAGACACGGACACGGGTGAAGTGATCAATGTCACCAGGCTTGGTGAGACCAACAGTTGGGTGGATGAGAACGTTGGCCTGACGGGCACGAGCAGCGCGAACAGTCAATTCACGGTGAGCTCTGTGCATGGGGTTACGGGTCTGGAAAGCAACAACCTTGGTCCAGCCAAGCTTGTCGAAGTGAGCACGGAGCTCAGCAGGGGTGACTATTCTATTGTTAGCTCTCTATTACTCAAAGAGAGAGAGAGAAACAGGTTCGCTTACATCGAAGACCGACATAGTCGTAGTGGTTGAGCTTGTTGACGGCCTCGAGCTTTCCACCAACGTAGAACTCCTTGGTGGTGTTTTGGAGGTAGACGATGGCAGGGTGCTCTGGGTCTCCACCGAAGACGAGCTCACCTTCCTTCTTCCTGTTGCAGGGGTTAGCAGGGATGTCAATAGGACGACGGACGGGAAATTAACGTACTTGTCTGGCCTGTAGACATCCTCGACGGTGATGATGGCAATGTTGTTCTCGTCACGGAAATCACGGAGGGTGATACGAGCACCAGGCTTGATACCCTTCTCCTCGATGGCCTCCTTGGTGACATCGAGGTTGATTGGCATGGGGAAGAGGTTTCCATCAACGAGGCGGGACTCAGCGCAGACACTACATGGAATTGGTCAGTAACTGTGTCCTGAAAGTCTATGGCCCGGAATGCCACCTACCCATCGTAGTCCTTCTCGTTCATGAAGCCCTCCAGGGGAGAGAAGCCACCGTTGAGGATGAGCTCGAGATCACAGATCTGACGCTCAGTAAGGGTGATGGCAGGGAGGGTCTCGGCTTCAGCAACGAGCTCATCGTGACGGGGGAGGTCTCTGGCGAAGAGGTCCTTGAGGACACCACCATGAGGAGGGTTAGACATGATGAAGGGATTAGATTAGATGGTTTCTTTTTGGAAAGGGAATGAAAGCGGGAGGAGTGGAGAGAGTAAGATGAGGTCGATTGCTGAAGGAGGAGGCGATGCAGAGAAGAAGAGAGGATTTGGAAGAAAAAGGCGGAGGAGGAGGCCGTATTTATGAAGACTGAGAGGTCGAAAAGGCCAGCGAGATGCACCAGAGAGGAGAGAGAGGGCAAGCCGGAGATGCCAAAGGGAGTCCAGAAATGTAAAACGCTGGTAGCCGGGACCCATGGGCGATCCACCATGTATCTGATACTTCATCTCCCAACCATATATGGCCCAAAGCGGAAGTATCGGGTACTTTCTGGTCTCGCCCTGACGTCAAGACAAACGCCCTCCCCGATAAAACGAGCAGGCCCGCCCTTAGGTCAGCCACGGATGGCGTGCTCTGCCAGGCCTTGGCGCGCGGTCTTTCTGCCGTTTCATGCTCACCGACTGCTCGTTCTATCGTGCTCACGGGGTCTCTCGGGCTTTTCAGTATCAAATTGTCAGCGTCAGCGCGGAGATTTTACTCCCACCATAGCAGCAAAATATCTCACTCCAACTCTTCTGCTTCACCTTGTTGGCTGCTCCGCTGGAGCGTCGAGGGGGTGATTGATCCCGATCGGGAACCAGGTGCAGCGACTGCGGTATCAGAGTGGCAGCCTCAAGTGTCAACAAGCCTGTCCTTCCAGGGGGGGGTACATCGGTTTCAAAACCTCTGGTTCTGGATCGTATTCGAGCCTCTTTGATTATTCAGATATCCATGCATATCTCTTTTCCGCACCCCCCTCACCACAAACTAGCTCATGCACCCAGCCCTGTTCCTCTCCTCGCTCAACGGCGGCTTGACTGTCCCTCTCTGCCCTTCTTGTCTGGCAATTCATCGGGCCGACATCCTATTTCTTGTTCGTAGCATATAGCTGATACACTTTTTACTGCTTGTTTCGGTTCAAGGGTTGGCGATGCGCGTTCTGCTCTGGTGGATACATATGTATAAACCAAGGTAGGCTATAAGATTAATTTGCGTTTCATCTGCGCTATAACTCTGGCGATTTCATTGCAAGGCCATCGGTATTATTTTCGTCGAGCTCCGTAGTTTCCGTGTAAGGGTCCTGTTCTGTTCGAGTTCACTGGCTGTACTCGGCCCGGATCGTGGAACACGGCGAGATCCTCGTCGTTTCTTCTTTTCTTTTTTCTTTTCTTTTTGCACATCCTTCTTGTATTTGCTTTTTCTTTCCCCTTGCTCTCCTGTCATTGCTTTTGATGCGAACCAGTGGCGGTCGGGAGTGCAACAAGGTCGTGTAAATCATTCTCGGATGAACTGGTTGACATTCGGGATCCGCCTGTTACATGCAGAAACGTTAAAGAGCTTCCAGAGGAGATGCATTCTCGCTTCGTAGTCCGGACTCCGTATACCAGTTGCACCCTCATTGGCCTGATTCAAGCTGGTCTGTTCAAGATCTATTAATGGCCTCTTTGTTATCATGGAGGCTTTGCAACACTCCCCCCGTATACGAGCAGTTGCAAAACGGGTAGTCCCCTGTTGAAGAGCACATTAGAGCTCGTGTTTCATACGGGTCTACCGTGCTCTGCAAGCTGGTCCTTGGCTTATCTACTATGTACAGGCTCTCCCTCGTAAGCCGACACAGATCGATACGATGCCCTCCTATAGACAGGGGGAGGAGGGCCCTCGATTTGCGTATCGTATCGAGACAAGCCCACTATATCTCCACACATGTAGACAATCTTACATCATCAGATGAGCTCCTCTGGGGCAGTCGAAGCAGTCAACTCGATCTACTCTGCGCCATTGACGTCGATGAGAGGCGAGTTTCCCCTGCTAGGAGGTTGAGCATCGTCCAGAATATCACTGTCGGTGTGCAGCTTTCACCGCAGAGGCATCTCAGGCAGCCGGAATGGCTCCAACTGCGCGGAAGAAACAGCCCACCAAACCCCGCAATCCAGCTTCGAAGCTGTATGAATCTTCAGAGACCAATTGAGACATGAAGCCATGTTCGAATGACACCCTATACCAGGTATCAAGATCGAACGGTCGACATTGACTTGAGCTGGTGAGTTGATGGGAGATGTTGCGGTGAGCAGCTAAGTTAACGCGACCCGGCGGTTAGCTGACTTTGCTCGCTTCGTTTTGCCTCCCAGGTGGATGCCGATAGAAAGGCCTGAACGCCTTCAGAGGGATGATGTCAAGAGATCTTCTGGATTGTCCTTGAAGTCGGCAGTTCTCGTGGATCGTAAAGGATCAATTTGCGGTGTGATGTTTATTCAGACGACAGACAACGACAGACGGCAGACGGCAGACAACAGAGACAACAACACCAACGAACCGTTTCGAAATGCGAGACCAAGTCGAGGATGAGTGACACCCGAAGGAGTTGCAACGTCGATAAGAGAAGAAAAAACCACGTATCAGCCTTCGTCACCATTTACCAGATACGGCCATTTTAGCGACAAGATGCATCGCAGAGTCTAGCAGCTCGGATTCCTCTCTTTGTAAAAAAGGAGAAGAAAAAGACCAGACATGATCCAGAGCTATTTGCAGCACCGGTGACAGGCCGGGGAAGTTGTTGCATCCGCTTATTGATTCGCATTTTGACTGGTTCCGGGACGTCGACGGCAGGCTGGGTTACGTATCCTCAGCCCTGCTCAGCCTCTCCCGGCTCTCAGCTCCAGGCACCGCTGTTTTTCTTTTCTGCTCTTCCTACAGAATCGACGGTGACGAGTGGAACTCGAGGAAATAGTCTATTATCGATGGATCGGGCGGTGGCCGGATGGGGGAATGCTCTTCAGTCCTTTGGGCAGATGTGCGTGTGGCTGTACTGTTGCTTTGCAATTAAGGCTGTCGTATACGGAGATCTGGCATGAGATCTGATACTGGAGCCAGATCTCTTGGTGAAGTCTTATTTAGGTAGATGGTGAGCCAGGCCAGTATCTCAGAAGGACGCTCTATAATGTAGACCGGCTAACATAAGTAGCTATATACATAGTACTCCATCTTTAGATATCAAAATCTATCAAGTACAAAATACGTATACTTGGATAATAAATCTACATATCGAGTACAAAACTACAGTACGTAATATTTGGTAGATATCAATATTAGATAAAACTCGAGATCTCCGGCTCCGGTCCGAGCAGATCGATCAACAGACGCTGCATCCGTACATCTAATGTCGGAGTTTTCAACCGTTACCATGTTATAACGCCACGCTATGTCATATGCTGTCATATCAGCAAGGAACGCGCATGGCCTCGCATGTGTATATATATACATATATGCATATATACTAATCAGGCATATACTCTGCAATATGCGATTATATGTATCAAATATTAGAACGTGCAGATACCCATCACCTCCCTGCAGCTGACATGGAACATCTTTCGAAGACAATCGAACAATCGCCGAAGCATTCGGATATAGTAAGCTTCGATGATCATCTGGGGCTCATCATGGGCTCTGCAACAAGGGTAATCCGTGATCGATAAGAGGGGGATGGGGGGAAGGGCGTGTGTTCGGGCATGAAGTCGATCATATCTGTCGGATATCACGAGAACTGGTGAACCGAGCCAAGCAAGGAGTGGCCGGGTCAGGGGCAGGGTTATATATTATCTCTCTGTGTGTTTTTACCCTTGGGGGGGTCTAAGTATATTAGTCTTAGGTGCATATTTCATGATATATGTATGAACGGAGCGCTGAAGCATCGTAGCGGCGTGGCGGCCGGCACAGAAGTGCAAAAGGTTTGCTAGGCCTGAACCTGAACCAGACTAAAGTATTGAACTTGACTGAACCTGACATGAACCTGGGGAACCCTGGGGGTTGATATAGACGCCAAGGCCCTCTAGGGTTTGGAAGTTGATGTTCAATTTGCTTTTCTATACCCGGGACGCCCGTAATCTCTGGTTGAAGCGTCATCAACAAGAAACTGGTCAAGAGCCAGCAGAAGACATATGGAAATCGTGGGAAAGAGGCAAAGGCATGGTCCGTGAGACAGCCCCGTAAGCTCGATGGATAGCTTTTGTGGAGAGCAAAGATGGATAGCTTGTTATAGCATACTATAACTGTTTAAGACGGACCCGAAGTTTGAGAGCAAGATGGCCAAAAATGGGGGGTGATCTTGGCTGGCGATCAATCAGCCTCAGGTTTCATGCTAAGTGGGAAGCGTTCCATGTCCAGAGATGTTCTTTTTATGGGGGTGTGGATAGCCGTTGGCAATGGCAAGGGCAGGAGATTCTCCGAAGATACCCTGAAGAGGTAGATGGACGAGAGACAACGAGGGCAGACAGGAAGAGACAGAGACAAGGGAGTCTTGCTGAGATGATGATATGTCATGGTATATCATCCGCCCATTATTACCACCCTCGCCACGTCTTGTCGCCTGTCCTTGCATATAATCATGGCTTCTATCGCCCCCATTATCTCGCTTCACCTTCATGCTCGAGCCGGTCAACCCTTGATAACGGCGAGAACTCTGATAACGAACACGCCGATAAGGCAAGCCAACGTCGCAGTTGCATAAACCAGATATGTAAAATAAAGTCGACATGGCAGACCCCCTAATCCCTGGTGGAATGCATGTTAGAGCGAGAAGAAAGTGTCAAAAACCGTGAGTAAGCGGCAAGACTTCTAACTTCATAGAGAAGGTCAACGCTCATCAGATAAAATAATCTCCAAGAGTATAAAAGAGAGTAAAAAACAGAGTTGAAATATTTGATGGACTGTGGGTTATTATTTTTGCAGGTTGAGTGGGCCAGCAGACCCGGTCGAACCTGGAGTGAGTTCGTGAAGCAAATTACATAGTAAGATGCTTCCTCTGGCCTGTTGAGGATGACCATCAGGGTTCGTGTGTGAGAGCATGGGATCGGACTGCAGCTTTGGTCGGCATGCCATATACGGGACAGGAAGGATACGGAGTCTCTGGGGGAATACGGTATGAGCGGGTGTTTGGGAGATTATGCTGTTATACTTAGATGAACCACGGGAGGACAGAGAAACCCCACGGGAGGCAAAGACACTCCCGGTATCTGGCACATCCCCCTATACACGACGAAACATATCAGGCCCCGTCCCGTTAGATGTCGGTATACTTCATATATACTGTGTATATGTATTCCAACGAGCAGAAGAAGAGGTTAAGTGTCAGATATGGAGATCAACAGGAGACCACAAGGAAGTGCTAATCTCCGCACGCTCCAAGGGTTGGTGCATCAGTGATCTTCAGTGAAGAGAGAGAGAGAGACAAGGTAAGACCTTCTGGAAATGTTCGAAAGGAAAGATGGGTTCGTGTTTCGCTTGTTTCGATGTTGGGCTGGTTGCTCTGTAGGGGCGAGAGAGAATGGGCCCAGGGTAATGGAATATAGGACATGGATCATGGGTTAAGGGAACCCAGGACAGGCGTGGTCTTGCTAGTGTATTGGGGCCACGAGATGATAGAGAGACAGGTTAGAGAGCCAGAGGAGATCCATGCAGGTTCATCAAGGTTATGCAGATAGATGGACGATCATCCGAGACTAAGCATTGCCACAAGAGACAGGCCTGGCAGCATAGCCAGCATAGCCCGACGTCAAATACTTTATTCCCCTAGTCGGTTGGGTTCGTATTATAGACGGGTGGCCTAGGTCGAGGTTTGCGAAAGAAGGGCCCCTTGAGGAGGTTGTCCGTACAGGAAGTCGAAGAAGCTTGATATCCACCAGGCGAAATCCTGCCAGGGAGGATTACGAAGATTAGTTCGTGTCGATATATCGAGCTCCTCCACATGAAACGAACCGTCTCTTGTCTCTTCTCCCTCGTCTTGGACCTTGGTTCCTCGTCAGTGGGGATCGTGAGAATGGAGAATGGGTTGAAACCTCATCGGCTCCATACGTCAAGGCCTGTCAAGCCTGGCAAGCCCGTCTGCCCGTCGAGGCTCCATGTTCCATCTCCATCTTGATTCTCCTTCTTCTCCCCTGGCTGACGCGGGGTGCAGGAAGGAATGCCCAGACGAACAGTGTCCTTGACATGATATCTCGACATCCACTATGGACTGCCACCCTGATAAGAGTTACCCATGCCAAACGCCCGATGGAATCATTGCCAGGCCAAATGGAAATACCAAGCGAACATGCAGGCTAAGCATCTGCCCAGCCAGGCAGCCAGTCCATCTGTCGGTCCGTCCTTCGCTCAGCTGGGGTGTCTTGTCCATCTCTCCAGAGGGAGGCCGAAGAATGCGGTCCACAAGGGATGCCGAGTGAACTGCAAAAAAAAGTATAGAAGAACCTGTGAAATTTGAACAGCAGGGCCAAGCTCTGGGCGCATCAGGCACGATAGCACGATCCTCGTCTACTGGACTGTCCAGATACGAGGCAGACGTGGGTGCTGGTGGTTCTCGACGTCTGTTGACTGCAACGAGCGTTTTGACCGATGGAGAAGAAGCAGCATCAGCATCAGCAGGGCGAGAACGAAAAAGACAGAGAAGAAGAATGGGTTACATCCGCAACGTCTCTTGATGCTATTTTAATATCTTAATCTTTTCTTTTTGCGAGTTCGGATTCGTGGATGAACTGCGATACGAGTCGTTCGCCTTCGCCCATGTTACGTTGCAGGAGGAATCTGTATATAGACGAAGATGCTATAGACAAGAAGACGACGGGCTTCGCCTCGTCCGTATACAAGAAAGACACGCAGCACCAAGTCTGTTCCTCGCTCTTTAGCTACGTCGATCGATGAGTCTGTCAAGAGTCAGAGCTTCTCTTCTTTTTTTCTTCTTCTTCTCTTCATCCTCTAATGTTTTCTTTTTCGCCTTTGCTGGTGGTTTATTTGCAGAGCCCCCTATTCGCCCCCGATCAGCAATGGGAAATATAAAAAGATCCCATGTGTGAGACACGGCCAATCGAACTTGGACTGGAGCCTTGGGAAGAGTCGAATAGGATTAATAAAGTAAAAAAGACGAAGGCCTGCATGGCGCAGGTCGACTGTGACTGTGATATACGAAACATTCTCTATATGTATACAGGTAAACATTTAATAGCATTGCTTATAATTACTAATTTGACGTCTGGAACATCTCATATCATATTTCATTTCGTTCAGCTGTCACTTGCTGCCCGACGTGTGGGATAATTTCAGAGGTGCGTATAAAGGATGGACTATACAACAGGGATACAGGGGATGGCATCCTTCAGCTCGAGTCATCCTCATATACTCATAAAAGATAGACAGAAGAACTTCCTGTAGAACGTCTGCGATGCTGATCTGTACAACGAGGAATGCTTGATTGATCGTCCGCAGAAGGCTTGTAGGAAGCTCTGTGTCACTGCTCAACGGCAACGACGGCATCAATCAGCCTCAAGGCGGAATAGTTGTAGAAGAAAAAGCACAGAGATGAAACCAGTTTGTCAGTGGTTTGTAATATATTAAAATTTTCACCTTTTCCTCATTTAGGAATCTGTTTTACAAGTCTGTGCAAGATGAGTTTATTTTATAATGCTTTTCCATTGGAGGATTAAGGAACATTCTAAGTATGTAGGTGGTAATAAAATATGTAAGAAGCATCGCCGATTCCAGACAGGCGAAGGAAACACCGAGAAAAAGGAAGGAAAAAAAAATCACAGAAATCTTTAACGCCAAAACACAGTGTATCGTAGATGTAAAGAGACGAATGGGGGAATATGAACATGAAGTGAATAATATGCAAGAATGAAGTAGCGTCAAAAAGGAAAAGAGAAAGAAACAGGATTAGACGGAGATGTGGAGGGCCTGGTTGATGACCTCCTCCTGCTTCTTTCGCTCCTGTTCCATGAGGAACTGGGCGTACTTGGATCGGGGGTTGTGGATGCCGCACTCGGTCTTGGCCTGGCCCTTCCATCGGCCGGAACGCTCGTCCTCACCCTGGGCAACGGGCTGGGTGGAGTGCCAGTCACCGACGGACTTGTAGCCCCGGTCGAGAAGGGCGTTGTATCGGAGGTTGCGGCGGTTGACGTATTCCTTGACCTGCTCGAAGGTCCAGTTGGCCAGGGGGTTGATCTTGATGAGACCGGCCTCGTCGACCTCGATGATGTTCATGTTTCCGCGCTTAGCGCCCTGGCTGCGGCGGCGCCCGGTGAGCATGGCGGTGACACCGAGCTCGCGGTAGGCGCGCTGAGCAGGCTCAACCTTGGCCAGCCAGTCGTAGAGCTCGTCGTTGGTCTCCCAGAGCTTCTCGCCGTGCTTGGCGGCAAACTCGGCAGCGTTGGAGCAGCCCGCCGGACCGTAGATGTGGAGGTTGAGGTGGGGGTAGTCCTTTTGGATACCGTCACGGAGATCGATGGTCTCCTGGAAGTGGTGCAGGGTGTCGAAGAAGATGAGGTCTACCTGCTGGTGGCGGGGGATGTCAAGCTTGGAGAGCATGTCCAGGATGACGAGGCCAGTGAGACCGAAAGAGGTCGACTGGAACAGACCAGGCAGAGAAGTCACACACCACTTGAGGATGTCTATATAAACGTTAGTATAATCTCTCTAATTTTCATACAGTTAAGATGATACATACCCTGTGGCTCGAGGAACTGGAGTCTCTGGTTGAGGAATTGAAGGTGCTGCTTGGTGAAGATGAGCTCCGGGATGGGTTCTTCGTTGGCAACGGCAGATCCGGAGCCGCTGGCGTATCCAGACTCGAGTTCCTTCTCCTTTGCATCCTCAACTGGAGCTGGGGCGGTTGGCTTCTCGAAGATCTCGTCAGCAGAGACGACCGGAGCTGAGACCGGCTCAGCAGCAACATCGTTGACCTCCTCGACGGTGGCTGGAGCAGTCTCGACAACCGGAGCCGTCTCGACAACGGTGACCTCGACCGGGCCGTCAACGACAGCGGCGGGAGCGTCAACTGGAGCAGCGACTGGCTCCTGGACGGGGGCAGAGAAGCCCTCGACAACCTTGGTGACGACGATCTCGTCAACGGGCTCGTTGGAGTGGACTGAAGCAGGCATGGTGATGAATTGGTATGTGTATAGTAGTGTAGGTATGAAAGCAAACGAGATCAGCCAGACTAGCTGTTGCTGAAGGGATATAATGATCAAGAAGAAGTCGAGAGAGAGGAGAGTGTCTTGGTCTGGTCGTTAAAGCTGCTTTTGCTGGTCGTTGATGATGGAGAGAGAAGAGAGAGAAAAAGTAGGATCCAGATGGAGGAGAAGACCCGTCCTATATAGTCGAAGGCTCTGGTTTTTGATACGAAGCGGAAGTTCGAAAGTGACGAAACGAAGGGGAGACGAAACCTAGTCAAGTCCCCATACCCTAGCCTGTCTCTTTCTGTCACTCTCTCTCACTCGCTCTGTCTTCTTTCTTTTTGCGGGACAAGATGAAGGACCATCGGCTCGCCGTGGGCTCTCTTTTGCATCTTCATTTTTGCAAAGAGCTTCGTCGTTCTCCTTGTGTTTCCGGGTCCAGGGGGCGGATGGGATCATGCCTGCTGCATATCACGCAATCCACATAAGAGACTTCAGCGCTAGACCAGGGCAGTTTTTCCCGTCGTTGCTTTTTTCTGGAGGTTCGTTTTTTCTTAATTTGCAAAAAGGATCCTGAGTCAGCCAGAGATAGAACTGCTATTCATAGAAAATGTGGTTCGTGGTTCGTGGTTTGTGGTTGACCGGTCAAAGGTCCACGGCTGAAAGGTACATCAGCCACGAAGGATCCGGGAGTGCTAGCAGTGTCGAAGCAGTGCAGGCAGAGGGCAGAGCAAGTGTCAAAAGGCCCCATATTGGCCATAGTGGCGCTCGTGTTGGGCTAACGACGGTCCTGTAACGTCCATCCATGTCTGCCATCTTCTTCTCCTTGCTGGGTGTTTCTTCTGTTTCTTCTTCTGCGTCTTTCTGCGTCTTCTCTCATCCATGTCGTTGTCGTTCGTTATTTTTTTCTTTTTCTTTCTTTTTCTGCCACTTCTCACCGGCGTTGGCCGAGGCTCAAAGTTAGATGGGTCACATGATAGAGTTATAACACATAGCTTAGGTAAGAAAGGATTCACTTACATAATCGATCACTTACCTAAGCCGATCACCTCCTTCGGTATTTTCTTTTTTTTTTTTTCCTTTTTTTTTTCTTTTTTTTTCTCTCTCTTCTCTTTTTCATGTCCTTCTTTGCGATGGCTTCATGTTTTGCGACAGACCTGACACTGCAGATACGGATATCCCAGGCGAAACAGGCGAACGCTTGCCTTGTTGCATGTTTTGCGGCTAGTTGGGGGCTCTCTCAGCTTGGAACTTGAACCTGCAACATTGATCGCTGTCCGCTGCCTCTTTTAGTCCTTTGCCCCGAACGACCCCTTTCCCATATATCGAGCCCGAGCGAGAGATATAGATAGACATTCGAGGCAAAAAAAAGATAGGGAAAAGGATGTCAGAGAGAGCTCCTCGTGGCACCCGCCCCAGTCTCCGCCATGGCTCCCTCTCGTACTCGTTCATCCACGATCACCAGCAGTACAAACCTGCAGCCTCCCCGCCCTCCTACCAGCCGGAGCTTGGCGCCTCCATCTCGGGGACCCTGGAAGATCCCAAGGTCAAGGAGAGTGGCATAGTACACTCGCTCTTCGGTGATGCTCTTGCCGCTCTGCCTGCAGATACGCCCAAATTGGTTGCAACCATCTTCTATGCCGGTCCATCTGCCTCCCACCACAACAGCTCCTCTTCGGCTGATCTGCCCAGGGCAGTTGATCCGCTCGAGCCGGCCGCTCCCTCGCTGCCTCTCGATGCCCTGTACGGCTGTCATGTCTCCCAGCTCTGTCTGACCAGCTTCATTCAGACCGTCGAGGGCCTCTCGCACCCGTACAGGCGCATGTCCAGCTCCCACAGATGTCTCGACAGGCAGGACAGCCCGCGCGTGGTCGAGGTCACCATCACTCCGCCCCCGAATGGTGACTATCTCTCCTTTGATGAGCTGCGCAAGCATGAGAGCATCTGGCGGTTTGAGCGGGCGTGGAACGTCGAGGTCGTCCTGCAGATGGAGAGCGTCTGGAGGCGCTACAAGCGTCTCGCAGTCTTCGACATGGACAGCACCCTCATCCAGCAAGAGGTCATCGACGAGATCGCCAGGGTCACCGGTGTCGAGAAGGAGGTCTCCGTACGTCTCTCCTGATAGGGGCCGGCAGCTTAACCCTTCTTTTGTGCCTATTCCTATAATATATATTTTATACCTGCCTATAAATACAGGCTAATCGTCACTAGGAAATAACGGCCCGTGCTATGAACGGCGAGCTCGACTTTGAGGCTTCTCTCAAGGCTAGAGTGGCCCTGCTCAAGGGAACGCCCGCAGACGTGTTTGACCGGGTAAAGTCCGTTATCACTATCTCGCCGGGAGCGCTAGAGCTCTGCACCGCGCTCAAGAAACTCGGATACAAAACCGCCGTTCTCAGTGGTGGATTTCAGCCACTCGCTGACTTCCTCGCCGATCAACTGGGCTTGGACTATGCTGTTGCAAATCATGTACATCACCCGCTCTTCTCACGTTGTTTTTCCCCCTTTTGTTTTTTCACCAAACATAAACTTGCATCGGTACCTGCATGTTTTGCTAATTAATGTCCAGCTCGTAATCGATGAAACCACTCAGACACTCACTGGCACCCTCTCGCCGGACCATCCAATCGTAGACGCTAAGCAGAAACGCTCGCTGCTTCGCGCGCTTGCCGCAAAGAACGGCATAGATATTTCTCAAACACTAGCGGTAGGTGACGGTGCTAACGACCTGCTTATGCTAAAGGAGGCGGGGTTGGGAGTCGCATGGCGAGCAAAGAGCATGGTGCAGTTGGAAGCGCCGACAAAACTGAACGGAGAGTCTCTCTTGGATATCTTGTATCTTCTCGGTTTGAGCGAAGAGGAGGCTAGCACGTTGATCGTGAGCTCTCCCGTTGACGAACTGTCGATGAAGGGATTGACCATAACGGAGCGGTCCTCGTAAAAAAATTTCTGTTGATATCCAAAACGTACATGCCAAAAATGTATATATCAAAGCTTTATTATACACACTCTCTCCGAACATTCTTACAAGAGAACGTCCTTTCCCTTCACGCTGTCTTCCACTGCGCCGCCGATTCTCTCCTTGGCTCTCTTCTTCAGTACGTTCTCGATGAACGCCTCTCCGGCCTTGTAACTACTTCTCACCAATGGTCCGCTGGCACAGTATAGGAAACCCATCTCCATCGCCTTCTCCTTCCACATGTCGAACACATCAGGCCTCACGTATTCGTGCACAGCCATATGTCGCTTCGTAGGTCTCATGTACTGTCCAAAAGTAACCACATCAACCTGCGAAGCACGCAGCTGCTTCAGCGCATCTAAAACTTGCTCCTTTGTCTCTCCCAGCCCCAGCATCAGACTCGTCTTCGTAATCAGCTCTGGGTTTGCTGCCTTGGCCCCCCGCAGAACAGAAAGCGATTGCTGAAAACTCGCCCGCCTGTCACGCACAAACGGCGTCAGAGCCTCGACTGTCTCGACGTTGTGCGCAAACACATCCATTCCCGACTCCGCCATGAGAGACACCATCTCCATATCACCAGAGAAATCACCCGTCAGGCACTCGACAAGAATATTCGGCGCCTTGCCTTTGATTCGTCGTACCGTCTCGGCAAAATGCCTCGCTCCCCCATCCACGAGATCATCCCTATCCACAGCAGTGAGAACGACGTAGCCGAGCCCCCATCTCGATAGGGCTTCAGCAGTGTTCTCCGGTTCATGCGGGTCAAGAGGTGGAGGGGTGCGGGAAGTCTTCACACTGCAGAATCGGCATCCTCGAGTACATGTGTCACCCATCAACATGATGGTAGCAGTCGCTGCGGCCTTTGAGCCCCCGCCCCAACATTCAGAGATGTTGGGACATCGAGCTTCCTCGCAGACCGTGTGCAGGTTTAGCCCTCTGAGATCGTTCTTTATCTTTTTATAAGACGAAGAGTCTGGAATTGGTGTCTTCAGCCATGACGGAAGACGTGTTATTTCTTTCTTTTTGCCGGCTGGTCCGACGAGGGCGGTTTTGAGGGCGTAAGCTTCGTCAGGTGAGAGAGGAGGTTCAGTTGCACCGCCTATAAAGTCAGAGAACGAGGGACCCTTGTTCAGCTTGTCTTTGAATGTTGTTGGGGTTCTTTTGGCAGTTGGCTTTGTCTCCGGAATGCTCGACTCTGGGCTGGTGGTTGCGTATGTCCTGGTGTTTGCTATGGACCTGAGTACTTGAGAGCTAGCCACGCGTATGCGGGCTGCAGAACAAACTGTAGTCGATGCCATAATGATATCTGTGCTATGTTGTTGGCGTTGTATATATCAGTATGTTCGGGAAAAGAAAAATCGGAGACGGGAAGTTGAAATGGAGTGGTTCTGATTGGCGGATTATATATTTTCCATTGAATGTTTCTCGAATAACAGGGCCAGGAACCGGAGGAAGCCCCGGAAAAGGTTGATAGCTCAATAAAGATATGTTTTACTGTTATATTCGAAGGTATACAAGTATCAACCTTGTCTCCTTCTCTAGCTTTGTCGTTGGAAGAAAAGAAGGAGGTTGAAAAAAAGTTGCGAAGAACTGATTGATAAGATCTAGATCTGATCTTATCAGCGGACCTGAGTTTCTCCGATTGAAGCATAAAATTTCCAAGCAAAAGAAAAAAAAGCTATCCGTGAGAACGGAACAACTACTCTACACCGGGCTCTCCACGCCGATATAACCCCATCTCCTCCTCCTGATGCTGTCCGAATCGTTTGTCGCATCGTTGCTGACATCAAATTCCACGCACTCAACCTCCTCCGCTCTCAAAGATGTCGGTATCTGCGTGCACGAGTTCAGGCCAAACCCGTCCATCCAGCTAGGGTTTAAGAAAAGCACTTTAGAACCCAATTGTTTGGCCGTGAATAAAGGGCATATTTTTGCGGCGCAGTCAGGAAAGGCTGTTGTGCATGTGTATAGCAGAGAGAGGAACAACCATGAAGCTACTGTGCCATTTCCAGAGAGAATACGAAGTATTGCTCTCGCGGGGGAGGGGATACTTGTTCTGGGGACCGAGGGGGGGAAGCTGATACTCTGGGAGGTATGTAGCTGTCCAGTTGAATCCTAGTATATACATTGTTGCTAATTTATGGGCAAGATATGCACCGGAAGACAAGTAATGACGCCTGCAACCCACCTACAACCTATCACATCCCTTGTCGTTGATCCGACCAATAACTTTATCCTATCCGGCTCAGAGGATTCCAGTGTACATGTCTGGTCTCTACCGGATCTCATATCCTTCTCCAAGCCATCGTCTGCGGATCAGAGCCTATCGGCATCGTACTCTCATTCTCCAATAAGAACCATCTCCAACCACACAACCGCAATCACCAGCATTGCAGTGGGACACAGCATAAACCGGTCGAATATTGCTATATCAACTTCTCAGGATGGAACGGCAATTGTCTGGGAATACCGAACAGGGAAAATCCTACATACCTACCTACTCCCCTCGCACCCACTATGTCTCACAGTCGACCCTGCAGACCGTGCATTTTATGTGGGCTACGAGGATGGCAGTGTTCAGTTGGTTGATTTTTTCAAAACTCCATCCGTACAACACATTCTTCACGATACAGACCATCAAACCACACCCAGCCAGCTACCAGTGGATGATAAATGGCTACCCCCATCTTCTGAGTTAGGTGCTACCCTTTGCTTGACACTGTCGTACGATGGAACAAGCCTTTTGACGGGTCACAGGAGCGGCGCCATCGCGTCTTGGGATGTCGGCCGAGCGAGATATGCAGCGTCAATCGCAAACCTAAACTCTCCTGTCACTAACCTGCATATGCTTGAACCCGAAGGCTTAGCTCAGAAAGCAAGCAGGATCGCCATACACCAAATTGTTAAACCGAGACTCGACCACGGCATGGCTCAGTCGTCAGATGCAGTCCCAGCTGCCTATCATGTCAACGTGCATTTAGATACGTCATATACCGAACCAGGCGTTCCTTCGTCCATATTGAAAGAATTCTCAGCTGCCTTGTCCCACCCAACCTTTCCCACTTCACTGATATCTGAAAGTCTCCTCGACCTTTATTCTCCATCCGAATATACCCCTACCAATAGTAAAGTCTCCGCCACTCATGTGGAAACTTCTCCTCAACCGGACAACAGGGCCCAGCTGGAATCACTGGAAGCAGAAATAAAATCTTTGAAAAAGCAACTCTCTATACAAAAAGCTACTCATCAATTAGACGTTGCAGAGATTATAAAATTGCGCGACTGCAATAACCAATTAGCAGACCTGAATAGTGAGTTACTCGATGAACAGCAGGCGGCTGACGATCGACGAGCTGAAACTCGATCGAAGATCCAGGACCGTAATCGGAGGAGGCGGGAAGCTTGGTTTGAAGCGGAGAAAAAGGGGCAGAACGGGGATAGGCTGATGAGGGACATGGAGCCCGAGGAAGGATCAGGGCTAGGTTCAAGCGACGATGAAATGTATGACTAAACCAGACCCCCAGAGTTCTTTGTATGAATTAGCATTTATTTGCAAAGAGGGTCTCGTAGACGGAGTTGGAGTAAGTACAAAACTAATGGGTAAACAATACCAACCTTTCCGTCGATTTTCATTCGATTTCTGAGCCGTCAATATCTAAAATATGTCATGAGATGTTAATTATCTGATTTTGTCTAAGTACTCAGAAATAGATGATGCATTAATATCAGGAACAAACCTCTCAGGATACGGACTTTCCGGTTCCCTTCCATGGCATACTCGATAGCTATTGAAGTATTGTAGAAGTTCGTTACGGTGACTGTTCTACGTTGTGGTAGGACGCTTCGACAAGTTGCAGTTTGTCCCAACCTCATATTTGCACCAAAACCCAAGCCGTATCTTAGACACATCATCACCTTAATTCTCTATGAGCACATCCAATATGGGCCATGATTCGATCCTGTGGCCTCGGATATGGGTTAGATATTTACTTCACTTGTTAAAACAAAAGTCCGTACCATGTTTCTTACTATGTAATTCAAGGCTCCCAAAACATCTTTATCCGGACACCATCCTGTGAATAGATTGCTAGCCTCACAGATGTAATGTAGAGCTATAACCATCGACAACCAATGTGAATGATTTTGATCTCCCTTCTCATTAACTTCATCACAGTCTAGTCACAGGCATTGTTAGTTAGAAAAGGGGTAAAAGACACACGTGATGGGGAAACCCTACTTTGTATACAAAAAGCCTGCGTCTTCTCACCAACAACACAGGGAGTCGATGCCAGGGGAATCCAAGGATTGCAGCAACGGTTGCAATATATGGAATACCTGGGGAAAGCCCGACACAGATGTCCATTATAGGTATTGGTGGTGTCTTCCTTTTCACAATAGCCTTCTTTGGAGGTGGTTTTCTCCTTCTTTTTGGCTTCAGCAGGAGGTTTCTGAAGATATGTCTCCTAGAGAGAAGAAGGGAATGTTATTGTCTTGCATAAATACCCCATAGGATATTACTTACAGCCATATCATATCCAGGTTGCTAACTCTGATGATCCCCCTCATCTTCTGGACTCCTGTTAGGTGTCTCACTGCCTGCCTGTTGAAGATATGCCATTTACTCACAGCGTTGGCAGGACTATCTTGTCTTTGACTAGAAAAATATCAGATCAACGACTAAGCAAGATGGAGCTTCACTCAATACATTAATGAGGAGTCATATATAGCTCCTCAGGAATCGAGAAGTGGGCTTCTTAGGTCCTCTTCCTTTACACACCATACCGAGTTATCAACTTTATCAAAATCTACACCGTTCCAAGTTACATATCGGTTTATTATACACACTTATCAAGGATAAAGACGTACCAGCGCTATAAATAACGTCTATAAACCTGGAGATCAGCTATTTCGGAGTCCATATCAAGGTACCCCTTATTGGAATATTCCTATACTCTTGCCCTATATCAAGAGGGGTAGAGAGAAAGAATTTATGAAAGACGGATACAAACCTCTACCGTCGGGATCTGCCATCTAGGTATAAATCAATCCGCCCTCGAGGAAAATATGAGCAGACCTACCAACGAAGTCACCATACAGAACTCTGCACTTCTCATAGCGTACGAAATTATTGCTACAAAGGGTGCCTATATACACCATACAGTGAAAATGTTCATCGTCCAGATACTCTTGGATATTGCTGTCTGGCTGCTAGGCTTTACTTCTGCACTCGTACCAGAAGAAGCAGCCCATGAAGGACACCCGCCCACAGAACGCGCTGAGATGTCAGATGCTCCTAATTTTGAACACCCTTTGCCATACGAAGGGGCCGAGGAGGACTTAGAGCCAGATACGCCGGAAAATATGACCTGGATTATGGACTATCCTTCACATCCCCCGCTATATTTTTCCTCCAGTACCTCATCTCAGAGCTCCTCCTCACAAGAGTCTTATTTAGAGATCATTTCGAGCCTCGAGGCCTTGTGGGATGACTGGGACCCACAGCCGGAGGAAATAGACTACCCTGATCGGCCAACTACTCCAGGCATCCTGGAAACTACTTTGGCAAACGACACAGGCTCGCTCTTTTCGCGTTCAGACACTGACGCCGAATCAAGCCAACCTATGTCACCCCGACCAGCCACCCTGGATAGCGAATACTACATCTTTAACCCAACAGGGGATCTAGAGATGAGTGATACTGGGTTATAGACACTGGGACACTCTTCATGATTAAATAATATTACCTTGGATATTCCTTTAGAAGAACTCTACTCTTTACCATTTTTACTGTTTTTCTTGTCATTTCATCATTACAAGATCTCCCTTGTGCGATTGATATTACCGCTTTGTTTTTGGATTTATTCCACTCTATTTCCTTAATGTAAGTAACATTTCCCCTCATTTGTTGAAGGATACACAAGGATAGAATGAGCCTTGGGAGGCTAGAAGACCAAATTGTTTTCGAAGATTCCGCTTAAACCCCTCCTAGTTGCTTGGCCAGCCAAGCACCTGTCCGTCCTGTAATTTGCCCTAAATAATGATAAAAGAAAGAAGTAAACGAGCGGAGCCCTTTGCTACCCCATTAGTAGCCGTCGACTTTTGTAGAATCAGTTTCCCCATTCGCACCACCCTGAGCCTCCTTGATGATATTCACACCGGCGCTGGCCCCGATCCTGGTCGCTCCAGCTTGGATCATCTTAACGCAATCTTCAGCAGTTCTAATTCCACCGCTGGCTTTGATTCCGACCGCGCCCTTTGAGCATGATTCCACGACCGCACGCATCAGAGCAACGGTTTCGACATTTGCACCGGCACCGTTGAAACCGGTACTGGTCTTGACGAAGTCTACGCTAGCTGCACAGGACAGAACGCATCCGGCAATTATCTCATCCCTGCTAAGCTGTGACGTTTCCAGGATGACCTTGAGTTTAATCTCCGGCCGTCTCTCCTTGGTGGCGGTCCTGATCATTATAACGGACTGGAAGGCGTCGCTATAACGTCCAGACTTGAGGAAAGGGTAGTTGATCACCATATCAAGCTCGGTAGCACCCTTCTCCAGAGCAGTCCTCGTCTCCGCAATCATCTCTGGGATGGGATGGGTGCCCTCGTGGAATCCAATGACGCATGCCACTTTGATACCCGTCCCCTGTAGGTTTTCGACTGCGCGTGAAACCCATTCAAGTCTAACACAGACTGCGGCGAAGCCGTATTGCTTGGCCTCGGCACACAATGCATCAATTTGATCCTGGGTAGCAGATGGAGCAAGAAGGGTATGGTCCATTGCTTTGGCAATGTCGGTAGGCGTAGGCTTAGGGTAAAGAGAGACGTCTATGGGGCCTGAGACGTTAGACTTTGCACGGTGTACAAGGGCTCTCCATTCCGGGTTTGTTCGTGATATCAGCTCCATCAACTCCACCGCTTCTTTGGACGGTTCAGCCATCCTGGATGGCTATGAGTCTGGAGTAGTAGCTAGATCAATTGGTGGCTTGTGTGGATGGGTGTAGTTAGGGAGGTGTTGGGAGTAGTGAAGAAAGAAAGTTGCTGGGAAAGAGGAAGGGAAATTTCCCCCACCTTTATTTTGGGTTTGTACGCCCCTCGAGAGGCTTATCACGTGACCTGTCAGGCTTGCGATAAGCTTCTTGAGGTTGTTTAAGCCGCCGACGTTTTGCCTTCGCAATCGCCGATGCTATCAAGATATTCCTTATTTCTTTCTTCTTCTTGCTGTTCTATCACTGCTGCTATATTGTATGAGAGGAGACACCGGACAGGTGTTTTCCGTGGTGGTTACGTTGTGCATCTTTTGTTGGGCTCAAGGGGTAAAAACTCAGCCGTTAGCTGCCTTTTAATCCGGAGCAACTTTATATATACCAGGCATATAACTTCAATTCATGGCTCGTTCTTGTTTTTAGGTGTCCTAAATCCACCTGTCTACCAATATATGTCAATCACTGACAACTACTGCATTCTGGACCACGGACGTCGTCCACCCTCCCAATTCGTTTCGAAGGGCCACCTCCACCTCCACCTCCACCTCTCCTGTCGTGATTGTTCCCGCCTCCTCCACCTCTGCCTACACCCCGGCCATTCCTATATCTAGGATCACGGTTTGCGGGATTCTTGATATTAAACTGAGAGGCCTCAGCCGCAGCATAAGGGGTAAACTAATAGACGTTTTAGCGATTGCCATGTTTTAAATCTACCGGCATATGAAACTTGAAGGACCAAAAGTGAACCATCGACCCATGGACTTGCGGTCAGAGTGGATGGGCGGTGAGACCACATACCGAGAATAGGCTGACAAAGTAAAGACCCAAGAACATGTATACCGCATGAAGAAAGCGGCGCGCCTTTGCTGAGAGCGGTGGACTAGATCGATGGCAACAGTCAGCTATCACATTTACTTTTCATTGGCATGATCAGGAAATGACTTATCAAAGGGTGTCTCTACCTCTCTAGTATGTGGCCGTCAGACACGTATGGCCTATTGAATAAAGACATATTGGTACACCAGTCTCTGGGACTTCTGCACTTTCTTCCAACCGCTTCCGCTTGCTACTTTGATATGAGCGGGACGAAGTCGCGGAGATGCCGTGTACACGCCTTCCTGGATGAATGAAGCTGCTGGATCAAATTAGTTATCTCGTCGATCTCTGGCGAGAATCAAAAAGTTGCGAGCTTTTGATGCGCCGCAAGAAGTCGATTTAGGTTTCTAGCGGTCTAGGCACCCATATTAGTAATATATTATATAAGCTTAAGTCACGTTACTTCTGTTCACTTTTGACTTTCAAACGGTCAAAGATTGTATCGAACGAATATCCCGAAATATGTACACGCTGAGGATGATTTTTTACATGTAATGCAGAAGACCGACGAATATTTAACCCGATAACCCAATAAAAGCCCATTATGGGCGCGATTATCCATCATGGATTCCTCCCAATGCCACAATAGTGTCAAGACTCAGGTCATCATTCAGACTGTCCAATGCCTTGAACCCATCCTCGATAGTCCACTTTTCATCCAGTTGATGGAGGACCTCGCAGCTTTTGCCTACTACCAGGAGACCCGGTGGCCTTGAACCTTCTTCTTGGACGGCCAGACAGACATGTTCCAATGTTGACCTTATCACCCTTTGGTCAGCGCAAGAGGCCCTTTCTACCACTGCACATGGCGTATCCTTGGGCCACAGATGCCTAAACGACGCTGTATCCCCTTTGTCGTCGCTGGAATAAGCTGTCATGGATTCGATCAATGATGGCAGTCGGTGCAATGCCATGAGGAATACCACCGTCTGGGTAGGTATATGACTCGGTGGGGAGGGAGCTACTCCGTGACGCCCTGTTCCAGTGCATATCAGAACTTGGTCTGCCACTCCTCTGTGGGTGGGTGGTATATCGGCAAACAAAGGTGCACTCAGAGCACTTGTTATTCCTGGGAGAACTATGGGCTCATAACCCTTCCCTCGGAAAAAGTAAAATTCCTCGGCCCCCCGTCCGTAGAGATACGGGTCCCCCTGTTTGAGCCGCAGGACGGTTCTACCTGCAGATAACCCTTCTGATGCCAGTTCCAACAGCTCCTCTTGGGCCTTGTCTGCGTTACCCGGAAACTTTCGTGCGATATGGACCTCTGTCCTCCTCGGGATGAGATCGAGAACGGCTGCTGGCACGAGTTTGTCGGACAGTATAAGGTCAGCCGTCTTGATTGCATGGTATGTTGCGCGTGTTAACAGATCAGGATGTCCCGGCCCTGAGCCTGCCAGTATAATTTTTCCCCTTCTCGACGATAGACTCGCACCGTTGCCGTTAGTGATCGGACGCTTTTGCGCCTCATATGCCTCCAGAACCTTCTCTACATCAGGCAAGGTTACACTGGCAAGTTGGCGAAGAGGCCAATATTCACATATCTGTGAAAGCCAGCGTATCCTCCTCGTCTTCGATATGGCTGTTTCATTGCCGACTACTAACGCGTTAAATGTGTGTTTTTGTCCCGTCGAATCGTCAGAGTCTTCCTCAAAATTATCCCTATCTACCTCTTCATCGATGGCATCCTCTGCCCAGATGCGTTTCTTTAGGACACCAAGATTGTCAACAGCAGCTCCAAGACCAGATGGAAGGAATGAGGCAATTTCTCGCCTTATTCGGGAAGCTAATGAGCCACTTTTACTCGATGTTGAAACCCCAATATGCAGTGGCCCATCTGAATACGTCGAGAGCAAAGTGAAGGAGCAAAGCTCAGGTGCATCCAACACGTTTACAGGTATCCGCAGCCGCCGGCATATCTCTGATATATGCTGAGCTATATAGCTTCGGATTAGCACTCTAAGCATGAACTTGGTCATATAGAGGAAAATATTTACTTAGGGGGTCTGTCTTTTCCAATGTCACAAACACGGCATCAACCACACGCCCTACCTCTTCTCGACCTAACGTGGAGAGGTCACTATCCTGGAAATCCCGCTGAATCCATTGGACTTGCCCAGCTTCAACTCTATCAGAAAGAGTCGATGGAAGCTTGTTTCCGGGAGGAGAAATAAGAATAGGAATTGCCCCTGCATCGAGACACTTGCTTGAACGTGCTGCGGCCAACGGATTAGACCCAACGATCAAATGGATATGGGATCTTGAATCTATCGCAGTCAGGAGTGGAATTCGCCTCCCGCAGCCAATGGGCGAATTCATCCTCGCCACCCTTTAAAACGGAGCGAGGTCCTCCCACCTAGGGATGTTAATTTCAAGCTGAATAGTGATCGGAAGCAGGTCTCGGAATATGTATCTCGATAATTTGAACAGTGTAACTGACGAGACCAACAGGCAAGAGAGTTGCAACCAGGGGCAAGGCCCAATAAAGAGACTGATGAATGGGTTATGTTTTGCTAACGAGTTCATAAAGCAAGGTAGTAAATGGTATTGGCTCTTGTAATTGAAGTTCGGAATAATACTCTCTCCCGGATTTGTGTCCAAATGTTCGAATATCAGTACCACGATCTATATGTCGACAAACTTATCCACAACTTATGCAGGGGTGTCAGGGAGACTGTATCAGGAGAGGAAGATAGATATAACAACCCACAAAAGGCTTCAGGCCTGCAGATGCCCAAATATCTGAGATGCTCTGGATGCTTCGGCCTTATATAAGTTCTTCTCTCGTACTTTTTCATTTATCTTCCAGCTCGATTGCGTGATTATTTCCGGAAGTGGGCAATGATAATCGCGCGTCTGTACGCTTAATATTACTAATACTCTTTTGCCGCTGTGATTATATCATCAACGCCAAGACTTAAACACCATGTTTGGTTTGATTGCTGAGAAAGGCGAAGCTGGAAGCCAAAGCAAACGAGGAGCTCTTCCAACAACCACGACCGGTTACCTGATATTCAGCCCCGACGAGAGGCGACATTCCTTCTTCGATCTCTTCGCTTCAAGTCTTGTCACTCCCTTAAACAGTTCAGCTGTGAAGATATCAGGTCAACGAGATATCCATCATGTCGGATGGCACGCTATTCAAGCCTGACAAGGACTTTACGAAGGATGTAGACCAGCAGATTCCCGAGGCCGAAGCGCTTGCCAAGGTATGCTGTATGCTCCATATGCCAGCTGGCCTGGTTACTAATGAATTACATTGATAGACAAACTTGCAAGGCGCAGTCGAGAAGCTCCTACTGCTAGAGAAACAAGCACGACAGGTACTGGATCTTTATATCTCATACTATACAAAGTTCAAGGATTAACTAAAGAAAATCAAGGCATCTGATCTCCCTTCCACATCGAGACTGCTGGTCGGCATCGTTACCATCTGCAAAAATGCGGGCGATTGGGAAGTTCTGAACGAGCAAGTCATTGCTCTCTCGAAGAAGCATGGCCAGCTCAAACAAGCGATAACAAAGATGGTTCAGGTGGTGATGGAGTACTTGGACCAGACACCAAGTCTGGAGGTTAAGCTGTCCTTGATCGAGACATTAAGAACAGTTACAGAGGGAAAGGTTGGCAAGGACCTTTTCGATATTGTTCTCTGAGAAGGATTTGCTGACAAGGCATTTGGTAGATTTTTGTTGAAGTTGAGAGGGCGCGAGTAACTCGCGCTTTGTCCAATATTAAGAAGAGCCAAGGAGATATCAATGCTGCTGCGGACATTCTTTGTGAGCTACAGGTTGAGACCTTTGGCTCGATGGCCCGAAGAGAGAAGACGGAATTCATCCTCGAACAGGTTGCGCTTTGCATTAAAAAGAAGGACTGGACACAGGCCAACATCCTCAGCCGCAAGATCACCACCAAGTTCTTTGCCCGGAAACCTAAGAGAACTCCAGAGCAAATCGAAAAAGATAATAAAGAGGCTGAGGAGAAGGAAAAGAAACGCAGCCCCGATGATCCACCAGTTGAGAAGCCAGAGGATGTCACAGATCTGAAACTTTTGTATTATGAACAGCAGATTATCCTTGCAAGCCACGAGAGCAAGTACCTTGAAGTTTGCAAGCATTACAGACAAGTTCTCGACACTGAGTCTGTTGAAGAAAACCCCGACCAACTGCGGGCGGTAAGTTAGTTCCATACTTTTTTATATTGTCCAAGGAAAAAACTAATTTAGCGCTATAGGTACTTCAACGAGTCATATACTATGCTATCCTCTCGCCGTTTGACAACGAGCAATCAGATCTCTTGCACCGTATCCAGACTGATACACGGAACTCCCTTGTTCCTGTGGAAGCTCGCCTGGTCAAACTCTTTACAATGAACGAATTAATGCGCTGGCCTATGGTTGCCGAACAATTTGGCCCCCATCTCTGCAGCACCGATGTGTTCGATGCTTCCACCAACCACACGGCCGACGACAAGCCATACCAACGCTGGCAAGATCTCCGAAAGCGTGTTATCGAACACAATGTTCGAGTCGTTGCCAAATACTACACTCGCATCGAGATGGGCCGGCTCACTGAGCTCCTCGATCTGGACGAGGAGGAAACTGAGAAATACATCAGTGACCTCGTTACATCGAAGACGATCTACGCTAAGATTGACCGCCCTGCCAGACTTGTCAACTTTGCCAAGCCACGCGATGCGGATGATGTTCTGAATGAATGGAGCAGCAACATGAAGAGTTTGCTTGGGTTGCTAGAGAGGATCGATCATTTGATTACCAAGGAGGAAATGATGGCTCGAATTCTTCCATCCAAGGGTGCAAGAAGACCAAAGGCACGTTGATAAATATCTTGTTAACAGAACACATTGACGTGTGCAACAAATAATACGCCTATAGACAGTCGCCTTTGCCCGATGGTACTTTCTACATGATATGTCAAAACCCATTCTTGTTTTGTAGATAGAAGGGTAATTAGTAGAATTACCAATGATCTATTCTGTTCTAAGTTGGTCCGTTATCATGTATACATCTAAGCACAAAGGTCTCATAACGCCTGTATGATTCTAAAATGGCACGTCCATACTTTCAACCCCGTCATCGCCATCCGTTTTATTACCATTACCCTTGCCGTTTATTCCCTCTAAATGTAGTCTGATAAACTGCACTGCGCCATCCAAATATGGCCTTTGACTAGGCAGAAAGTGACCGCCAGGATGCCACAAAACCCTACCATCTGACTCAGGGTCCCCGGCACAGGCCTCGATTAATTTTCTGCTCCTCGCCTCCTCCACAATCATGTCTAAAGTACCCAAAACATGTAACACGGGAGTCTGGATCTTAGGGTGTTCGTAAAATGCACGGTACCGGGTGCCGGGCGCAACGAAGCCGCCATAGCATATCGCAAACTTCATCGGTGGGTGCACTAAATTGGCGAATGAAGACGGGAAGGGGATTCCAGTCACCATCGTCTTGTCCGCTGTATCCTGCGGTGGGTTTTGCGGATTCTGTTGGCTCCCGCCTGAAACTTGCGAGGACAGCTCTTGCTGATTATTCGCCGGGTCTGACATGTAGCTGAATGCTTTACTTCGATCGGGCTCAAGCAGGCTGGCTACCATGGCTGCTAGACAGGCGCCCTGGGAAAATCCAATCACCCCGTCAAACGGCCCTTCATCGGCAAGCACACCAGCGACAGTGGCCAGGCCTTTCTCCATCCCAACATATTCAGGCGGATCAACGACGTCTGACCTGCGCCACCAAGCGAATGCTTCAGGCTGATCATCAGCTGCTGTGCCGCCATTACCTGAAGGCGTGTAGTTGGGTATATCAGACGGGCTCAATCCGATAGGCCCAGATGGGTATGACAGGGTGACAGAATATGCAGGGAGGTTTTTCTGTATGTGTTTCTCCAAGGCGCGGGATTTGGCATGGAACAGCGAGCCAGACTGAGTATATCCATGCAACATGAGGATTTTGAGCGGCTTTCCCGTTGATTTTGCCATTTCTGAGCTCGGTAGTCGGTATCCCCCGCCGACTAAGACGGTATTATTCCTTCAACAACTAAAAAATAATGTAAAAAAGGTAAGAAAATATCACAAATACTGTGTGCTTTATCATCTTCATATTGAAGTCGCGAAATCGACATCGAGCTACCGGAAGCCGGAGCATCTATTCTCCGAAATATACTTCTGGCCCGTCGATAAAAATACGAAAAAGAGCCATGGGAGGATCGAACACGGGGCAAAAAGCGAAGCCGTGACCTATTTATTTCCTTAATATATGATTATATGAATTTAGATCACGGTACAGGCTATGTTACTAGCCACTTCGCTGCTTAAAGTCACCCTTTTCTTCCTCTTGAACTACCCGAACAGCCGAAAAATCGCCAGACGAGGCTCTTGTCCACGTGACTAATCCAAGTCCACTTCAAGGTTGGGTCGATGACATAAGCAAGTATTTTTTTGGTTGTTTTGTTTCTTTGCATGTGAAAAAGAAGATCGAAAGAACATCCAGAACGTTAAGAGAGACGAGAAGTTGGCAAGATCAGACGCCCAACCGTCCCGTGTTGGAGTGCACCGGCAGCGAATAGCTGATGCCCAGAGCTATAGAGTTCCAGCAGAATGATCAGCGACCTCTCAGTGTTTATAGCGTTTTAGCGTCTGGGATATAGCGTTGGCTCTGGAGCAGAGAAGCTTAGTGGAGGAAGCTCTGGTTGAGAGATATCAAGCGTATAGGGTATGTTTTGTCCCATTAAAGAGCTATAGCAAAAGGATGTATGTTCTAACGGAGTCTCACAGGCCGCAGTCATGGAGAAGTACTCCCAGTTCCGAGATCGAGGTGCGCCTTGCTTCGACCTTAAATCCCATCGGAAGCGGCGTATAAGAGACACTGACTCGCGTGTATAGCTTCGGGAATCGCTCCATTCCTGCCTGTCGTGGGCCATTCGCCTACGATATCACTTCTGTTCCACACTTTTCTCTTTGTCGTGCGCTTCCCCCTCTTGATATCAGCCTGTATCTTCTACTTCTGCGTATTGCAGTGGCTTCCGATCGGGAGCCTGGGGAATAAAGTATCCCTGTGGACAATACTGGGTATCCCAGGAATATGGTGGGTGGACCTCCAGATTGAAGGAGTGAAGAGAGGGTGAGTTGGCTATATACCCGTCCCAGCTACATCTTATCTCGAACAACCGTTTTTTTATTAACACCAGCCATAGATCACTGGCCAAGCATCAGCACACTCGTCTCCCCGGGCCTGGAACGGTAATTGCTTCATCATTCACCAGTCCAGTTGATGTTCTCTATCTGGCTGCTATCTTCAACCCAATATTTACCGCCTCATACCCCTCCACGCAGAAGGTGAAGCAAATCTCCCTCCTGCAGGCAATCGCCCGGGCTTTTGCCCCGCCAGAACCAACGCCACCTCATGCCTCCAAAGCAGATCTAACTGATATATCAACTCTGATCAAACGATACCCAAACAGCTGTGTCGTCGTTTTCCCTGAATGCACCACCACCAACGGCAAGGGGATACTCGAACTCAGCCCTTCCCTCTGCTCGGTATCATCCTCTACAAGGATCTTCCCGGTTAATCTCCGCTACGAGCCGGCTGACATTACAACGCCGATTCCAGGGTCATATGTAAGGTTTATTTGGAATCTGCTAAGCAAGCCAACACACTTTATCCGGGTAAGGATTGCGGAGAGTGTCCAACGGGGAAGCGCTGTGGATGTGCCGTTACAGAGCTTGAGGGGTGATTCTGATGTAACCTTAGACCTTGACCAGCAGAAGTTACTGTTCCTGGTTGGAGACTCGCTTGCTAGATTAGGTCGGGTGAAGAGGGTTGGCCTGGGAGTTAGACAGAAACAGGAGTTTGTTAGAATGTGGGATAAAACTAGAAAGTGAATGGGAGCAAGTTAATTAGTTATTAATCATATTTCTACAGAAGCCTGAAAGTTCTTTATCAGTGAATTCCGCCTATTCGGCGTTGATTTTCTAGAATAAAGATATAAACGGAATACAGTAAGCCAGGACATAAAAGGCCCTTTTCAAACAACAGAGACAGTAACCACCCTTTCAGCATTGCAGGTACCAACAAAATAAGCCCCACAGGGATATCAAGTCAGACAATACTAAGTATCCATTTATTTCTTTCCACTAGGGGGCGTGTAGGTGGAGCTACCCTGGCCGTTGTTGTAGTAAGTACTGCCATTTGCGTTGCTATAGTAGTAAGATCCATCGCTATCAGAAGGCAATAAAAGGTCAGTATTCTCTCACATACGAGCCTAAGTCGCCACCTCGGATTATGTAGGGAGAGCCAGAAATACTTACGCGTTGGAGTAGTGGTAGGCGTTAGAATTGGCGGCGTAAGAGCCATAGTCACGGGCACAATAGTGGTTTCCCTATCTCTGGTCAACAGCACGCTCACGAACAACACATGAGTGACCAGTCCGTCAGCTTAACACGCCCTCGAAGGGCCTTTTGGCCGGCACGTAGAAGCATGCCGGACCAAGAACATCGCATGGCAGAGATCTGGCACATGTAGAGTCCCTCTCCCTTGCCAATGCGAAGACACAACTAGTTCTACTAGTGGTCGAATGGAGAATACACAAATATTCCTCCGTCTCCAATAAACCGAGCGTGGTAATTTGATATCAGGCATTATGGGTAGCACAAACCTGGCTGTTGGTTCCGGAGGACTTGTACGTGTAGCCTCCGCTGCCGCTAGACTTGTTTTCAGGCATCTTTGAAGGTGGTTGTTTAGTTGTTTCCCCGACGAAGAGTGTATGAGCTGTGCTTTGGCCGAACTTTGGCTGAACTTTGAGAGTAATGGGAACTGCCGGGAGAATCATCAAGACACAGAGGAGGGAGAGGAAGGGCATTTTATATCTCCATGTTTGCTTGTCTGCACCTCCGTTCGCCCCTTATCTAGACCACACTTTCCGCTCGACCCAAGATCCCCATATATTCTAAAACACGAGGAAGCCGTCTACCAATCCTCGGCAGGGACCGTTGGGCCATTGGGGGTCGGCAGCGTTGATAGTTCGTGCTAATGTGTTTAGTTGCCAATGGCATCGGGGTATCTGCGACATTTGCTCCAAGGAACATCCTATCGGCTGGAACTCTGTGGACTGGGCATTTTTGGCTATAACAAAGGAGAGAGATATTTTCTGGAGAGGTAGTATTCACAAATGCCGTGTGAAGTCCATATATCATAACTTAGGCCTGATATTGGCACCAGCGTCAGTAAACCTGCAGTTTGGATGCGACGTCTCGAGCTCACAAGTGTTGTAGTTACGACTAAATAGAGGCTCCATACCGTATAATGACAACACGGAGCACTATACTGGTGTTATTATCAATATCAATAGTCTTATTATCATTAAAATATGAGATGCTCCGTTGGATTTACTTTCCCCCTTTTTGGAAGTCGACAGGATATGTGTTAGGAACTTGGTGTATCGATGAGTAGTTATAGAGCAGATACGTAACAAGCAATGGAAATTCGAGAATGGCTTCAACTCCCAAAGTTTTCCTATTGGTTCTTTTTATATCTTCCCTATGTTGCCAAATCTCTATCTCGTGAATATCTGTTCTGGCTCCGTTTTACACCTAAAATCAATGTCTCATACATCGGTTTTAGCCTCATTAAGTAATCACACGCTAACCGTACCGGGATATCACGTGACTCACTCGTATTTTATTTAATCCGTTATCATGTGACTTAGGCGCGCTTCCAAGAGACGCGAAAAAAGTTGCAAAGTTCAAAATATCAACAATTGATGTCAAAATCAACAACACTGTTCAGTTAGCGCGTCTTCTTTCACCAATTGTGATATATTTACTTTCTTATGCTAGTTAAAGTCTATGATTATAGTTCTTCATAGCGTCAGATTGTGCAGACCAAAGTGCCATTTATTGGCCTATACCCTCCCGTTTGTCCATTCCTATTCATCAGTGACACGGCTGATACCGAGCTACTACATGATGAAAAGGATCTCAGTTGTATTAGCGGACCGCCTTTAAGCCGAAGACTTAAATGAGTGTTTGTCAGCATAATTGTTTTTCTCTTTTAGTGGGAAATCGGCTTGATATTCATTTTATACCAAGGACATTCAAAGTAGTCGTCCTTCTCCCTATATGTTATGACAAAAACATCAAGGACGTGTTATCCAACTACTTTATATCTTTAGCCTGCCGGAATTTGACAAAGCCAAAGAGAGAGAAGAACACCTTGGAATGTGGTCGAAGAGCCCGTTGCAGTATACAATCTTCGGATACTCCAACTTCTTTTGCCGGCCTCTGTGTTGCTAACAATCTCTGTATTAGCCTTTCTTCTGGAATTCACCAGGCCTCACTGCTATTTAAATGAAGTCAAGGTCCTCCATTAACTTGTCTTTTCTGTCACTCTCCTTTCGTTCTTTTCTTATCCGCCTACCTACCCTTCACTTACCTGCTCAGAGAAGGGGTGAGAGTCATTGTCTTATCTGTTACAACCGAGGATTTGCTACGTATCTAGAGAATACTCCACCGTTACGTGGGAATCCTTCTTCCTCCCTTCATGAGTGTCTTTCAAAGCTACGGAATACATGCCTATCCAATATCTCCCTACTGATAAAGTTGAAAGTCTGCACCCACTTTACTAACACCATGGAACCCGAATACGTTCAATCTGAGTGTCGGTTCCCAATTCTGCAAGCTTTAGCCGTTAAGCATCGGGCAGAATGTGACTTACACCCGGAAGATTCTCCCAACTGCAATGTCCTCACGCTAAAAGGTGATCTGTGTCGTTATAAAGGCAGAAATGGGGTGGAACCAGATGGAACAATCCCTGGAAGATTGCCAGTGTGTGGGATGCATCGCCCATTCGCCCCATCCTCTGGCCGATGCAAGGCAATTTTATCCTGTGGTTTCGAATGTGCACGGCTGTTCAAATGGAGCCCAGGTGAAGTTCTGCTATGCCCTGACCATAGAGATATACCACAGCCTTGCTACTTTATGAAACTCCCTGCAGAACTGAGACTGAAGATTTATCAGCAGCTGTTTCTTGAACCGCTACCCCATAAGCGGTCATACTCTGACACTCGCACCCACAAAGGCAACCGTACCAGCATTCTCCGTGTCAATCGCAAGATAAGCGAAGAAGCCGCATCAGTGTTTTACGGATACCCCAAGTTTACAATTGAAGTGGGCCCAGACGAGATATATATGGCTGGTGATCTATGGGAGTGGAACTACTTTAAAAATTTGCTGAGGGAAAAGCCCCGGCTTGAAAAATCTGATGCATTCCCATACCGCCCCATTGCCCTTCTAGGAGCTCCCAAACACCCTTTTCTTAAATGTACCACCATAAAGATGCCCATGGGCAAGGTGAACTTCTCAAGGATGAGATCTTTCCATATCCATATTCATCTCACACACCCTCAGAAAAAGGCTCGGGCCAACCTTCCAGACTACTCCTGGGATAGACAAACCAAAAATTCTTTCCACATGGTTGCGGACAATTTACAAAAGCTGGAGGTCCTACTGAAGTTGGTCAAACCCAATATTCACAATCTATCGGTTTCCATCCAGATCGATTATCACTTCTCTGGGGGATTGGCGGAAAAGCTGGCGTATTCAGTCAATGCCCTCCGATGGATCAGTGGTCTTCAATTCGTTACGAACGTCTCTATTCAGACTGTGGAGTTGGGTAATGAGCCTTTCAGCCTTCTCCCGCAGAACGCCTACAAGCCATGCCCGATTCGACCGACTTTGATTCCCTTCAAAACCGCTCAAATAACCAAGGAAGAGATGCCGATATACAACCTATTCGTATCGGAACTCTCAATCTGGAAGAACCTGGTTTCATCTAGGGGTGGTCGCATAAGCAAAAGCCGAATCATGCTCGCGTTTTTGAAGCTGGAAAATCTGCTCTGGACATTTCAGGCAGCTAGAGTTCGCCAGTTTAGAGAAGACGATGATACGCTACCTAACCTTATCTATAGAGCCAGGAACGCACTTCATGAGGAGGATCTCGAGGCTATGAATGTCATATGCAAGGAAGCCGTGAAGCACTGGTCCGACCACGTTATCAAAGAGAAAGACCTGAAACTATGTGCGTGGGGGGAATTTATCGCGGTAAATGCTCTGACTTCGGCCCGAAAAACCCCTTCTCTGGGCGAATTATTGGAAGCTATGGAGGAGATGGGTATCAGCACTTCGATCATACCTGACCCTAGGAAATAATATTTTGTCTAACACTAACGTCATGGCTTGGTCTGGGCTGGATAATCTTACCTAGATACAAATTGGGATGGTGTAATTGGACGGGCCCCATTCACTTCTTCCCCAGTCACTACTTTTTCTATTTTCTATGTTTACTATTGCATAATGCTTTACTTGGGATTGTTGCTCTTATTTCTCTTGCCTCTATCGGGAGCCGCATCCAAGTTGAGGTTGTCACAACGCAAACAGAATATCATGTCAGATAAATGGATGACACTAGGCGGATAATATGCAATGTTTTACAATCAATTCCTCTTTGCCTAGAAAGAATAGTATAATCAAGGTGCACGAGCCAACGATACTATGTTGCACGGCCTTTTGAGGCTTAAAATGTAAATTAGACGAAGGGTTGATTTGTTTTACTAGAAGAGGGAGGGGATAAGTATACAGTCTCTGGTTTCTTTGCAAGGCTACAAGTATAAAGATAACAGGGGGGAATCGCTTCAAGACACTGCACTGCCATCCTCAGTCGAAACGGGTACAGGATCATGTATATCTCTGGCAGCTATTCCTGAAAGCGAACAATCATGCCCTGGGAAATATCATCCTCCACCCCAGATGAATGGAGAATAGATACCAGGAATCCATGCGTGTCCGTGCCCGTGATTAAACCGAAGCACAAATCTCCTCCGTTTCTCTATCTGAAGCGATGCCAGGCAAACAAGTATACAGACTGGAAAAAAAGAGCTCGAACTTCGCCCACCCGAGTGCACGACAGTCAACAGTTAAGACATTTGATGTGAAGGTCGAAGAGTAGCAAAAGAAGTCAAAAGGTAGGAAGCAAGAAAAGCAAAGATTCTGATTTGATTGCCAGATATCCGGAACTCCCGCCATCCATCATATTTTGTGCCAACCTAAAGACAAGTCGGCATGAGAAACAAGAAGGAAACAGGTGATGATCTCCATCTTCTATCTGTCTGGTATCATCGAGCAAGAATTCGAAAGCGGAAGCATGGAATTCAGGATAGTAGGAGAAAAAGAACCGACAACGACAACGCTGCCATATTGCATTAAATAAGCTTTTTCACATTTTTTTGTAGTGGGAGGAAATATGCTGTTGGGTATGGTGCGGTGAGGGAGAATGTGAGGTCTGCGGGCGGTTTGCCTTGTTCGTCGTAAAAAAAGCTATTTATGACACGTTCCATTGTTGATCTTTTTTCATATCCCGTTTTTTTAACACATTTTTTGAATTGGCGTTAAATTCGTCCTCTACTTCCTCCTGAATGAGCATCCCTCCGTCAATCTGGCCTTACCGCCGGTGGGTTGGCAAAGGACGGTGGAGCATCCGGCACAGATGACGACTGTCTGGGCATGGGAGAAGACTGTGGTGATTGTGAAGCAGCCGGGGCACTTGACGTCCATGAAGAAGGATCGTGGAGCAGGCACGAGGGTCTATATTGGGTTAAACGTCGACATGTTAGATATTTTCGATGCTTTCTTCCAGGTATGTATGATTTCAAATTTTTGACCGGTCGACGGGGAGGATTATGCGACGGTGCCGGAAAAGCACATACCTTGAGCTTGTGCTTGCGAGCCTCCGACTGAGGCTGGGGGTTGAGGAGGTCGACCGCGAGAACCTATTTATCGATATCCGTTAGCACTTCTCTTGCTGCTCTATAAGCCCCAGCCAACACCACCGTAGGAGGTTGACTCATGCAGCTCGTCTCCACGCGACAAGCAAGCAGGAGGTCTCGAGACATACCATGTTGACTCAATATGTCTTGTCTGGAGCAGGAGAGGTGACGGGGTTGTGCTTCTGGAGGTGGTTTTGCGAGAGAGTCGACGGTCGAGTAGGAGGACGAAGAGGAAGAAGCAAGATCGTGTGAGAAGTTGCAAGTTCGCACAAGAAGAAAATTCGACGTTTTTTCGCCCAAAGAAGCAGAGTTTGTGCTGAGGTCGCTTAGCTAGCCTTTTTGGGTTAGCGCTTATATAAGACACGCTAGTCTGTTTTGGGAAGGACGACCATCTAGAAAAAGATGAAAACATTCAAGACGACAGAAGAAAGACGATGATAAGACGATGATGAGGAAGACGATGACGAGGAAGACGATGACGAGACGCAGCCGTGTTTGTTGCTTGTTTAGATGGTTGTTGTTGAAATGATACCCAGAGTTTGCTAGGCACCAGCAAACTAACCCAGATGAGACTATATAAGGGAGCTCTCCATGTCGAGAGCATGAGATATTTCATCTATATCGAACACATTCGATACCCCCATCTTACCTGTGAACACTGGGTATTACGCTAAATACGCTGAAGTGCCAAATTATAGCTTGACTGGGTTACCATACGAAAGCAAGCTTCAAGACTCCAACGGAGTACTGCACTCTTAAACATCCATAGGAAAGTCCCCGTTGAACATCTCCCCTGATTCCCACCAAACATTGAACACTTTGTCTGCAGGTTTGCCGAAAACCATACATAAAATGAGTGATCGGATACAATACTTTGCTTCCAGGCGTCCTACGGGAACGTCCTATACTCACAGAGCGCCCCAGCCATTTACCCCGGGCTCGTCATCTCGAGAGCTGAGAGGCCTTCAGGGGCAAGGAAGTGGCCGATATGTTAGAGGATCGTATACGCTGCTGCCTGGTTATAATATACACCAGATCAATGGCCTCTTGGCCAATGACGACCGCAGTGGGTTTCTGCTAGCAATACCACCCGAGACCCCACTGCCCGGCTACTCTACTGCTCGTATATCTTCGATGAGCGCAGCTGCTCCTGGAGCTGAGCCAAGTCCCGCACGGGCAGCAACAGTAACAGCAGCCAGGGTGGCGGGTAACGCTACCACAGTCACTGACCTCGAGTTGGCACGAGAGGCGCAAGAAATCGAAATTGCCATCCGGAACTCACTAATGGATGACCGCCATCCAGTTGTCAACGTTCTCCGCGATCAGGTATATCATGGGAATACGCCTGCTGACGGGGCCATTGCATCTTCTCACCCCGCTCAGCCACAACAAGGTTTACATTCAGCTTGGAGATTGCACAATGAAAATCGGGAAGGGTACATAACCAGAAACCAACAGAATGCAGAGTCGCGGCCCGCCATGCTACGCTCATCAACACGAATGGTTACATGCACTCTTTGCAATGGTAGTCGAGCGGTGCAGCAGGATGCAGCTAATGCCGATGGCATGCCCGTCTGTGAGAAGTGCTGCGATGAAATGATGCAAGCTGAGCAGTCGAGAGCGGAAATGTCTGAGAGGGGGGCGGGTTCGCTTTACCTGACGTTGTTGTAATGGCATACGGGAAGCGAAAGGGGGTGCAATTGGCCATTTCTTCATATCAGGTTTCTCTAAATTTGATTGCAACAATAAAAAACTAGTCCATGGTAAGCGGTCAATTGGTGCTGACTCTTTATCAAAGTATACCTGCTAGAGACTCGAGTGTTTTAGTCGTTGATGGTTGGCGGTCTTAGGAACCTACACCACCGCTTATTATCATTAACACAGCCGAAGCTAATAAAGAATAAATTTGAAAAAAAAGACAAAAACACATACGAAAGTCGGGATTCGCTGGTGGTCACCCACCCAACTACTAACCGACCGGCAAGTGGCTTAAGTACAGCTGAGCGGACGGGAAGCTCTGTTTTCCACTTCCTATGTTCGTATGTGCTAGATACAAGGACGACAAGGTAGATATGGACTCTGCTTGCAGTTCTAGTTGTCAAACAGCTATATAATCGTAGTTAACTATACCTATGCCCAAATCTGAAATTGAAGCATCGATTTTATATGGCAACCCGACTCTAATCCAAGCGAGCGAAACATGTAATATATTCGTCTGCCAACTCCTTGCCTCTTAGATACTCTGATCCAAACCCCACGCTAAACGGACCGTCTAATTACAATTGCTCTGAAGATATGGATATTTCGGTTACTACTTCGAGAGATAGGATGCCCTAGCTATTAATTTAACTGACCTGGATACGATAGGGGAACGGTTTGGATATCCCTTCTCGCAGATACTATCTATCTTTGTATAGCGACGGTGGTAGACTCTTGGGTATATTTCGTCGGGAAATGTTGCAGTTTATAGACGTAAGCTGTAGTCAAGAAGCGGTCGTCTGTTCGACGGCCTGCACGGGACATGCATGCCTCGCGCATAAACGGTAAGCGAGCCATTCTAAGGATTTTTGGCTTTCGGATGATCCACGTTGTCGATGCAGGGATACTTGATTGTCAGGCACCAGATATCTAAATAATCACATATGCTTGTGATCACATCAAACTAGACGTTGTAACAGTAGTTAGTAACCGACCAAGAAAAGTAATATCCAACGCTGTCCAGGATAACTCACGACAAAGCTTCCGTATACACCAACGGCAAGGCCCAAACACGCATAGATGAAAGCAACCTGGTTCGGCCCTGAGCCCAGAAGGCTGTTCTCCCAGAGCCCGAGCCTTGGGATCAAACCATCGATAACGGCCACGGCAAGTGGGATCACAAGCACGTTCTGGTACGGAAAGTCAAGCTTCACTAAATGGGCAACGATCATCTGTCCAACCGAGTAGGCGTTAATGAGGCCACCAAACATGACAACGGGGATAAGGTGGTTGTTCAGGATTTCCGGATTCATGTATAGGTACGGTACCAGAAGCGTCCATGGAGCTATCGCGGGCAAAAGACCGAGTAGTGGTTTATATTTGCTGTCTTCACCACTGTCCCTGTTGTTGCCAGTAGATTTTGTGTCCAGATAAGCCTGTGGATCCAGCCGGTGTTCGGCTCTGCGTTTCTCAACGACCTGCAGTACGTTTGTGATGCTGGTAACGGTGGAGAAGAGGAGCACGACACCACCGTAGATCAACCACCAGGTGGTAAAGGGGAGATTGTAGGTGGATTCGGAGATTAGGGGGATATACGGTATACCGAGAGTCGATAGCATAGGCTTGTGCCAGAAACTTCCGCCCCCAAGGAGAGCTGTTGTAAGGAAGACGAAGCAGAGTGATAGGATACCTTCGACTGGGCCAGAGACGATACCAAGTGTGAGGACGTGAGTGTGGTATTCCTCCCACGTTTGGACGTAGAATGTGAAGACGGCTGGCATCCGTTAGAACTGATGGTCTAGTTTCTATCTGTGGGATACAAACATACCGCCAAAAAGAGTGAGAACAGTTGCCCAGCTCTGTCCTAGATTCACTGCACCGGCAAATATGAGTACTCCAAGAGCAGTGTTGCAAGCATCGACGCCTGCGCGACTAGTTAGTAAATGACTATCTTGTTGATAAACAGGGCAATCTCACCGTGATCGAACAATTCTCCCAACGGCCCGCTCTGTTTTGTTCGTCGACTATCCCACTAGTCAGCATGGCACTATATCAGCAGGACACGATGACCAAAACATACGCTTGAGTCCCGTCAACGGCGTCAAAGGTCTGGTATAAGAACAGGCCCACAGCCCAGCTGAGATATACCCAGGGGGGACAGTCCTTGTCTAGGGTCGGGTTATACCAAAGCAAGGTCAGAAAATTCACAACCACAAATGAAAACCCCGTTAATGTGATCTGCATTAATCTGGTCAGCGTTCATCCAGCTCGTCGTTGTGATAGAAGGCCTTCTTACAAGATTCGGTCTATGTAGCATGTCAGCAGAAGCAAGATGAGGACTTGAAATGAAGCCATTGACTTACGCCATCGACATGGGAAAACAATTAATCACATAATTCGTATAAAATGGCTTCAGAATGTATTTTGATGTCAACGACTTATCGACAGAGGCGTATTTGTACTGCTTCAAGCCGTCGAGGGCCTGGGCTCGAATGTAGGTCATCTCACACTCCGTCTATGAATTAAATATAATAACCGAGCAAGAGATAATGAATAAACCGCAGATACGAAGGAGATATTAAAGCGTTTCCAAGAAATCTCCCGATATTATGTTCAAATCTCAGGGCGGGGAGTCGGAAAGGCGGTGGTTTTGTATATATGAAGACTCTCGGGAAGCTCCCGAATATAGAAATATATCTCTTTATCCACGCCAACCCGGCAAAGATGAAAGGAGAAACGACGCCGTGAATGTATAAACGCTCTGCCTGGTGAATTGCTTGTCACTTTGTCGGTTATTGAAGAGTGAAGGAAAAGAGAGGACAAGACGAAGATGAAAAAAAGTGACGTTTTTGTGTTGAGAAGCCAAGAGCAAGATCGCCTTGGCAGGGACTGAGCGCGGCGTGGAAGATATCAAGATGAAGGGGACGAGACTGGTTGCACTACGAGGAGATGGTAGGACGAGTTCGTATTTGTTATATATTCATGATAAAACAAGCCCGAGTATGACAGATATGCTATAAGATATACATGTAAAAGGGAGAAACACAAAAAACGGGCCCAGAACTCGGTGCTATTGCTACTCCTGCCTTCGTCCGTGATGTTCGACGGAGAAGATGCTTCTCTAACTCCTCAAAGGTATCATGACCGGAAAGATGCCACCCTTTCGTCATGCTTCATTCTAGATTCTTGTGGTCGTGAAGAAACCGGTATCATGCTATTCTAGACTTCGAAAGACTGGGCCTAACCGACAGGGCTCCATGGCATGGGGATCAGGATCCTGCTCTTCATCGTCTGGATCAACGGTACGGTCTTGTGTACTGTATCGGCCCAGCCCTCGAGCTCCCACGACTGCTCACGTCTCTTCTTCCGCTCTTCCAAGTCCGCGAACTGCCAGAGATGGTGGACGGTGTTGAGGTCACCGATCTGCACGAACCATGCACCGACTCCTTCCATGATCTGGCGTCTGGCAGCAAGACCGCGTCTCCAGTGGCTCTCCCACTCTAGGAGGTTGCCTGGGTGTAGGGTGTACGATCGGAGCTCGAAGACGCCTCCTAGGCGACGGGGAGGCGTGGTAGGCCAGAAGGAGAACTCTTGCATCAGCGAGGTGCTCTTGCTCTTGATTAGGGTCTTGAGTTTACGGTCGAACTCGACAAACCCCGGCTGTTGCCCGATCTCATGCAGGGATGCGTGGTAGCCGGTGTATCTCTGGTACTCCCAGATGTGGACTATACAGTATAGAATCAGTATCAAGAAGGTCAAGGCAGAAAGAGGGCGGGTAAATACCAAAGGTGTCGTTGTCTCCAACTTGAGTCCGCCAACTGCCGACCAAATTGACTCTGTTCTGCTCCATGCCGGCCATCTTGGGGTACCATTCGCCAACCAAGCCTACATACTCGTCGACCTTGTCGGGCTTGACCTCGTGGAAGACAATCGAGTGTACGTATTTCCCTCGTGCCAAGACTTCGGAGAAGGACCGCTCGATATCCTTGTCTAGCTGTTGGCCCTCCTTGGTGCCGTAGATGAGACTGGACAGACGGCCACGGCCAGCGTTTTGGTTGTTTTCAGCCTGTTGCCGCTCTCCTACAATTCGGTGGGTGGACAGTGAGCCTAGTGCCTGGCGGTCCAACGCGGACGCAGCATCAACGACAGTAGCAGCAGATCCACTCGCATTGCTCGCAGCTGGAGCAGTGGGAGATGATGACGCTGAGGCAGGGGATTGGGCAGAACGAGAGGAAGGAGAAAGAGGGGCAGAAGCATCAAGCGACTGACTGTCTTGCTCTGCTTTTCTTTTCCGAGCAGCTTCTAGATTGTCACGGAACTCCTTCTGGCGGGTGTTGAACGACGACGCATTGTCTGGGGTGATGTCTCTGATAGAAGGCGCACGCAGCCGGGTACAGGAGGTGCTGAATGGACGCAGGAGAGAGGGAGAGGAGCGGGATCGAACGAGACGCGATGCCAACATGATGACGGGTGGCACGCGAGCGAAATGAACGGCGCCGTTTGAGGGAGAGAACGTAGCCGGTGAGAAGATGGGGATTTAAGGGCGGTAGAAGATGGGGAGGGGACAGCAGGAAAAAGAAAAGAGGAACGCTAGTATCGAGATCTTGCTGTCCTTATTGCGGTTTTCTCGGAACGAGTTGAAGGAGACGAAGAAGAAGAAGAAGAAGAAGAAACGGAGCAAGGCTTTGAAACTGCAAGCTGCTGTATGGAAAGAGGGGGAAAGCTAGCTCAAGGGCAGGGATGGTCAAGTAACTATATAAGTATATACGGGTGTAGCACGCAGGAAGCCGTGCGCTCGCCCGATAGAAGCGTACAGGCAAAAAGAAGGCAAAGTCCCTGGCAAGACGAAAGAAAGACGACAACTTAGGCCCTTTTTCCTCTCTCGACCAGCCGTCAGAACGCGCGAAACAGCAAAGAAGATGAAGTTGAAAAAGGTCGAAGTTGAAGTTCGAAAAGTTGAAAAAGAAAAAGAAAACAAAACAAATGAAGTCACGTGATATTAAAGCGGGAAGACCCCAGACGCTAGTCCTTTTAGGGTTAGATTAGATATTACGTCATAAATATCGGATATAAGTTGTTCCAGAGATTAGTCAGCAAGAAGCAAAAAAAGGGACAAAAAGAGACACTCAAGATATCAAGAGAGAGAAACAACAGTGAAAGCGGTTTGATACACAGAGAACGGCTATTAGTTATTGACTGACACCATAATGACAAGTCCACAGCATCCCCCCCTTGAGCTACGAGGCGTCTGCCACCACAACTCACCCCCACTTCGGCACATGTCTGCCGCAGGAAGTGGTCTCCTGTCTCAAGAACTCTAGATTCGTATGCATTACCGCTTAGCCTGGAAAGAAGGATGACATGCTAACGCCTTGTCAGTTACATCTTGCTACCTGTGATGGCCTCAATCCTCACATCTCCCTGATGAGCTATACCTTCCTCCCTTCCACGCCGTTCAACCCCACCACGCCAACCATCATAATGACCACCAACCCTTCGTCCAAGAAGACACTCAACCTCCGCTCCAACCCACGCGTATCTCTCCTGGTGCACGACTGGGTCTCTCACAGACCGCCTACCCGGAACCGTGATGCCGGACGAGACGGGTCTCCGCCCCCCGCGGCCACGCAGTCCAGCCTCGCCGCCCTGCTGCTGAACATCAACACCAGCGCCATGAGCAGCATCAGCACTACGATAATAGGCGAGGCCAGGGTGCTGGACACGGGCAGCGAGGAAGAGAAGTGGTGCAGAGAGCGGCATCTGGAAAACAACACGTTTATCGCCGACGAGGTGGGGGTTGGTGTGTTTAGCGGCCGCGGTCAGGCGCGGCAGGAAGGCGCTGAAGAAGACGAAGATGAAGTAGGAAGACGCCCCTCCATCATGGATGATGATGTCAATGTGGTGGTGGTTGCCGTTAAAGAAGGGAGGATCGCCGATTTAAAGGGTGGGGTGAGGGATTGGGCAGTTGTGCCGGAAGGAGAGGAGCAGCGGCAACCGAATGGAATACCCCCGTCATGACATGACGCAACGGCCGATGAAAAGCAGCAACAAGCAAAAAGAAAAAATTTTATAAGGTATCAATCTACCAAGTTTAAAGGTTGCAATATTGAAGGATCCTCCGTTTAGTGCTGATCTATGAACTCAGATTTCCCAAAACACCAGGCATGGACCATACGGACCCTTATCTGTTCATATCTGACGCTTCGCCTGCTTCTACCACTGCTCAAGTCTAGGCGGATCTATCACATACTTTGGCGTATCTATTTAGCGAAGGCTATACAACGCAATATAAGCGACGGTAATTTGTTGTTTCGCGAATGTTCCTCCAATATCACGCGAGCGAGCATTATATACCGGGAAGCCGATACTATACACTCGGAACACCCTCCGTACAAGGTAGTCCTATGAGATCACTTGAAAAGAAAAAAAAAAGTTCGCATGACTCGACGCACTACCGCCTTAGACGACTGTTAAATACATGTTTTTCGCAGCAACAGTTCCAAAATAGAAGTTCTCCACGCGAAGCACTGTCTAGTGCTATCTCGCTCCAACAGGGATCTGTCTCCTGAAACCCACCAGCATCTCTCGCTCTTTAGCAAAAAAAAGAGGGCCCTCGAGGACGCAAATTCCTTAATCGGGGTAAGTGGGCTGGACCATCGGGTATATATACATTGGCCGATTCCCAATGATGGAGAACACTGGGAGGGCCCTTTTCAGAACATACATTATCTTGTTAGCTGCCCACAACTTTCAGGAGACCGGATGGAAGAACGAACTGTCATTGCCCATCAACTTCCGAAGTCGCATAGCTTGGCGCATCATCTCCGGCTCTTGGCTTCGCTTGGCTGCTTTTTCACCTGTAGAGCCGTTAGCATACATAACATAGCCATACATAAATGTGTGTAGTATAGGGACGTCAAAGCGCTGTCTCATGGAAAGATGGGTTTTTCATTCCTCACTCGTTATTGGCAGGTTTCTGTGTCCGGGATGTTGACTAGGTGCCGCTACATTCCGAGACATCCTGGAGGTGAAGCAGGGCTAGAACTAACCGTTCTTCACGAGCCATGTTGGATGGCGTGCATTGAGCGTTGGTGGGTAACTAATGAGCTAGGATGCAAGTGAAGCTAGCGCTGGCGCAAATAATGCGCAAGGGACCGGAGGTATATATGCGTTAGAAGCGGAGATATCATATAGCGTGCGATAACTAAAATAGTTATGTACCTATACATAAATATACCTGATATCAAAGGAACCCATGGAGTTTTGGGTTAAGGGGCCCAGTAGACCCGTTTCAACGTTGCAAGGCGAAAACTCGACCTGTCATAATGAGCATGTAGTTGCTTGGAAGGATAACGCTTGCATGGTATACGAAGGCATACCCTCGATACCAGAGCGACTTGCTTGAGCTTTGGGGTGTTCATCAACCTATTCTGTGTGTACTGTCACCAATCTTGACCTGACGACTCATAATCCGTTCGCACCCAAAGGATGCGGTCGATATAAAAGCTTAGATTTAGAGTTTTCGGGAAGGCCCGTCCGTTATAGTGGAGCCGATATATATCTTAGTCAGCAGTCTGACTCTCCATGGAGATCAGGAGGACTTGATCTACGTAGTATGTATGTATATAAGAGCAGTCGATCTATAGATATAAGTGAGTATATTATAATTAGAGTAGTAATAACTTCTCCCACATTGTAATGAAAAAATGAGGCGGCTATGCGAGGATGCTCTGACGAGTTCTCCTGCCAAGGACGCAACTAAATGATAAAAAACGGAAACAAACTTGAGGGATGCGCCATGTCGGTGAATAAAAGGGACTGTCGGGGGAAAGAAAAGCACGAGCAAGGGTACATAAGAGATATTCGCCGTTCTAACAGGAGTAAAAAAAGGAAACAAGAAAACTGCAAAACACTGGGAAGTGTGTAACGGTTGTTTCACTCTAAAAAATAAAATAGATTGTAGGCAAACGACTAACCCGAGAAATATTATGGTGTGGCTCTAGACTGGAAGGGGAATAATAAAACAAGAGGAAACAATGAAAAACACAAGGGAAAGGTCGGAAAGAAACTCCTAAACGCGGAACCGTCGATAAAAACCCGGATCAAACCATTACTCAGACGAAGATCCTGAGCGACTGGAAGGCTTCTTTTCTCTTTTGTTGATCTCACTTGGGTCCCATTGCGATGGCTGGAACTCGGAGTTTTGGAAGTGAGCTTGGTTGAAGTGAGAGCTATGGAGAAGGTAAGCAGTGTAGACGATGCCTTGTATGTGATAGAGTACTCACTTTCGGAATGGGATGGTGAGAGGTAAACAGTTCATGTCTGGATCGACCAACGGGTTCATTCGAATCAATAATTCAGAGGACCTATCTTCCGTAGGAGGGGGACGGGGCGGGAGGTTGATCGTTGCGACTTCTGGCTGAATGGGTTCAGGGAGGGGGACCGTGTGGTGTGGTATCATCTCGGCTGGGGGATGTTCCGGATGGATAGGGTATAGGTACTCATACTCGTATGCGGAGTGATCTTGAGGCTCAGATGCCTGGTCTAAGGGGAGACTGGGAACTGCCATTAAGACAGGGTTGAGATCACAAGGGATAGAGTTAGGATACCATGGAGGGAAGTCACAGGTCATTGCGTACTGGCAGTTTACGGGAGTTGGTGAGCCAGAACTGTAGAGAAGATCGTAATGGCCACTAGTCGCCCGTCAGCTTGAACATATTGCTATATGACAAAGGAAGGGGGGGAAAATACATACGGTCGGTATAGCAACTTGATGGTTCCAAGGGATCCGTTGCGTTGGGACGTAAGTTGATGCGCGTTGACTTCGTCACCTTGGCTGCGGTCAAGGTAGAGAATCTGGACATCAAATCCAGATGCTTCGATGACACCGTCAACCAGAGCCTGGAGACCGATTTCATCGATCTCCGTCCTCACGGTATCAATTGTTCTTGAGCAGTACTGCTCAATGGGGACGGAGAGAAAAGCTTCGTATCTCTCACTGTTGAGCTGCATCCAGGCGCTCGTCATCAACTGGGGGAGTGTAAGCATGAGCATAAAGCTGAGGGGGGAGGGGACAAAGAAAAGACTGACCCTAAAATGTGTGATTATGGCATTAGAGTTCCACTCGTCATTGAATGTTTCAAGGATGAACATGTCGTCCGGGTTGTCGCCCGCGATATGCTCGATCATATGGTTCAAGAGCTCTTCTGTGGCATCGACAAAAATCTCGTACAGATGCTCCTGCTGCCCCACGGCGTCGAACATCCTGTTAAAGCTCTTAATGCGAGCCAACTCCTGGACAACCTTTGCCTCGTCTTGCAGCGCAAACAAGTTTTCAAAGTAGCCAAAGGCCACAGCTAAAACGCCGAGTCAGCAAAGTGTATATATTTTTCGGTAGCATGAAGATTTTAGCGAGTCAGACCTCTCCATCCACAATTGCCGTCTCCTTTCATAATGCGATAGTGGGAGTGAGTTTGCGCCAGCGACTACCGTCCCGTCAGCCTTGACACGCAGTAAGTACTCGCCAAATAATCCAGGGGGACATACCGTCGTCTTTGCGACGTAGATGGGATCAGCCTGCGCATACTCCCGGCTGAGCGCAACACTGGACTGCTTCAAACCAACCAGAGGACCCTGGAACCCGAGTCAGTCTGTCTCCTGTGCAAAGCCAGCTACGGAGGCATGTCTACTCACCTGCAAGTCCGGCTCGTACTCGTTGGACAGCTTCTGGAACTCAACCATCTCATCCCTCATGTCGCACATGATGGGATGGTGGACAACGTACTCGTTGTATACCGGGATGGGATGGAAGATTCGGGGCTGGAGAAAATCTGGTGGCGGCGGCTGCTGGAAGTCACAGTAGCCGTCCTCGTTGCAGTGGTGGTGCAGGAGTTGCTGGCGTAGGAGCTGTTGCTGGTGGTACTGGAGGAGCTGCTGGTGGTGGAGGTGAAGATGTTGATAGTGGAAGTGCATCGGCACTTGTCGCGCTGTGGGGAAAAAAGGGTAAACATTGGCTCTCTCGGCCTCCTCCCTCGACATCATCGTCCTCATTGCCTCAGGGAAGACAAGGTCCCCCATGCACTTCTTCACAGCAACGACAGCAGACGTCTTCTTCTCGTCGACGTTCTGCTCTCTTCTACTTCTTCTTCTTCTCTGGCAGAGCAGAAGAAGTCCAGTCTTGCTTAGACAGCGCGGGGATCAGGTCAAGGTGCAGAGGAGACAAGGACAAGGGGACTACTTCAACAGCAGAAGGGCTTGCAGTACGAGGAGTTTGTCAAGGAAGAGATGGACGCACATTGATTCGATCACCAGAGCTGGCATCCCAGGGTGATTTTATAGACTTGACAGACGCTACGAACGGGGATTGGGTTTGACTGGCCATGTAACTTATGCAGCAGCATATGGGCGAAGATCGGGAAATGAACCAAACAGCTGAAGCCTGCTTACGACACGATATGCTGTAACCCGCTAACGGGCGAAGCGTATAATTACTATACACGCCCTGAAATCGAGGTGCAAAAGAAGGGGGGGGCACGAAAAAATGAAAAAAAAGGAATAAGTCAGGGACACAAAAAGTTATAGCCGATTTAGCGGGTTGGTCGCAGGACACAGGACAGGCATTGCCAGCGAAAAGGCAAAAAAAAAAAAAAAAGAAGACGACTGGCGGAGCGTTGGGTGGGGAGCGCAGCAGGCCGTCGATTGACAAACAGACGGGGGGAGACATGATACGGCGCCGACGAGACAGATTCCAGAACAAACAGGCCCGCTGGGCGTTGTGATGACTTCTACGGCGCCACGGTATCAACATCTACACAGCCTGTCCACACGGGTAACGACTGACTGCTTTGCTGTGTGACACGGCCTGGCGGGCGAGGATCCCAAAAGGAAAGTTGTCACTGAGAAGAAGGACATACATTACATGTTTACGGGGAGGATCCTCTTGTTTTAATTGATCAATGGCAGTCTGCATAAATTCCTGCAAGGGAGCAAGCAGGCGGGCAACGGACTTGGGGCCCCCTGTCTTCCGGTAGCCAGCACCAAGGGCCCTTTTCTTCTTTTTCCTTTTTTTTTCTCCTTCTCCTGCTACGTCCCACAGGATACATGCAGGAAAGGAGACAGCGTGAGAAGAAGAAGTAGAAAGAGAAGAGAGATAGAGGGGATATGGCTGGCTCGTGGGTTGAGAATGGGCTATAGAGAGCAAGTAATATGCGTGGCCCATTATTCACGCTAACTGGCCAATCGTCAGATGGGCATGCAAATAGCATCTTGCTGGAATATAATGGAGCGCTGCAACACTGTCGACAAGGGTACAGTTGTCTTCTCTTCCCCCCTCCGGTACTTAGGAACCGGTATCAAGGCCTAACCAAGATAAGATTTCTCCAAGTACTCCCGGCGACCAGCATCTCCAGTCATGAATGCGCCCCAACGCAGGTTGATATCATTTGTCAAACCTCTCCTTGGCACAAGCACCTCTTTTTTTTTGCTGCCTCTTTTTCTTTTCTTTTTTTTCCTCTCACTCTCATTCTGTCTTGCAGACAATAATAGTAACCGTACTATTATTACGACGGAGGCATGCTGCATGAAAGACCAAAATGCTAACTACTCGGGCAATTCCAGCCCAAATTGAATCGGATATCTACATGGAGTGCTACCATCACACCCGGCACATTCTCAATACCTCGGAACACCCGTCAATGTCTATCATTTCCCGCCCCTTTTTCAATTCTCGTTGCGAATGGCTCCAGCTTCTGTGGCAGGGCCTCGCTTCAAAAGACCAGAAGTCGATTAAAGACAGAAGCTTTCTTTCTACTGTTATAGTAGAAACTCTTTTCTCCACAGCCGTTGACTCTTAGGAACTCCTGCTACTCAGTTTCCCAGTGATGCTGTTTTTGGCAAATACCATGCCGCTGATCAGATGATGAAGATTATTATCGGCATACCACATAATCTTCAAACTAGCTTAATACGAGGCAATAAGTGGCTATACTCCGGGGTTGTACAGGAACTCGAGTACAAACCAGGAAACATGCTATGCCGCTGTTGGTCTTTATGCATATTCCCAACCACCGCCTTATCGGAATGATGAGCCGACTGCTATTAAAATTGCGGAGTAGCGTCCATTGGAGCTATAGCCGATGCCGGCCAAGCCTTGACCGCCATGTCGCAGTATATTAAAAAAAAGAGCTGCTACTACGATAGCTGGATGCCAAAGAAGGGAAATTAGGGATCCATCGGGAAAGTGCTTGCAAGATATCTTCAGCTCTGCACAGACTAACGGATCGGGAACTAAGGATCCGTCCTTAGCGCTGTCACCACTATACTTGGGCAACAAGATACGTATGCTGAAACCGCCCTTTCATTGAAGAACCTGATCTGGAGAGGTCCCGGAAATAATAATAAAAAAAAGAGCCTCAAAGGAAATAAACCTGTTGATCAAGACCCGGTTTCAGCACATGGTAGAAATAACTACTAGTATGTTTCCTCTCCAGCTATATCCCTTTGCATCCTTAGTTTACGGGTTGTTACAGGGCTTGTCCCTGGTCTCCATATGCCAAAAGGGTGCCAGGGAGTAGTGATGTCTGGAGCATAGCTGTGCCACGAAAAGAAACGAACAAATGCATGTACGAAGGAGGTCGCCCTGAAGGTGGCACAGGAGAAATTCCCCATCACTACTGGCGGAGTTGCCCATACATGCATGCATGCACGCACATGCACTTCAATATCTGATGGTCTCGGATAATATAAGCGTCATTGAGATTATACGAATCTCCAACCAGGCTGGCCATTGTCACTTTGTGTGACCAGCTTGAAGCAAATATCCGTTTGCCCCAAAAATGACTTTGCATTGGGGGCCTGCGGAGTACAGTTCGTGTGTTTTGGCAGGCGGCTTGAGGAACATCACGTATCATCTCAGGAGTTTCGGGACACCTTGTGCTGGGTCCGTACTTTATCCAATACATACGTACGGCCGTCTCTCGGAACGTTTATTCTATCCATGACAAACCAGCTGCTAGCTTCTAGCATGTTTCACTCTCTCCATTTACTAGAGTAGGTACGCCGTACTCCGCACGTTGACATAGAAGTTTAATTAACCCACCAAGTGGCAGCAGACAAAAGGAACAGGCGAAGAGGATGAAAAAGCAAATGTATCTCTCTGCTGCGTATCAGAGTAACACAGCATACATAAGATTAGTGGGTACATACAATGCAAGAAGACCAGGGTAAAAGGGGGATAAATTGGCCGTTAGGGGAGAGATATTGGACATATCTCTTTCTTCCCGCCTCGTTGTCGCTACCCGATGGTTGTTTACATGGCACAGAGGATTGAACTGGCTGAATGGGTGCATGAAGACCAACCGCATAGATTATGCATGCTGCAAATCATGAAAATTTTGGCATTTATCCTTTCTTTCCAACAAGATGCTGTGATTGGCCACGTACATGTACGTGTTGGGGTTGTTTGCTGGAAAATCCGCGGATGCCAGCAACCTGCATGCATGCCACAGCAGCGACTTGACGGCTACATACATATGGTGGCGTTGAGTCATCGCTTGTTCTTGTGTCTCTTTTGCTTCTCCCCGACTTTGTGGCTCTTGTACCATGGAAATCATTTGCTTGTACGCCGTATAAGCATTAGCCGTCCGGGTACGCTTGTATTGACCGTGCAGATACATCCGTTTGCTTCCTCCAGAACGCCCGAGTCGTGTAGCTAGCGGCACCAATGGGGCCAGCTGACTGTAAACGAGCTGTAACATGACGGCTCTTCAGCTTGTTCCCGTCTTGTCTCGGTTCAGTACCTGGTACAAGGCGCAGATATCAGAGACTTCTCTTTCAAAAAAAAAAAAAAAACAAATTTCTTCAATTAGACATTACATTTGGATAATACACCTTCAGCGCTACTGCATGAAGGATTGCCTCCTAGATCGGGCAAACCAGCACTCACCCGTCTGTCGTGTATATTCCACAGCGTTTCCTCTCCCGACCCATTAAATTGCCCGTTGATCATGAGGGAAATGTCCTTTCCCATGTCAACAAGCCGCGGAGATAGAGGCCTACGCCTTCAGCTCGATATCACCGTCACTCAACTCGCCGTCTGCAGCTTTCCGTCCGCATCTCCAGCGATGGACTGCCACACACGAAAATCCAAAATACGCCAGGTACAACAGCGTGATCAAATATCCCGTCACCTGCCGGGCCCAAAATAGGCCGTACCATGCATCAGGGAATATTTGCTCAACGCAGGCATCGATCAACGGAGCCAGGACGGAGAAGGACAGCCATAACCCCATGAAGCAGAACGAGAGCACCAGGGCTGTGATAGGATGCAGCATGTTTCTGGTATATAACCACGACTGGATTGGAATATGGAATGTTTCAATGGCAACGGGAATAAACAGCCATACAATTTGGCCTCTAAGCGAGTATAACCTGTGTTAGTCCAGAGCCACTGCATAAATGCATGAAACGATAGGGAGCACAAACGCATCACAGTCTTTCAGTGTATGTATCCATCGAATGGGCGGATAGTCGTCGTGTGAGCTAGCATTCTTCTCATAGACGGCAGAGAAGATACTGGCTGCGATTACAAAGACCCAGAGCAGGGCACACAGCGCTGCTATTGGGAGGAGAAACCGTTTCCTTATGTTTAAAGCCTTGAGATATCTGCAAGGACGCTGCTCAGAGCCCGGAACTTTCACGGCAGCCATTCTGGATATAATATTATATTAGGATGTATATATTGCTGGCTTCATAGAATAATACATGGGGCCTTGAAGCTGTTAAATATCTCGTTGAGTACAAGGCTAGCTTGAATATTGCGGAGGATTCTGATGGAGAGACTGGCAGGCCGTCGACACCAATCAACATGGCTGATGATCATAAAACCGTCGTATCGACCAAGGATGTTCGTCTAAACACGGGCTGCTTGTGTGAACTGGCGGGTTTAGAGCAATGAGAAGATCCACTGATGGAGAAGAAAAGTCAGCGTTGATTTGGCGGCTGGAGGATCAACCGCCAAGCGCTGCTGCGCCATGGGGGAAAACGACGTCATAGTATATAAAGATCAAAGTGATATCTCGGCGTGGAAGGCTGGGAGTAATAAGATATATAGACCTTGATTATTACGGCTAGAGAGCGTGCACAGGCTGTTTTATCATAATTCGTAAGAATAAGCGTCGCATTTCATAAGTACTTATGATGAGAACTTGCCCCAGGCAGGCCTCCCGGGTTTCCCTTTCATTCCCTTGGACTGCATGTAAGTTTTTCCTCCCACGACTCCCATGCCGAGCGTCTCGTGAGGAAAGCTGCTGTACCCTGCGCTGCCGATTCCTCCCATCAAGGGATGCATACGGGTGCTGTCGTCGGTCTTAAACCCTTCACCATGGGAGAACATTGTACCCCACATGGAATCTAGCTCCATGTTCCAGCTTGATAGAGCTTTGGTGCGAGCAACTTCAAGCTCGCTCGCCCGGGAGATTTCAACTGTACCGTCTTCCTCGTTAATCTTGGCCCCAACCAGCACTTTGTCTAAGATGAGGAAGCTAAGGATATCCTGGACCTCTGACTCGGGGATCTTTAGTTTCTTGGAGACAAAGGCAAGAGAGAAGCGGGTGTAAGGCTGGATCAGCTTCATGACGGCCTTGGTGCGCATGGTGCGGCTGACTTCGTCGATGTTCTCAGCAATAAAGGGATCCTTCATTAGATCTGGCTTGTCTCTGAGGATTGCCTCATATGCATGGATATCATCGCGCTGGAAAGCATCCACCAGGTCTGTCATTCCGGAAATTCGAGGGTCATCCTTGTAAGGCTTCGTCTCCTGGGAGTCGAATGGATTGATGTCTGACTTCATCAACATGGTCGCTAGAACCATGTATTTCAACACTTGTATTCGCTGCATTGACCCTGCCTCATCATAATTGCGGAATGATTCGAAGAAATCACTGTGCGCCTCCTTCCAATTCTCTTCACTCATATGCATTTTTCCACCGCATTCGCGTATGATGCCCATGATCTTTGGGTGCGGAACGGCAGACCGTACTTTAAGCGCTCTTTGGTATAGCGCCTTCAGCCTCTTGTTGTTTTTTGTGTTGGCATACATCTGAATCTCTAGAGCGAATATCTCTAGTGAATATGTTCCCTTAGAAGGATCATCGGTCCCGTCTGGCCTCTGGCAGGCCTTGTGAAGTTCCTTGAGCTTCCTGCTAAGCTGAGTATATTCTTGCTTATCCAACCACAGCTTTGCAAGTTTAATGTTAGTCTTAAGCCAGAGCCGCTCATTGTTGGTATTCTGGAAGGAATTGAGGGTCAACGAGTAGAATTTCTCCATGCAATGGTATGCCTTTTCGTCATCAGACGACTTTTCAATATAGTCTAGCATGTTGTTGATTGATTTCTCAGAGTAGTTTCGTGTTACGGCTGATTTGACATATGTGAGGAGCTCTCGGTAATGTATAACTGCCTATTCGTTTATTGTAGAGTATGTGTCAGCGACAAGGCGACAATATCATGGAGGTCCCGGGAAGCTCACATCATCATATCGGGCGAGCCGGAACTCCAACTTTATCGCCTGCTTCAACCCTTTAAACCCCCTAATGCAAGATTAACGCGTCAACTTTCGTTCCCTTGTAGGATGGAGAGGAGAATAGACGGACCATTCACCCTTGTCTTGCTCCAGCGCCGGTACCCCCAAGAACTCGTCGACGGCCTCCTCCGGGTTGTCTACCTTGATCTGCTTCGCATTGTAGTATTTGTTCTCGATACCGATATCGCCAGATTCATCATCATCCTCGTCTTCGTATTCAAAGTCATACCTTTGTCGCAGTCTCCGTTAGTAGCTATATCAAAGCAGTTGAGGACCATTGAGGGGAATATCTCACTCCTCCTGCTCTGAATCCTGCATAAAATCATCGTCGTCAGACATCTTTGATGATAATAGTCCGGCAAACTAATCAACTGATATTATCTCCTCTCTCCTGCAAGATGACAGACCCAGGTAAAGAGTGAACAAAGTAGTTCTCGAGCTGTCCGTCTTCAAAGTCAAGAAGTGGCTGATTAGTAATCATGACCTGTTGGAACCAGCGTTTGGCCAGCGTATCGGAATAAGCGATACGCCGCTGCCGCAACCAGTTAGCCGATAGCCCTCTATATAGATAAATAGCCGTAGCAAGAGGAAACATCTTGAGACTGGCTGGTGATGCTTGTCAAGGACGAGCCGAGCCCTAAGCCCTAAAAGGACCCAAGTTGGAACGCGCGGTGCCGTGGACGTTACCTTGAAAAATAGCAAGCGGATATGATGGCTATGGATTAATTACCAGCTTGTAAAGCGTCGTGGTCGAACAACCCCTGTTCCGTTCGCTTGGTCTACATTGTGTTTATATAGAGAGGCCTCCGATGCCTCTCACTCCTAGAGAGCATCATGCTCGGTCATTTTTCGGTCTATATAGAGCATTTCCGATATTTACAGCATCTCATTGCTATTCAGCTATATATCGTAGATACGCCTTTCACATCCTCTTTGGCTCGCGTGCTCCGACATACTATCCTTTGGTAATGTTTGTAAAAAGAGGATCTGTGGGTCTATCTATGTGAGTTGTGTTATTATTTTAATCCCTTCACTAACTTTTCTTAGGTGGGTATAAATAACTGGCCCGGAAAGTAGTAGGGATAAAGGGTATATAGGTGAAGTACTACTTTGACAAATCTCTTCGTATGATAGATAGTATGATATATCTGACAAAAGAGAATTAGATCCAAATTCGCCCTCTTCAAAAGAGCCATCTTCCCGCCGACAGGGCTGCGGATACAACGGACATAGAGCGCTTTGTGTACCCTGCATCGGTAGAGTGGCCACAGATCAGGACGCCTATTGAAGCATTATCACCAAACAAGGCGCCGGGGCCGGATGGAATTTCCAACCGCATAACCAAAAGAGAGGCAAACACACTGGTATCAACTCTGACAGCTTTAACGAACGCCTGGCTACTTCCCCAAACACTTTTCAGAAACAGTGGTCGTAAGGAAACCAGGGAAAGAAAACAACACCAAGATGAAATACCATAGGCCGGCGGCCCTGCTGAACACGCTGGGAAAAATTATAGAAAAGGAACTGGCAAACAGAATCTCGGACACGATAGAAAGACACTCTCTGCTCCTGGAAACGCACCTAGGGAGGAGGAAAGGAGTGTCAACCGAACGTGCGGTACACTGGCTGCTGGAGAAGATCCATACGACATGGCGCAACGGGAGCAATGCTATTCCATAATTATTTCGAAGGGTTGCTTATGAATTATAGTGCCGAAGAAGGTCAACAATCGTAGTATACCCTTTCCTAATGGCCCACGAGAGTGGTGTATTTCCAGTGTTATCTCGGCAATTTATATCAATATCTGGATGTGATAATAGAAGCCTAACAATAGACTCACGCCCATTTCCTGCAGCCCTCAAGAGTGGTGTATTTCTAGTATTATCTCGGCAATTTGGATCAATATCTGGATGCAATAATAGAAGCCTAACAATAGACTCATGTCCATTGGTTGCAGCCCATGAGAGTGGTGTACTTCCTTTCCCACCTGGATAATTTGGATCAGCGTTAGAAGCAAGCAAACGCTCAACAATAGTTTGAAATCCTTTTTTTGCAGCCCATAAGAGTGGTGTACCACAATTTAGATCAACATTCTGGTCTAGCAGAAGCTTGACAACAGATTCATATCCATTTCCTGCAGCCCATGAGAGTGGTGTATTTCCAGTATCATCTCGGCAATTTAGATTATTAACATTCTGGTCTAGCAGAAGCTTGACAACAGATTCATATCCATTTCCTGCAGCCCTTGAGAGTGGTGTATTTCCAGTATCATCTCGGCAATTTAGATTAACATTCTGGTCTAGCAGAAGCTTGACAACAGATTCATATCCATTTCCTGCAGCCCTTGAGAGTGGTGTATTTCCAGTATTATCTCGGCAATTTGGATCAATATTCTGGTCTAGCAGAAGCCTAACAATAGACTCATGTCCATTAGTCGCAGCCCATGAGATTGGTGTACCCCCTTCCTTATCTTGACGATTTGGATCAACATTCTGGTCTAGCAGAAGCCTAACAATAGACTTATGTCCATTAGCTGCAGCCCATGAGATTGGTGTACCCCCTTTCTTATTTTGACAATTTGGATTGATATTTTTCTGATATAATAGAAGCCTAACAATAGACTCACGCCCATTTCTTGCAGCCCTCAAGAGTGGTGTATTTCTAGTATTATCTCGGCAATTTATATCAATACCTGGATATAATAATAGAAGCCTAACAATAGACTCATGTCCATTGGTTGCAGCCCATGAGAGTGGTGTACCCCCTTCCTTATCTTGACAATTTGGATTGATATTTTTCTGATGTAATAGAAGCTCGACAACAGATTTATGTCCATTTCCTGCAGCCCATGCGAGTGGTGTGCCCCCTTTCTTATCCTGAAAATTTGGATTAATATTTTTCTGATGTAATAGAAGCTCGACAACGGATTTATGTCCATTTCCTGCAGCCCATACGAATGGTGTTCTCCCTTCCTTATCCCGAAAATTTGGATTGATATTTTTCCGACATAATAGAAGCTCAACAACAGGCTTATGTCCATTTCCTGCAGCCCATGCGAATGGTATAATCCCATTCTTATCTTGAATATTTGGATTGATATTTTTCTGACGTAATAGAAGCTCGACAACAGGCTTATGTCCATTTCTTGCAGCCCATGCGAGTGGTGTAAACCCATTCTTATCCTGGAAATTTGGATTGATATTTTTCTGACGTAATAGAAGCTCGACAACAGGTTCATGTCCATTAGTTGCAGCCCATGAGAGTGGTGTACCTCCATGCATATCTTGACAGTTTGGATCAATATTCTGATCTAGTAGAAGCCTAACAATAGACTTATGTCCATTAGTTGCAGCCCATGAGATTGGTGTACCCCCTTCCTTATCTTGACAATTTGGATTGATATTTTTCTGACGTAATAGAAGCTCGACGACAGATTTATGTCCATTTCCTGCAGCCCATGCGAGTGGTGTGCCTCCTTTCTTATCCTGGAAATTTATATCAATATTTTTCTGACGTAATAGAAGTTCAACAACAGATTCATGTCCGTATCCTGCAGCCCATAAGAGTGATATTCTTCCGTTATTATCTTGGCAATTTGGATCAATATTGTGTTTTAGTAGAAGCTCGACAATAGCTTTATGACCATTGATTGCAGCCCATGAAAGTGGTGTACTTCCATCTTTATTTTGACAATTTAGATCAACATTATGATCTAGTAGAAGCTCGATAATAGATATATGACCATTAGTTGCAGCCCATGAAAGGGGTGTACCCCCATCCTTATCTTGACAATTTTGATCCACGTTCCGATGATCATCTAGTAGAAGCCTGGCAACGGGTTGATGTCCATTTCCTGCAGCCCATGAGAGTGGTGTTCTTCCGGCATTATCTCGGCAATTTGGATCGACATTATATTTTAGCAGAAGCTTGACAATGTCTTCATGACCATTGCTTGCAGCCCATGAGAGTGGCGTACTTCCATCACTAGCTGCAGGGCTAGGCATAGCCCTTTGCTTAAGGAGAGCCTTTGCACTTGTATGAAAACCATTCCTTGCCACAAAATGCAAGGCTGTCTGTTTGAATCCATCCATGGCATTAACATTTGCTCCATTCTCTAACAAAGACTCTATAATTTCCTCGCTGTCTTTGCCTCCTTCGGCTGCTGCTAATAGTAGTGGTGTTCGCTGTCCAAGTTTTATCATACCCTCCGGTTTTGCACCTTTTTTTAGCAAATATTTCACTGTGCCCAAGTGCCCATATATTGCAGCAAGGCATAAAGCGCTAATGCCACACCTATTCTTTTGATTCCAGTCTCCGTTTAGGGTGCGCGAAAAGCATAAATCCTCAGCTCTTGGGAGAATTCCAAAACAGCAGCCAAGAAATAGCGGCGTTGGGGGGTCAGCAATAACGTTCTGTAGCTTATATTTATATGGTGGCTGTAGTTCTTTTGATAATGTATCTGCATAATTTGTCCATCCAATGAATGCAGGAGCAACTTTGACCTCCTTCTCTGGCAACTCATCATTGTCTAGGAAGAAGCGGCAAAGTTTGCTGTTGGTTATAGCTTCAAGGTCGCTTTTGATTTTAGGCTTTAGGTCACTATTAGTTTTAGGCTTAATGTCGCCATCTTTAGACTTGACATGAATTGGCCAGAACTGAGTAGCATAGTTTTCAAGGATTTCGTCCTCTTCGATGGTTTTTTCTTTCGCCGCTCGTATATAAATATCCAGGCATCTTTGCAAGATAACGCTATGTGCCCAAAACACTTCGTACGCAGCATGTTCTGAAGAGATCAAATAGTCTGCTACTGCTGTATGGATCAACTGTAAATATCCGGTTGTCCGTATATGACTGTTGTCTTCTTCGTCATCGAGAGGAACCAGAGTGACCAAGCCACAGCACCAGCTTAGTAGAATGTCGGTTAGACTTCGATTACGCTGACCTGATATTTTGGTATCACCACCGGATATTGCAGCAATTACTTCTGAACATTTTAGCGGACGTTGGGAATAGAGTAACCATTGTAGACAGTTCTGTACTACCTTGTGGCTGTGCGGACCTTTAGATATTACCTTATGGATATATTCAAAAGTCGCTTCCAGGTCATCCGGTAGTATATCCAGTTGATCATAAATGTCCTGCTCACATCTCATATTGTCGGTACACAGGATCGAGACCTGTAGAGTAACCCACAGAAACCTAATTTTGTTAATATATGCAGCTCTTAGCACGATGTGCAACGGACTTACATTGTCTTAGCCTTTTCGTTTAGCCTTCTAATTATCTCTTCCTTTAGCGGGGGCTCAACCTCACCATAGAGTAGACTCTCGTCGTCGATAGCGTTAGTAATCTGTTGATCAATGAAACGCTTGATTTCCGCTCGATTTTCATCACAAGTAGTAGATATTTCCTCATAATTAATGCCCTCCATTCGATCTATTCGATAGCGCATATCACTCTCACCATCATCTCGCCTAGAAACGACCACTTTGATATGATCGCAGTTTCCAAGGTCTTCCAAAGCTGATAAGAATGATTTGGGTGATTTAAGTTCCAATTCATCAAGAGCATCAATGACAAGAGCAACTTTGGGGGTATTCTTTGCAATTGTGATGATATGCTCCACGCACTCTTTAATTTCTAGGCCGAGTAGTTCGGTATTGCTCCTTTGAGATTGATTTCTTCTCTCTCTAAAGATTTGTAGAAGTGGTCCACATTCCTTACGGTTTAGATTGCTAAGCTGCAGTAACAAAGTTCGAAACACGCAGGTGGGGTCGCCACGGCTTGATTCTGCTTCCTTTCTTGAGCAGTAAAAATAAGAGACTCTGAAGTCCGAAGCCATAAGTGATTCCACAACAGAATACCTGATAGAGCCTTAGCTTAGATCGTTATAGCAAGTGGAGGCGAGGACGACATACATAAGGTAAGTTTTCCCAGAGCCGACTATATCTAGTGGTTAATGGTACGCTAGAAGCTGAAAATAGGTAATGAGGACTTACTAATCCCACTTAGCAATAATATATCCGAATGTGCGGAATCTTTCCAGCTTCTATACTTGTCGTTCTCCAGCAGCCACGTTCTCTTTGCATCTTCAGAGTTTTTGCAGAATAATCCAACGGTCTTATGATGGGTCTCATAGGGCACAACCGATAACCATTTGTTAAATTGCTCACGCTCCATGTCTTATAGGATGTTAATGAATTGATATCTAAAGCACTGTGGTAACATAGTAACATACTAGAGCAGCCCAGGCCATCCACCGTAATCTCTATAGGAATCAGTTAGCGCCCTGTTCCCGCTCTAGGAAAAATTTTCAATAGACACACTTTCTTTCAGTCCCAGATTCTGAACGCAGTCCCGTATTTGGGAATTTCCACCCCAATGCGTGAGATACGAATCAGTGGCCGACATGATATGGCCCTGTCTATCGTACTCGTCTATACCAATGTCCTGCAGCCCCTGCTCCACATTGAAGCGAAAGTAGCGCTTGCTATCGTACTGCATCCGCCACCGGTCGATAAACTTTCTTTCCGTATTTTCTGTCTCGGTAGCAATCTGGACAAGAGTCTTGCGTAGGAATCCATAGGCATTATTTTCAAACGGCTTTACTCCTGGATTTCCAGTTCCAATTGAAACAAAACATTTGACCTCTGGTTTTATATCCGCAGTTTCAGAGCGCCAGAGATTAATAGCTTCTGCTTCTACCTCGTTGACCGGATTGTTTGCTCCGAAAGCACCATCATGAAATGTACGGCCATCGATAAGAACTGGGTCAAAGATGGTCGTTGCTGCAGACGTCGCAAGAGCAGCCTGGCATATCGTCGCAGGAATTTTGTCTTGGTCGAGAAGTTTATAGCTCCGTAGCCGCACGGTCGCTTTCGTGTAATCATCGGTGGCACATACAAAGCTAGTCCAGTTAGACCTATGGCCCTGCTCAAGGTTATTATTAAGATGCTTACGTATGGCAACCTCGCTTTGTTCCATCATCGAGTAACTCAGTTGGAGGCACATTTCTTTCAGAGAGAACTTCGTTAATAGCATCCCTAAGCCTACCTGAGTCGTATTGTGCTTTAGTGTCGCCCTTTCTGTTTACTGGAAATCGGCGAGCCCTTTCGCTGAACACAGTTTTTGCCAGGTTTCTATAAGCTTTAATACATTCATCCACATCCATCTCGAGTCGTCCAAGCATAATAGCGATAAGTCTACAACGTTAGTTCACTTTTGTTCTCCTTGTAGGAATAGGTTGGCTTACCCGCCAGTGCTAGTTCCGCCAATGAGGTCAAAGATCTCACATGGCTTTACTCGATCTTTGCCCTCGTTTTGTCTTTCGTCGTTGACGCGGTCCATGATATTTTTCAGTATAGAAAGCGAGGATAGTCCCCGTATCCCACCGCCATCTAGAGACAGAAGGCAGTACCCATCTCGGTCGAGAGGATTTGCGCCTCCACCGCGTCCAGTACGCAGGTTCTTTGCCATTTTGGGAGCTGTATTCTGTGTCGATATGGACAGATTTGAACGATCTCACGCGTAGCAGCAAAAGCTTTGAACTGTCTCAAGCGCAGTAGGAAAAGAGTTGAACGATCTCAAACGTAGCAGGAAAAGGCTGTACTATGTAGTTACAGTGATTCTGGCGTACTATGTATGTATAAGCTGCGAGAGGCTGAAAAATGGGTTGGCTCCCGAGCGGGGTAACTAAGTTAGGTTATCTCCGCCGTGTGGGGTCTTTGAAGTTAATCACGAGGCTGAAGGAAGTAGAAAATTGGGCAATAGCGCGCGTTGTCTCCGTCTAGTGATTACATGCTCTCTCCCGACTGGACTTAACGTGAGAAAGATTTGCTTGTAGAACTGCATGGCGTAGCTTTCTCGTCCTAAAAAACTTCCATTGCGACGAGCTTCCGAGAAAATGGCCCCCACTTCTGCATACTCTCTCCGGCAAATAACGATTCCGCCAGAGTCAGCCTCAAAAGGAGCCCGGCTGAGGTACATTCCTTGTGTTGCCTTGTCATTTCCGTACGTAGGTAATGTTCAGCGTCAGTAGAGCGTTTGAGCTCTAGAGTGTCACCGAAGTTACATCCAAGATCACTTCATCAAAGAGGACGTTTGGATTCTCGAGCCTCTCGAGGCTCGCCGATGATTCTCTGAATCTGCCATGATACGTAAACTTCTGCCAGGGATGATGTATTTTCGGAAGAGGACAGCTTCCTCGATTGATGAACGTGGCCGGCTCACTGGCTATCATGCATCTAGGACTCCTGTGGCTATGGCGAGCGCATCGGCTTGGGTGTGGTTCAACGCACGCCGTATGGCTGTTAGACCCGACCCCTCATGTGCCTTCGTTTTCGCTAGGAGCTGATATGCACCAGGGAGGGGGCTGTCGATCACACTTGAAGCTCGATGTCCTCTGCGATCCGACTAAGCAGGGATTCTCTTTGGGAAATACAAGGCTGAAGACAGCGGTCATTCAAGCTATGCATGACCTTCTCCGCTTGGTCGATAGCAAAGCGCTCCCATGCAATACCAGGATATCTAAGTGCTTCGGCAAGTGATGATGAGGTCTGCCCTCGTTTCTGGTGCCAGGCTCTAAAACCCTTACTATCTCGAACTTCAATCACTGTATGCCGCGCCTACGCTAAGATGTATCTAAGGGTCTAGAGCAAGTCAGTATACATATAGGACGGTAGCAGAATTCAGGACACACGCACTTGGGCTCGAGATATTTCCATGGAACAGAGCGAGATGCGATTGTCAACGCTTGTATCTGCCTCCAATGAGTGTGGAAATAGGGAGGTAAAGCCGCCGGGAAGTGAGCCAAAATACCTGGATTCAAAAAGCAAAGTTACTTGAGAACGAGTATTAGAAGCCATAATTCTAAAGGAATGCCCTTGATGGTATAGAGCGATTAGAACTGTAGGGCTAAGGCCGATGGTACTGCAAGAAGATGGTTCAAATGTATGGGTGCATTCAATAAGGGAACGAATCGTTGGATTCCTTGTAAGGGCGTCAATTATATACATGGAGTATTCACCACTCAATACCCAACGAGCACCTCAACAAACCGTGCTATCAACAAACCGATCGGTAAATATTAATATATAATGAATAATAATAATAATAATCCTTCCTTATCTCGCCTAGGTACTAGTTAGCCGATAGCTCTCTGCTTTATATAGATAAATAGCCGTAGTATAGCCTCTAGACCTTCTATCTATTATCATCATTTATTCTACGCCTATTTATCTGCTCACTTGGTTGTTGAGGCTGCGTTTTGCTGTTCCGTTGTGAGGCTGCGGTCACGTGTTCTCCCAACTGCCCCTGAGATGACCTCAATTTTCACGTGACAAACTTAGTCATCACCAAGACTCAGCCTCTTTTTTTTTTTACTTTGAAAAGTTATCAACAACAGGAAGAAGAAGACGAGAAAAAGGAAGAGGAATAATAAAAAAGAGCCAGTCGGAGAGCGTCAAGATGGGAGGCGATCTCAACGTGAAGAAGAGCTGGCATCCAGTGCTGCTCAAGAACCAAGAACGAGTATGGGTTGAGCAGAAGAGAGCGCTCGAGGAGCGCAAGCGCATCGACCAGATGATGAAAGAGCGCCAGGAAGAGAGGCAGATACAAGAGCTACAGGAGATGCAAGAGGCCGCGGGCGGCAAGAAACGACTGAACCGAGTGGACTGGATGTACTCTGGCCCAGCTGCCGGACAGGCTGGCACGACAGAGGAGATGGAGGGATACCTGCTAGGCAGACGGAGGATCGACGGGCTGCTTAAGGGGTCAGAGAACTCGAAGCTGGAGAAGACCGCGCCGGAGGATTCGTTTATGCTGTCTCAGAACGCAAACACGGCGAGAGATACGGCGGCGAAGATCAGAGAGGACCCTATGCTGGCCATCAAGAAACAGGAGCAGGCTGCATACGAGGCGATGATGAACGATCCAGCCCGACGGAGGGCCTTGCTGAAGGCTGCCGGTATGGACGAAGACAGGTCGACGGCACATACAGAGAAAGAGAGGAGACATCGACGACACCGGCACAGAGATGACCGTGACCGTGACCGTGACCGGGACAGAGATCGTGATCGAGATGACGAGAGACGCTCCAGTCATCGGTCGAGGAGACATCATGATGAAGAAGATGAACGACGAAGAAGCAGACACCACCGTAACAGAGACAGGCCGCGCAGCGTATCGCGTAGCCGTTCGCCACCTCCGCGCAGGTCCCACCGTTCACCTTCACCTCGTCGTAGAAGACGTTCGTTCTCGCCCCGCCAGCGGGATAGGGGCCGGGACAGATCACGGTCACCGTATCGACGACGCGAAGAAGAATCGACACGAAGACACAGCAGTTATCGAAGCCATCGGTCTGCTGGCCCACGCCGCCCCAAACCAGAGATCCATCAAAACCATCCTCTTCCTCCTCCTCCTCCTCCACCACAATCTGCTGACCTGGAGCGCCAACGTGCAGCACGCCTCGCAGCCATGCAGCAGAACGCAGACGAGCTCGACGAAGAGCGCACACGGCGTATAAACGCGGCAGAGGAACGAGACAGAGCCGAACGGGAAGCAGAAGAGGCCGCTCGAGCTGAATCCAGCAAGTATGGCGGACGGGGAGCCTTTGTCAACAACATCCACCGAAAGGCTGGAGATATCGACCTAGCAGATCGGCTACAGCGAGGGAAGAAGAACCTCGAGAAAGAACAGGAAGCTTACTGATTACGACAGGGATATTTTATGGCTCTTTTTTTTTTTTTTTTCCTCTTTCAAGTTATGCATTTGGGCGTCGACATTCACCTTCTAACGTTACGATATGGATATGGAATATCATGGGCATCATTAATCATTTCAGCAACACCAGGCATTGGACTCTTCTTCTCTTCTGGTCTTCTCTCCTGGTCTTTTCTCCACTGGTTTATCTTCTAATCCCGGCTGCTGCATCCACTACGCCACTCGCGATCCAGGCCAACAGGAGGCCTTGTACCTGCGCAACAAGCGCCATGTCATGCCAACTCACCAAACAAGGCTTTTCGATCGTCGAGCTGACAGGCCAAGTTCCCTCTCGGGGCTTCTCTCTCTCTCTCTCTCTCTCTCTCTCTCTCTCTCTCTGTCTTCTTCTTGCTGTCCGTTAGCAGTTCTTGTACAGCCTTCAAACGGTCAACAAACGGAGGCAACTTGAACGTCTTCCAGAGTAATACGAGAATTCTGACTACACCGTTTCTGCAGGTCAAGGTTTGTTCACTTTTATAAATAGATAATATTTAATCGAAGGGTTTCTTCGCTGTAGAACCGGTTGGTTGTTCGTTGGCCCATCTTCGCCTCCCAACTTGTGATAATTTACAGCCCGTATAAAATATTGAACAGTAGAACATCTCGACTTCATGACAACCAACAGCATCAAAGACATAACGCTGACATCGAGACCAGCCTCCTATCGTCACGGGGCTGTATATACGAGGATTCCGGACATCCCTGATCCCTGGCCACGGCATTGATATTATCGATTGTGCCTTTCTTGGACAGCATCATCGATAGTTCCCCTTGAACCTGCGCTCTCCCACGGATCTTCTTCTCTTCTTCTGCTTCTGCTTCCCTCGCCGATCCGTTGCCGTTAGATATTTAATAGCTGTACGGAGTACAATTACTGGATAGCTCGAACCCAGCTCCAAGGCCTCGTTTCCTTCTCTCCAGCCTTACCCGGACGATCCCGTTCACCCCTGATTGAAAGCCCACTTGTCTCGCTCTCCTCGTCCAACTCGCATTCTCATCCTGTCTGGGTGCTTGTTCTCCCGTTAAACTAGCTATTTTCTTTCGATCTCTCTCGTATCGTTCCCTCTGCTCCCCACATTCCTCGCTCTCGGATCCTGGGGTCGAGCTTTCTGGAGCTTGGAGCACAAGACCTGACGAGATATCGAGACCAAGATGCCTCTTTGTGGCGGAGAGAAGACCGTCAAGCGCAAGCTGGTGCTCTTGTGAGTGTGCTCTCTTCCGTCTGTTGCGTGGACGAAGCTGTGGACTGGGTTGACATGGTATGGTGGCAATAGAGGAGACGGCGCATGCGGAAAGACTTCATTGTTAAACGTCTTCACCAGAGGGTGAGTACTCGATCCGGACGAGAGGAGAGACCTGGAGATCAGTAGCTAACATTGCCATAGATTCTTTCCAACGGTCTAGTATGGCATCTCTCCCAGTGTCCCGCGCCGTTTGACCAGTGGCTAACATGAGTTTTTACCCTTGATTCAGTGAGCCTACCGTGTTCGGTAAGTCTGGACTTGTACATTATTATAGAGATATCCTTACTGATACAATCGTTTCTTACAGAGAACTATGTGCACGGTAACTCTCCTCTCTCGCCGTTTCGCCGTTAGGGACAAAAACTCACGCTGGAAAAAAACAGATATATATGTTGATAACATCCATATGGAGCTTTCCCTATGGGACACAGCCGGACAAGAAGAATTCGACCGTCTCCGTGCTCTATCATACGACGACACCCAAGCTATAATGCTCTGTTTCAGTGTATGCTACGGACCTGTGAAATCGACTATGTATGCACGCACATGGGCGAGAGGAAGGCTAATATCTTAAGCGCTCTATAGGTTGACAGCAGAGACTCCCTCGAGAACGTCGAGTCGAAATGGTTGGCCGAAATCGGCGAGAACTGCCCTGGAGCAAAGATCGTTGTTGTTGCTCTGAAATGTGATCTCAGAGAAGAAGCCAATGACGAGAAAGACGACGGCAGTACGGCGCAACCGCAGCCTAAGCCGGCCATCACCTATAACGAGGGACTCGAGGTTGCAAAGCGAATAAACGCTTTGAGATATCTAGGTAAGATATACACGATATACTGTATCAAAAGAAAAAGAACTAACCAGACATAGAATGCTCTGCAATGAGGAATCGAGGAGTCAACGAAGCCTTTACTGAAGCCGCCCGAGTCGCCCTCTCAGTAAAACCCGCAAAATCATCAGAGAGCAGCGGAAAATGTGTGATCCAATAAATTGGCTCGGCATCTTTTCACGATTTTCTTTTTTTGGCTCTATTCTTCTTTTTCGTCCCGTTTTCCTTCATGCTCGCTTGTTGCCTTGGTTTTCATCCCTTCTCTGTACTATGTTGTCTTCCACTTCTTACTCCTGCCGGACTAACTGTCTTGCCCTTCTTTAATCTCTTTCCTTTACTTCTAATATTCTGGGTGCAACTTGGTGGAATCCTGTTACCTTTGCGAGGACATTCCCTTTGCTAACACTCCACGAAGATTGACGGTGTCTTAAAAAAATGCCGACTGTATATAATTATCTATACCCTCCATCGTTTAGCCAGATGGCCATTTTCCTTTCTCTCCATATCGTGACGTCTTTCTATTCTTTCCCCTTCCACTCCTTACTCGGAGTCTCTGCCTTTTGAATGCTGAGACGCTTGATGGCTAATGTATGTACTTTGTCTGAAAATGACTCTTATTGCAAGCTGCTTCACACATTATCTATATACGTAGCCGTCCCGTCTATCCAGTTGATCCGCCAATGAATGGAGAATTTATATGCATGAAAAAATAGGGTATCAACCAATTACTAACCGAGCACATCCTCCTCTTGGATCCTATATACCTCGTCCAGCCTTGGGCCGTGACCCCCGCTAGGCTCTCCGGAATTCACCCTATTCACAAACGCCTGGACAAACCGCGTGCCGACTTCTTCCATTGTGATATTGCTCACGTCTACTCCCACGCCTTCAAGGCTGGTAGACTCTTTCCCTTCCAGCCCACACGCAACTATCTGCTGCAGATACCATAGCGGTTCCTGCGTAATGCAGAATCCAACTCCATAACTACTCACAAACCGCCGCAAGTGCACACCTACAGCGGCAACCTTGCGAGGCATACCGTTCTTCCCGGCACCAGGCCGTACCCACACCCCGGGGTCCTCTGTCGTTATTCCCCCTTCCACACCGAACCCCTTTAGCACATCAAGGACGCTGTTTTCAAGCAACTGTACATGACACCGCGGACCAATTCGCAGAGCCCGCAGGTCAAGTATGGTATATATCACCAGCTGGCCAGGGCCATGGTAGGTAGTCTGCCCACCACGCAAGGTAGGGTGATATTCAGCAAGGCGTTGCGCCGCATTGGCGGGAGAGGAGGTCGGTGTTAGTATATGGCGAATTGGCTCGAGAGGCTTTGGAAGGGCAAGATTGGGCGCATTGGTGGCGAAGGTGCTTGATGACTGGTCACTGGGAGAACATGATGTAGGGAGGTCGCGTCTACCAGTCGTATATACCGGGCGAGGAGTGAATGTCAGGATCGTGGGATCGGGGGCACAGATGGACGTATATGTAGATGGCGACTCAGACTGCTTCCTCTTATGGCTGAGAAGACGTGAGGCGAGGATCTGTTGTAGAAGTGAAGCATGCGTAAAGGGTATAATGTTTGGTACATGGAGATGAGCAAGCCGCATTGTATATCACCACCGCGTTATTCCTTGGTGATGTATATATTTCTTGCTTCTTGACGTTTCGATGTTTCCAAGTTGCTGTAGATTACCTAAGCAATATCGGATATTATATATTCCTATCCCGAATTAGTCATCGATCTCCAGAAGTTTATCTAAATATAGATTTTCAGTTGATTGAGCTCAAAAGAACAAAGTTAGGAGTGAAGTAGCAGTAGAGAAGGATTACTAGTAATTAGCTATACTTATAGGGAGCCTAGGCTGAATTCTTCTTCGCCCATGTACATCATGCGGTTGGTACCGGAACGGTAAATACAAAATGTAATGCTGAAGCATAGTATAGCTAAAAAGAGTATCTCAAGCTCCCTGCTCTTGCTCTCATAAGCAACTTACTACACTCTTCCTCCAGCTCTGTTAGGCCTCCTATCTCCTTCTTTGTTGCCTGTAGCAGGCCCTGTGAGTAAGCCCAGTCATCATTATAGCACAACATGGCCGTGGTTTCAAACACCCGTGGTAAGAGTGCCGCAAAATCCCAGTCCACAAGGCAGAGTTGGTTCTTTGAGCAGTCGCTTTCCTTTTCACTATTGGTACTGCCACCATCCACGACAATGATGTTTCTTCGACATAGATCTCCATGGACCAGCACGAGCGGGTAGCACGGAGCCAGGTCGATAGACTTGCTGATGATGTTCAACCGTTTGTTAAGCCACAGATTCATGTCCTCAACGGACTTGAAAACAGTCTTCGTCCCCTCGTCACCCCATAGGTAGCCCTGTGACATTCCACCACCTACAGGGCCAGGAGGTGCATCATCCTCTGCTTCAATCTCCTGGAGATGTGCCACAACTTTTGCCAGGCGAGTAGTCAAAGCCCTGCTGACGCTGTTGTCGCCAGCGGTAGTATCAAGTTGTTCGAGAGTCTGGCCGGGTATGTACTCCATGAACAAGTAGCCGTCTGGTAGCGAGTGGCCTGTCGACTGCAAGAAGAAACGATAGACCTGCGGGACACGCACAATGGACGGATTGAGACGGCGGTATGCATAGTTTTGCATTATAGCCCTTCTGCGTTGCACACCCAGCCCGCGGTTTACGGCGATATGGGGGGAGATGCGCAGTACGGGCGCGACGACTGCATGCTGGTCCCGTTGTTTCTGCTCGACACGCTTGCAGAGACGGACCAGCCAGGCCTGAGGAGCATATTGAACTATCCAGCGTGCGATGACTGGAGGAGAATAGCGAAGGAGGAAGTGAAGGGCAGCGTCCATGAGTAGTTGATATCGATGTTGATGGTCGACGGTTTTTCACGTGATGCTAACGCCAAAGACGAAGAAACCAACAAAGCTGAACTTCGACAACTTCGACAACGTCGACAAGAAAAGGACGAAGAGATCAGAGGTCAACCTGTATCTACACCTCGTCAAGAGGTCTGAACCGGTGGTCGACAGTGGTTCAGCAGTTGCACACACCATGTAGCAGACATGTGAGTCCGCTCCTTACTCGAATATCAATCAGTATGCTAACCATCAACAAGGTACGACTTACCGGTTCAACTCCGCATGCGTCGAGCTATCCTCGAAGGTGACGCTCTGCTAGTGAAGAGGATAGCAAAGAAGTATCCGAAGTACCTGCACAACCCTGACTTTGACGACAAGAGCAATACTTCGCTGCATCTTGCCGCTATACTTGGCAACCTCGAAGTGGTCAAGCTGCTCGTCAGCCTGGGCCACGACTCCTGCGAGCCAGACATAGCTTTCATGGACTTTGATAGTGCTCCTGGGATCAGCCTGAACACAGACTCCTCTACCCCCCTTCATCTGGCCGCCGCGAATTCCCACGCAGACTGTGCAGATTATCTGGCCTCGGTTTTCAAACACGCTATTGACTGGCAGGATAAGAATGGAGCTACAGCACTGATGCTCGCATCGCAGAGTTCGAACATTTCAAGCCAAATGTCGAACACTTCTTCGTTGGTGCCGCCGAGACAGAGACCCAGGGCGTCGTCGGCGGCATCGAACCCTGCCTCCTTTGAGGATACAAGTACCGTCTCCAAACTCATCAAGCGTGGAGCCTCGTTAACGATGGTTGATTCGGTGGGTAACACGGTACTCCATTATGCGAGCGCCTGGGGGAATCTAAAGACCTTCCGGCTCCTGGTCTCTGCTGGTGCGCCGCCCTTGGCGAGGAACCATGCTAAATGCGCGCCTGCGGATTATGCCTTGAGCGTGCAGGCCGCTGTTTATTGCCGGTCTCTGGTAGCTGAATACGAACGGGCAAAGAAGGGGCAGTGTGAACAAGATAAACCCAGTCTGAAGGTCAGATCGAATGATATCCCTCCACCGCAGTTCGGGGGTGACTCCCGCTTGTCACCAATCTCTCCGGCCAGCGGTCTTAGGCCAAAAATGAGTCTGGATAGCCAGAGAACAGCACAGAGCTGTGGCATCGGCGGTGTGAGACTGGTCTCTCAGGATGAGAGTGACCAGGAGAACGAGTTGAGGCCATCCGTATCTTGGAGCAACCCGGGGACTCCAATATGAATGCTTCTTGCGTCCACACGATACACGTTAGCAAGTGTTATTCTCATAAAACCATACAGTAGGTATGAGCGTTTGCTAGAGCCTGCATTATACAATGCTCAGGAACCATAGCCTCGTTAGGTTAAGAAATAGATAGTTTTTAGAAAGCCATTGATCATCTATCTTACAGAGCAAAATATGTACAGATAGACCACTCTCACCCTTTGCCCAATCACTCTCCCATCTATATCTTCCTTTTAATCTTACACCATGGTGCACAAGGTGGCAGTTCATAGTAAAAATATGCATAGGAAAACAATCCTAAAAACTCCAAAGTGGCCTTCTACTTGAAGCGTCTTCCCTCATTCATTCTCTCCTTTTTTTTTTCTATTTCCTCTGGCTGGTGAAGGCATGCAAAGCACAATAAATATATAGATCAGGCCAGCACACCACGCTTTCTCCGTCCCTGATCATTTTTATTTTCTGTAATCGGTGGAATCTTTGGGTTTTTTTGTGATGTATTATTTATTTTCTTCTATTTATCGTCTTGCGGCAGATTTCGATTAGACCATCCTTTGCATCACTGTCGGGGAACTTGCTGATGGCTGCGACAGCGTCGTCAGCGTACTGCTGGGCAAGGGCTCGAGTTTGATCAAGGCCATCAGACTGAGAGACGATTTGACGAGCCTGGAAATATCACGTTAGAATTAAAATAAATGGATGCTCACGTTCACGAGTAGAAAATCTTACCAATTGAACATCTCCCTCGCGGCAGAACTTTCTACCAACTAGCGCTCCGAGCTCTGGCCGTTGTTTCCAGGCAAAGAGCAAAGGCGAAGTGGCTAGTCCAAGCTCCAGGTCGGCACCAGCGGGTTTACCTAGTTCCTCTCCGCTGACGGTATAGTCCAGCATATCGTCGACGAGCTGGAAGGCCAATCCCAGATTCCTTCCAAAGAGATAAGCGGCTTCTGCGACCTCTGGTCCGCTCTGGTTTAGGAGTGCGGCCGCACGGCAGGACTTGCTGATCAAACTGGCTGATTTCAAATATGTCTTTTGTAAGTAATACGAGATGATATCTTCAGACCAGACAGGGTTTGATTCGTCCAGCATGGTATTTTTCAACTGCATGAACTCTCCCTCCACGAGGTTCGCCATTACGGTTCCTAGCAGCTCGATCACCTCGGGATCACGTAGTCTCGCAATGAAGACGGATGCACGGCCAAGGAGGAAATCTCCAGCCAGCACAGCCATTTTGTTTCCAAACGCAAGGTTAGCAGACAGGTTAGATCGCCTTGTAACTGCGTTATCAATGACATCGTCATGCAAGAGGGAAGCGGTATGGATTAATTCCGTGATTTCAGCCAGACGTCGTTGCGAAGGTAGCACGTTGGCAAAGTTATCTTTGGAATCTTCCTTACTGGGTGCATATACTGCATCGCGAGTTGGAGAGCTGAGCGGCATCAGGTCTGGATTTGTATCTGCGAGGATAGCTGGGGAATTGATCGAGTCGTTGATGTAGGCTCCTGAAGAACCGGAAGATGGGGAGGAGAGCAAAGAATTAAGCAGTTGGTCTCGTTCCCGGCGTTTCTCGCAGCTGGGTGTCAACGCCGTGGCCTGGGACATGAGGAGAACTAGCATGGGCCGGACCTGTTTGCCTTCACTCTGAGCGTAATATTTCGCAACCTGGTCTAGAATCGGATGTCCGGAGCCCAGCAGACTTCGCAGATTCTTCTTTAGAAACTTCAACTCCTTCCCTACCATCCTGAGCGGGTCGACGGATACGTTTGACGGTAGGTTTGAGGGCAGCGGGGACGGAGGAGCTTTCGATAACAGATTCTGGGCCGCAGACATGGCTGATGCGAGGGCAGACTGGTCTTTTCGACGTGAAGGATGGTAATTGCGAGCTATGATGTGGCGTGGAGGTATCGACATGGAGATGCGATTGTGAAGGCATTGCGAGCATATCGACACCGGCCGGTAGCCAATGGGGGAGTAGATAGTGTGTGAAGCTCGAAGAGGGAGCCCGTAGGCCTGTAAGCCCGCTCGAGCTCTCATTGCTTAAGAGATATGTGCTTGTATATCGGGTTCAATGTTGAAGATGAAGCATGAGCAGCCGGATAACTCTGGTTCTAGCGCTGCGTAAGAAGAGCTAGAATATAACAAAGAGCTCTGACAAGGACACCTAGCAAGGAATTGGAAGAATAAGATATATACACAGTTATATATCAGTCGCAATGCGCTTTGTGGTGCAAGTCGGTTTGCACCTTGAGATGTTCTTCTGGTTGTTTTTTCTTCGACGTTCAAAAACTTGGAAAGTAAAAAAAAAAGAGAGTTTTGGTGATTTGCATTTCTCCGTGCCGAAAGTCGCAGCCGAACAAAAAACCGACTTTTACGATAATTTATTTACTTGTGAAATGAACAGGTGGATGAAGACGGAGGATGTTGGATGATGTGAAATGGAATGCAATAAATTCGAGGTTGGCGTCTAGGTTAAGGGACAGACAAAAAGGAGGTCGAAAATTACATCAGGATGTTGTAGCAAAGACACAGGAGAGAAGAGATAAAAAGAAAAGGAAAACAAGACCCCCGGTTTGTCGGTTGAAGGACTGTACATACATCCAAGCTGGCTCACTCCCTTGCTCAGAGGTGCGTGTAACTTGCTCTATGGTCACCGGGGAGAAGGAGAGAAGCAGCAGCCCTGGAGAGAGAGAGAGAGAGATGAAGTAAACTAGTGCAAGTAACGGAGAACCACAAAAGGACGAAGGCGGGTTAAGTATGTCGATGGCTGGGCGATGGTAAGACGGCAGGGGAGTGTATGTCTGAAGGGTTTATGTCTCTTTGCATGTACCTGGGGTGTAGACTAGATGCCATCGAAGTCACCGCCGGCATCGTCGTCATCCATGTCGCCTTCTACGATCTCTTTGGCCAACTCCCTCTCGCGCTCGCGTGCTTCCTGGGCATTCTTCAGCTCAAGTCGATGCTGGTTCATGGGGAACCTCATGGCCTGGGAAAGGCATGTTAGCACATATAGAGTAATACAGTCACATCATGGATAAATACCTTGACACTCTCGTCATGGAGACCCAAGCAGGCTTGGATACGCTCGTGGAAGACCTCTCCCGGCTCCTGGGTGGCGTACACATCGCCAATGTCCTTGCTCTTCATGTAGCCCTGCTCATGGTCCAACGAAGCTTCGATCACTCCGTCTCTTATGGCCTTTGCAACAATATACTCAGCAGACTCCTCGCTATCCAGGCCCAGACGGAGACAGATATCACGCAGGGAAATACGAGTGTACGACAACGACATCATGCGAATACCGGTCTTTATGACATTCTGTCGTAGTCGGAGGATGAGTGTGTAGGTGCTGTCCTTCCGGAATACCGGGCCGTAGGTCTGGACGATCTTCTGGAATCCGTCTAGATCGCCAACGCTGACGGCTCGTACCAGCAGGAAGTATGGATACATTGAACGCTCCAGAGCCGCCTGACGGAAGATGGCACGGTCCGGTATGTCTCCCATCAAGAGCTCCACGACGACAAGCAGCTTCATCGACGCCTGGTAGAAGCCGCCTGCGCTCAAGGACGACGGGGACTTCCGGGTGGCGCCCACCAGATGCTGGTGAGCATCAGTGTATCGCAGCTGGATAGCTCGGATCCTGCCTAGATAGTAGAGATACCGAGCGATCTGGTTGTTGGATGCAGCAACAGGGAACTCGGAGTGGGAGATGAAAAGATCAGCTTGGGAGATGTGGGAGGTGGACAGGTAGTTGCGAAGCAAGAGAGTAGTGACGGTTGCCTGGATATCCGTGTCTTTGCGCAGCACGGCCGTCCTCAGAGCAGCAAGAAGCGCTGGCCGGATAGATATGACGGCTGCAGTGGGTGATGGGGGAAGCGGTTTTAGCTGTTCGAAAAAGAGAGAATAGTAAAAGTACGCTCGAGCAGCCAGACAGTCCAGAGTTCTCCGGTTATGCGTCCTCAGCTTCTCGACCAGCTTCTGTGAAAATTCGGCGCCCTTTTCAGTACACTTCTCGTCATACAGATAAATCTGAACGAGAATGGAAAGGTAGACGTCGATCTCGGGCAGGGTCTCTTTGGGCGAAGTGGCCTTGGCTTGAGCAGATTTTTGATCAGAAGCATCTTCCATCGCGACATCTTCGATGACATTATCAAACGCAGACTGTCTATCAAGGGCAGCCAAGAGGAAGGAAGCGGTGGGATCCGAACGCTGGTATGTAGTCGTGATTACGCTGGCGATGAGGTCTGCAGACAGATGTTTACGCATCGAAGAGATAGTCCGTAGAACCCGGAGAGTGAAGCGTAGATCAAAATGCACGACAGCTCTCTCGAGTAATGTGAAATTTATTCTGATATCTAGTGGAATCGTCAGTATGTTTCTCATCATCAAAGGGTGCGAAGGAAGTAGTAGACAAAAAGACGTACCTGACTGAGCCTTCTCAACCGGGTCAACCACCTCATCCTGCTGGGCATCCTCATCTTGGTCTATATCCATCTTGGTCTCGCTACGGTTCTTATCAGGCTCTCCCGATAGTCTCGAAGTTTTCGATGGAGGTACAACAACAGTCATCTCTTCGTCACCATCGTTGTCGTCGCGCTGCTTGGGTGATACAGACCCGTTCACATGCTCTTCACTCATCTGCACGTCCTCTGAGCCATTCACGCCGTTCTCGACAGCATCTGAGCCCTTGGAGTGTGAGGCGTCCTCGGTTGTGGGCTTTTTTGAGCCTGAGGCCGGTTTCCTGGCTGGCGCTGCCTTGCCTCGTGACGCCGCAGGGCGAGTCGGAGCAGCTTTATCTTTGTTGGAACTGGAGCTTTGCGAATTAGAACGGGGTTTCTCGCCGTCTGCCGAGGCGTCTGATCGATTAGAGCGAAGCGTCCGCTTCTCTGCAGGCATTTTTGAAGCTATTGGGCAGCTCCTTGGGGCGTGAGAGAGCTCTTCTTAGGTCGGCGTTAAGGACAGCAGAAACCGGGAGGCGAAAACAGAAGTTGTCTGGATGAAGGCTCAGTCGGCAAGCAAGAGTCAAAAGAGGGCGTAACAAGCACGGCAAAGCTCCAAGTGAAATAGCAAGGCAAACGACAAGGCCGGAAACGAAGCTGCAGAAGATGCAACGAAGATGTTGATTTGGGTTGTTTTTTTTGTCGATGTTGCGAAGTTGATGCGAAGAAGAGAGAAAGTCGCAGAAAGGGTTTAGCGCGGTTTAACTAAGCATTCTTACTCAGCAGGAAAAAACGACGACTGACGAAGACGACGACGAGGAGGAGACGACGGAGGGAAGAAGAAGAAAAGGGGAGGGCAAGGAAGATAGACGAGAAGGAATAAGAAAAGAGAGAAGAGAAGGCGATATGAGAGAAGGCGAGGAGGCGTCTTTGGGCCTTGGTGATTGGATACAGCCTGTCAGTACAGCACATACCTACATGATCTATAACCAGACTGACCAGGGCTGTTACAGCAACATTCTAATCAAGGCTTGGATGGCCCGTAGCTGCAGACAGACACCCTTGGCGATATCAGAGCACCGGCAGACTTGGAGCTGTTCAGGACTTATGAAGACGTATCTAGCTGCGTATCTACCCGCTCTGACATTCTGTGGTTGTGATGGTTGCCATTCTACCATGGGAGAGTGATCTATGGTTTGTACATACATCTACCAGGATCTCCTCAGCTGAAAGGGATGTCCAGACATTTGATACATCAATAATGTATGGTTTGACTGAGGGAAACTACAACTAACTAAACGCTAAACATGACGGCTGAACCAAGGTTGAGTGATATGGATATGAACTTGATTAGATACCCACTAACAGAAAACAGACTAGTATATCTACTTCATAGTTCTTGATACCCGGTTGTTTTCATACTAACCACTGCACCAACGGGGTAAAAGGACCCAATGTCCAATGGGAACCGTCGGATACAAAACCTGTGTTCGATTCGTAAGCATCGACTATAGCTCTTCTGCTGTAGCCCCTATTTGGGCCTATTCCGTAACCTTGAACGTCTCTGGTTTGATGATGGCTTCGGGGCCGCAGCACTGTATAATGCTTTCGCCCGCGTTCTGTCGCAGATGTCGAAGAACTGTTGTTTTGTGACGTCCATAGGCTTGAACTTTTCTACCTCGAGTGAGATATATGTCGCCCAGGTAGCCATCTCATCTTCAATACTATAGATGAGGCGGTAGATGCCGCAGACTGGTGGAACTGGGAATCCAGTCCTGGTGATTTCACGGTAGGATTCGGACAGTGCTTCCACGAACTGGGCCACCGTTGAAAAGTCTGATCGCTTCATCCTTTCCCATTTCTTCAAGTATATATCCATATTGATATCTCCGAGTGTCTGTTTAATTGACGTAAAGAACTTTTGGGCTGTATCCATTGGAGGGTTGAAGTTTTCAATTTCGTTGTAAAAAGTGTAATCAATCTGCAGGATCAGCCAATCCATGACATATATATCTGCAGCTTCCCAGCGTTCGTATAAAGCCTTGTCTGTCGGTGGTGTTGAAGGAACAGATCCGTCAATGAGACAACAAAGTTTTCGGATCTTAAGTGCCCGCTCAACAATCATTGCCCATCCATAGATATCTTGGGTGTCTTTCAATTTCGCAATATTGGGTAGGGGCCGCAATTTTGTTGTATCTGGTATTTTAGACCAGTCAAAAGGAGGGATTTTATCACTATTAGGAACAGCAGTTCCCAGTATCGTGTGAGAGCTCATCTTTGAATGAAAGGAGGACGGTATATTAGTGCCAATGGGTAGTAAACTAAGGAGACTGGATAGTAAAAGTATAGGCGACGATGGAGCTTCGACATTAAAATATAGATACAAAATACAGATGAATGGACTGGAATGTCCAGCGTCCGCAGGAGGCCTATATATATAATGGCAAGTTGGCCGATTGTCTAAACCAGAAGCAAACTGCTACATAGTACAAGCGGAGATCGCTTAGAACCGCCAAGCGCTCATCAAACGCCGGCGCGCCTCACATAATGCGGATCCACTATAATCCGTCATTGTCTGCGCTGATGACTAATACGTGTTTACTCCCGGAAGTAGATTAAAGATGAATATTCTCTTCATCTCTGGCTGCTGATATTTGAGAGCTGTGGTGAGACCTGCAACGGCCTGGAGTAAACACTAGGCAATTGTAGACAGCAAGATGAGCTTGCTACAGAACCACCTGGAGCAGATATCTTTCTCCGCAGCTGCGATAGCGGATTTATCGTATGTATCAAAGCACACAACTGCTTAATCGCCCAGGCTCACTCTAACACTTATGGGTCTAGCTTCCCTCCTCCAAAGCCATTCGTTAATGCGCTCCTCGGGCAACATGACATCACCACCCTTATTCGTGACACAGAGGCCCATGAACGAGCTCTCTTCTCTGTCGACAATACCACTAAATCTCATAGAAGGGCCACCCGTCGAGGGACAATGTTTGTCGCAGAGACTGAACGGGAATCCATGATCAGTCGTATATATGCCGTCAGGGACCGTACGAACAACTCCGCCGTTGCACGGGTATTGGGCGGCGATATGATGGATGCAATCAAACGGTCGACAGCCGCGACGTCAGATCGGACTGCAAAGGGTGGATTGGACGTTGAGGTTTTGCTACGTGGAGCCGAAATGCTCTGCAACGTGTAGTGAGTAATATTTTCCTTTTTTTTTTTTTTGAGATATAGCAGTACTTTGAAATCAACGATATTAATGCTGTGAGATAGTCCGGTGGCAGGAGCCAAGGAGAATATTGCATCTATACGATCTCGTCATCGTGAAATCACGGATTCCCTCGATCATCTCGAAAAGCGCGTGGCTGACCAGGCTGCTGAGCTGGAACGAATGAACATTTCGCAATATAACGACAGTGACTACCACTATGGGCCAGAGAGCGCTGATATGACGAAGAGTGAGGCTGTAGAAGTTACGGATGAAGATATTGAACGAGAGCTAGAAGCTATTCGAGAACTTGAAGCAAAGAAACGGCGTCTCGAATCCAGAGTAACGGGGATGGAGAGGGACTTGGGAGGGCTACTACGCTGAACTGGCCCGTTAGGGTGAACGGTTGAATTAACTGGGTATTAACTACAGTTTGATGGCGGTAGCTGCCGCCACCTCGTCCAATGCTTATTCTAGGTGGTCTCTCTGCTATCTTTGCAGCGGATAAAGGCACAAACTCAGGCATAGGCCAGCCTATACCTAGCTCGTTATGCTAGGCAGGGATCATAGTCAGGTTCTTTTATACCAGGGCCTGCCAGATTGAGATATACTCGAGGGCTATACCGGAGGCTAGCCGACAAACACAAGCGCTCTCATAAGCGGACTGGAGATAACCGTGATGCCGTCCTATCTAGGGAGCTGGAATATATGCACCACGCATTTGTATAAAGATAACCTTACTATAGATGGACGATGTGGCAGTTTCTATACGTAGATAAAGCGAACTAATAAACGTAGCTAACGTCAAAACGTTTCAAAAACTTTTATTCTGGTCATGGCTATCTTTATTCCCTAAATATTGGCATCATCAATGTTCATTTTTCTAATTTTGTAGCTGGAATCACACCGTGAGGCAGCAGGTGTGAGAAGTCATCAAAAAAAGGGGGCCATTTGGGTATGAAGAAAAAGTTAGAAGCAGCAAATTAAATGCTGGCTTATGGCATCATGACAATTAGTAGTAACAGCGATACATAGTCTTGATACCTAGGAGAACCAGAAGAAAGGGCATAAAACAAGAAATCTGCTGTATCATTTTTTGAATAGTCGTCAGGTCAAGTGAATGTAATTCCGAGAAAGCCTTGTGAGAGGATGCTTTTTCTCTCTCCAGCTCCAATAACAGCACTCCATCTAGAGCTGGTTTTCACAGGCTCGCTAGGGAAGCCCGGATTAAAGCTAGATCGGGAGGCTATTCCAGTCTTCATACTTTGGAAGGTGAATCTGCCGAAAACGTCTAGGGTTTGACCCAAATGCTTGCTCTCAGGTTGATGGATTGCGGCTTCGAATTTGGTAATAGTAAGGTCGTTGCTCAATGTTAATTGCCCCTGACAAAGGCTATGAAAGGTCGAGGAGACTTTTGTGCAGGTTAGCTGGGTTGGAGGATCGGTGTATGAGAGAATTTCAGCGTATAGCTCGGTTGGGAAGATCCCTTGGTTGAAATTCGAGAGCTTGGCGTCGGCCTCTGTGCCGAAGATGGCCTGAAGGGCAGCAAACCCTGGGTGTGTCTGTTGGGGTAAGTCTGTACCATCAGTGGGAAAAGCTACACTTGAAGGCCCGGCAGCCCCACGTTTGGGTCCGAGGGTGATAGGCATAACTTTTGTGGGCTTTACTGATTTCATTTCACCTTCCACGGATACCTTCACAATGATGACGGACTTAATTGAGAAGACCACAATTTCAAAATCTTTCTTTCCCCCCAAAAGGCCAAATTCCACTGCCTTCGCTATGGCAGCATCTGTGTCCTTCTCAAGTGTAGCGGGAGGCACAAGACTGATAAGAATGTCCTGAAAATAGTACATACTCTCAGAAGGAGCAGATCCGGGTTCATTGTTTGGGGTATGGCATCCTCGGCCAAGGATTGGGAATATGTCTGCTTTTCCGTCTGGGGATTTATTAACAAGAAAGCCACTTGAGCTTTCCACATTTTGGTAGTTACCAGATAAATCACCCAGGTTAATAAGGTAATATTCGCCTGCTGCAAGTGAGAGAATAGCAAATGCCAACTCTCGGAAAGCGAAGTCACCAGATCCCCATTGGGGAAGAAAGTCCCACATTTGTGAGGAGGAAGGGTATAGTAAGCACTCTAGCAACATCACCGCAACTATCCGACGTATATCAATACCGGGCACGTAAGTTATACGGTCCAGGCGAGAAGAGTTGTACCCCTCGTATGCCTCCTTATACTGATCGCGTTCAGCATCATCGGTGAAGTACTTGGGTGTAATAGGGGATAACGAGGCTTCCGGACAAATGGTGGTGGAATATTCCGTGCCCTCGAAAGCTTCCAGCCAGCGCTCCCGGGGAATGTTGCAAAGATCAAAAAAGATAGAGTTGTTTATGGAGAAGACCTCCTCGTCAAGGTCAATGATGTAAATCCATTCAATGAACAAGTCGTTCGACACCTCGCCACAGTGGGAGGGAAGTAGCTCAACATTATCGATGGATTCCCAAGGATACGCGTTTTTAGTGGGCGCAAGGATGGTTTGCACGCGTTCTTCCGTAATGCAGAGGAGTTTCTCGAGCTGCGCAGTGCGACTCTCATAAGTGGCACGCTGTTTCTCAAGCCACGCTACGCAAAAGACGTGTTTATATTAGTATCTGGATGTCCACCCATTTCGAAATCATGCCATAGCCCTCGGGAAATTTTCCTATAATCTATCAAGCGGTATGATAAACACATTTCTCCTCTCAGACTCGATGCCCTTACACTTATCAAACGCGTAAGGGCAAGGTGATGTCTGACAGGGCAAAATGGTGTTTACCCATTGTCTTGAGAGAATATGAGAGACCCCGAAGAACTTATAGCAAGGACATCAGCTGTAAATGATGAATTCTCACCTTTATACTCTGCTGGGTCGACAGGTATCCTAGAGACAATCTTCACACCGAAGTTCTCAGGATAGCTATCGTAGTGGTTGTAATACACCCAGTATCTGCCCTTATAGCGAACTATCTTGTATCCTCTAGTTCCCATCTTGACGCTGTGTCAGCTTGACGTGTTGAACTTGTAGCTGTTGGCCTAGCTGTCAATATTGCAGCTGCAGGAGACATGAAGAGTAGAAGACGCGGAGATGAAGTAGAAGAAGTAGAAGTAAAGACTGATGTTGTTTAAATAACAGCTGATGACGTAATAACATGCCAAGGCTTCGACCTGCTCGTCCCTTTTTTTTTCTGTTTCAACGTCAAGCGTAGAAACCAGCCGAGTTACGGTCGAAGACAACGCCTGATCTCGTCGATATATTCGCATATACATTTTTATACAGTTATACGGCAGCGCTATATAGGGGCGCGTCATTCGCACCAGGAGAGGAAACAAAAAAAGAAAAAGAGAAAGGGAGCTTGGGACGGGAGCGGACATGGAGAATTCATCGACGCCGTCCAACGCGGCGCATCAAGCCCAGCAGCCTCTTCAGCAGCAGCTGTCGAATCTGATCCGGACGGAGCAAGTTCAGAAACTGCCTCATCTTCCCGATTCGCAGAAGGCGATACACACGCAGGCCGTCCGGAATTGCTGGGAGGTGCTTCATTCACATCCACCCACGTCCAATGAATATGCGAAAGCGCAACAGAAACTCACGCAGCTGTCCACGCAGTTGATGAGGGGGATGAGGCTATACCAGCAAAACAGGACTCAGCAGGCCCAGCTCCAGCAGCAGGCGCAGGCTCAGGTTCAACAGCAGCAACAGCAGAAGCAGGCTCAGGCTCAGCAAGACCAACCGCCGCAGATAAATCGGGGTCCGGTCGGAGTCAACCCGGCACAGCAGAAGCCACAGAACTTTCAGCCTCTTTACCCTCAGATCCAGGCCAAGGTCAACAGCCTGACATTCATCCTCCCGCTATCAATAAACAAGGACCAGGCGGAAAGCTGGTTACAGGAGGCGAAGAGCCGATACGGAGCGGCTCTACAAAAGCAAGAGCTAGGGAAAGTGAAACTGGCTGAAGTGCGACAGGCGTATCAACAGCGTCAAGGTGCTGGCAACCTCACCGCTGAAGAGATACAGGACTTTAAGACGAGACAGTTATATGCTGATAAATTATATAAAGAAGGAAATGAATTCCTTGTCAAATTCAAGGAGCAACAAGAGAACTTCCGGCTCCAGCACCAGCAGGCTGCTGCTGCGGGCCAGCAAACAGCTCAAGGAACACAGGCTCAAGCTTCTGGTGTTGGAGACCAGCAAATCGTCAGTCAGGCAGTTGTTCAGCAGCCCGTTCCAGCCACTTCTGGAACACCTGCACCCCACACTATAAACTCAGCCGTTGTCGCAGCGCGTCAGGGACAGGTCCAGCTTCCTGGATCAGGAGTAACACTTCCTCAGGGTCAACAACAAACACAACAAGGGCAACAACAGTCAGCCCAGCAGCAAGGGCAAATACCAGGTATCAAGCAGCAGCTTCCAGAGAGCGCCGGTGCAGCTACCATCTCCCAAGGCCCTCCACGCGCACTCTCGCAGCAAGGTGCAGTGAATCAAGCTCGCAGCAGCTACGACCTAAATTCAAACATGCCTCAAGGTAATCAGACACCCACCCACGCCCACCCTCAAGCCTATATCGGCGACCGCAACATGGATACACGAAAGATCAACATGGCTATCCCCAAGAACTTAAACGTTTCTACCACCCCTGAGCCGGTCAGCATGGGTGCAGCCCGGCCTACCCTCACCACCGGAGCCAGCCACGGATCCATGGGGATGATGGGACAGCCCGCGATCCAGAAACACCCTGGCTACGTGTTAGAGGGAGAAGGACAGCGCGTACTCAGCAAGAAGAAACTTGATGACCTTGTCAGACAGGTTACCGGAGGCGGCGAGGGAGAAAAACTTACTCCTGACGCTGAAGAGGTAATGAATCTTCTTTCCTTTCTTTTTCCGCCTTCTTTTATCGAGATCTAACGTATAATATATAGTTTGTTCTCCAGATGGCCGACGACTTCGTTGACGACGTAATCACCGCTGCCTGTCGCCTTGCAAAACTCCGCCCGTCTTCTACTCTCGACATCCGTGACATCCAACTCGTCCTAGAACGCAACTACAACATGCGCATCCCAGGCTTCTCGTCAGATGATCTCCGTACTGTCAAGAAGCCCCATCCTACTCAGGGCTGGATCCAGAAGATGACCGCGGTCCAGGCTGCCAAGGTGACCCAAGGCCGCTCCGAGTAGGCAGACAAAGCCGCACCAACGCTCTTTACGACATGAACGCTCTCTTTTCTCACTTTACTTTCTGTCCTCGGTTTTCTTGTACTGGAAGTTGGGGGGTGAACGGTCTTTCCTATCTTTTTCTCTTATCTCTATCTTTCTACTTGGGAGGTCTACCGGGTTGGGAGCTACGTAGGTTGTCCATCGGCTGGCAGGGTTTCTTGTTTCATTCATTCTCAAGGGGAAAAGGGGAAAAGACAGGTCATCAAGGAGTCCATGTACCATATAATCCTAGTTTTATCAGAACAACAGCTACCATCGGGATGATTCCACAGCCCCAGCCACCGCTCCCGCATCGCCTGACCCAACGTCCTCACGCTCTTAGAGATCAGAAAGAATAGGAGAGAAGAGAAAAGAAAAAAGGACCTTGGTGCCTAGCTGGTCTTGTGATGCTTGTGTTCTTATGTTTATCCATAGATGTATAATAATGCAGCAACATCGCATCAGATGAGCGCCGTCAGCTGGAAGAAAGGCCATTACGAAGTCCTCATCGAGGCCAAGATGTCTCTCATGTCTTCCTTTCTATATATTCCCTGTCTAGCTCATCCTCTTTGCCGCTCAGCCTTACCAGCTTCTCTCGTATACTTGATGCATCTGCATGCGATCTGCATCCTAGCTTCGGGTTTCTTCCTTTCGACCTGATACTTGTTTAAATATCCATAAAGATGACCTGAGGTTGGCCTCTAAGTTGCATTATACGACAGCATTTTCTTTCTTTTAGCCTTATTATTTGCCTTGCGTTGTTGTTTTGTATCTATTTTCGAAAGACGTATAGATAGGCTAGGATGAGCAACCCGGCGGCTCGTCCGGCGATGCCTTCGGTTGAACATCGTCGAAGCAGATCTCAGATTCCTCGCCTGGAGACAGGAGAAGATGCCCTCCCGCCGTCGACAAGGCCAGGTAAAGCAGATCCCTTTTCCTCATGGCTGTCGAGGCTCTGAAGCCTAGGGGAGCTTCGTTTGTTTATTTACTACCGGCATAGACGGGCTAACCAGCAGCTGCAGAGCAGTTAACTCCCTCGACACGACTGGCGGAACAGCTACCAACTACTGGACAGCCCAGAAGTAAGCCTCCTTGGTGACGCCAACGTGGCTTTTGGCCAGCTATAACTATCCGATTGGACGGGAAACGCGAGCTGAATGTGTTGACATTTGTTTTGTATCTGCAGAACGACACTCACGACGACATGACCTGGGGCCAAAATGGCATAAGGATTACTCGGAAATCGATCGAAACTGCGGACGAGTCTTGATTATCGATTTTGTGAAGCAAGGTAGGCTACAATCCAAGGTATATCTAAAACACGGGCACTGATTAGACTGGCAGAGGCAAGCAAAACCCGGATGCGCAAAGTTAGCGCAGAAGAGATCTTTGATATCCAAGCCCTCCGGAAGGTGTACAACAACCCCGATCGAACCAACGAGGCCGTCCTGCGTGTGTTCCATGTTCAAAACGCCGATTGGGCTACCGAGTATCTGCTGAGGAAGTTCAACATCGACAACCGGGATGGTCTGGTCGGCAACGACTTTGGGAAGTATGTCCGGCATAAAAACCCAGAGAGACGAGGCGGACGGCCGTTTTTGAACGGCAAGACGTGGAAAGTTCAGTATGATCCGTGGCGAGGAATTAGCAAGACTTCGTTCGGGTTGGACTATCTGAAGCAGTATAACAAGTCTGCGCATCTTACCGGACATCATCGACGAAGCGCCGAAGATGATACCCTCAAAATGATGGAGCTGGATTCTTTTGGCGATGAAGGTAGACAGCACCCTCTTTGTTACATATGAATATTGTTTCTTTTCATGAGCTTATTCCTATACATACAGACAACCCAGCACATGGCTACGACGTGTACGTCCAACGCCTCAGCTGTTATGTTCAGCACAAGCAGACCCCAGGTACAATCTCACTGCCAATGGAGGACTCGGACATCAAGAATCCGTATCATATCGAGGATAATCAGGCAGGGGACTCGCCGGAAAAACGCAAAGATGTATATATTCCGCGTTTAAACACTCTCGACAACGGCAACGCCATCCTGATTTTCGACAACTCCCACACCGGATGTCTAGATGACACCCTCATCCCACCGCGCCAGACATGGGAGGAAAGATGGAGACGGCTTCCATTCTTCCTTGCCTTTGAGTCAAAGGATCTAGTTGAGAGTGATGAGCAGCTTGCTTACCATAGTACAAGAATCATCCTGGATGACATCTTCAAGGTCTTGACCGCAAACTGGGACTCGTTCCTAAACCTGGCCATGGACCACGTCAGTATGTTAGAGGACAAGATATACGAAAGGCCGGCAGATGAAACCCGCGCTCCGTTGTTATGGACCAATTCAAGTCTATGGCTCAAGGTTGAAAAGCTGCTGTTCATTCACCTCGACATCGTGAAGGAGATGATTACGCGATTGCAAGACCTGACTGGTTTGTTGACCTTCTCGGTTACAGATATGCTTTTATAAGTATGCATGGCTAACCTGAAGCGTGTAGATGATGTAGAGTCCGACGATACCTGGCTGGAGAGCTTACCCGGTGATTTTGAGAGGCTGGGTACCACCATTACAGAAGACTTGATAAAGCCGACTGAGAATCTGATTTCCTTACTGTACCAGTCAGTCTCGATCAGAGACAGTCGGCATAGCATTCAGTTAAACGTCAGCAGTAAGTGAAAAAAGCGAGCACACCTACCTGAAACGAAAGGCTTGCTAAGTAGCTAAACACAGTGTGGCGTCTGAGCTGGATCACCTTCATCTTCCTCCCAATGACCTTTATCACTGGATTTTTCGGCATGAACGTCGACACCTTCAAGGACGACCCTAGTATAAAATGGTACTTCATCGCTACCGTGCCGTTTATGCTCATAGTCCTTATCCTTTGGTACATTATAAAACATTACCTTGCAGGTCGACGCCAAACTCCACATCAACGAGGTATATATGAAAACTTCTTTAACGAGATGGCGAATGAAAACCCATCGCTCTGGTCCCGGATGGGGCCGCGTGATTATGTTGTTCCTGATGGTATTCTGGCGCGATTGAAATGGCGTTTCATCAAGACATGGAGTGCGCCGGAACGTACAATCTTGATGGACACAGACGGCAGCGACGGATCAGGCGGTGATATGGGAACTATGTTCAAAATAAAGCAATACCTAATCCGTCGGTGGACTTCACAGCTTCGGAATAATAGAGCAGTCAAGGCAACAGCACTTGAGGATGGACTAATCGTACCTGAGGATGAGACTGCGAGTGATACTCACAGTGTGGTCACTGAGGGACTAGCAGGAGCCACAGAACTGCTTGTAGTCCCGGCCACGCCCGCTGTCGAGGCTCGAATAGCGCCGATGCTACCAGAGATGGCGACCCATGATCCATCCCAGACGACAAAGGCTGAAGAACGCCTCGGGCCTATAACTCCTGGCTCAGCGTTGTCGCTGATGAGCAGTATGCATCGCCGAAGCAGCAGTGCCGGAAGAGCCAGCAATCTTCTTGTTGAAGAGGAAGATTATCAGTGGCTGAGCGAGCGAGGCAAGCAAGGGAAACAGTGGGCATGGAGGACATCGAGTTCAAGGGATAGAAGTGCTCACAGGAGCCCTCACCGGCACAGTCGAAGTCGAAGCCGTAACCGGGAGCCGGATGATAAGGAGAAAGACACTGAGCACAGCGATAGTTCTACTCCTCCTGTCAATGCTGCTACTGAGACGGGGCCGGAAGATGACAACGACGAGCTCCCAAAGGTGGTGGTAGCTTAACCGGCGCCAGCCGATGTACTTGCTTGATGAGTATCTATGCTTGATGATTTTAAAGCGTTCGGGGATGTACAACGATAGATATGATACCCCTTTTTAGATTTTTTATACTTGCAATGTGTCAATTTATGCAGCACATACTGTCTCTCATTCTGAACATTTCGCCAACGTTTCATCTTCCTATACCCCTTCTCGCTATCCTAATTCCCCTCCTACGGCACAACCTTGAAAGCAAAACAGCCTGGCCCCGTGAAATGCACATGCACATATTCCACCTCCAGCTCCTTATCTCCAAACACTTCGCCCTCAAGAGTTTCCATCAGCTTTGTTCCCTCGAGCACCTTGTACCAGACCATCATATTTCCTGCATCATATGCCCTGACGTTGAGCAAGCGAGAGTGGTATTTCTCCGGAAGGCCCAGCGTGTTATCCTCACTCCCATCATACAGAGTACAGTCGTTCGCATGGACGAATATCGGGCCGAGGCCGCTGTACGGCGTATCTTGATTTTCAGGAAGAAACGGGTTATATGAGATGAGCAAGACGTCTTCGTTTAGGGAAGCGTCCTTGAGACAGCGACGACATGGGGCACCGTCGAACGATGGAGTTATAGTTGACCGGATGGTGGTGGGCTGGTCAATGTCCACCGGGGTAGGGAGAGGAATGATCTTCATCTTGTTTGGCTGGAGAGATGATTTGGATGGCCTTGATGCGTGAGATATCTTGAATAGTCTGGAAGAATGGAGAGCGAGAGGCTCATATATATAATACATGTATCCATTTTCATCTTGCTGCTAATGTAGTCAATCACAATCAAATACTTATACATGCCGTACGAAGCCGTGTTGTTGCTCTCAATGTAATCAATTAGATTATCTCTCCATCACTCTATGGTATCAATACGTACCTCTGTCTATACGGGCTACTTATTTGCTACTAAATTAATACGAATTACGGGTCGGTTCCTAGTGTCGGATCCCTTGCGCACCACTTGAGTAAATGTAGGCACCACAGTTTTCGACTTCCGGCTCGAACACAGCGTGCTGCATGGCCAACGTAGAGGTGCTAGCTGTTTTAATAATTGCTTCTGGTTCGCTGGCAGCCTACGTTAGTAGTGCTGAGCTAGATATATATATACTTGGGCGTAAAGTGGAATCTCAACACGAAAGGATTCCGCTCCTCTTCCCTATCTTTTTATCCCTACCGTCTTCTGTTTGATCAAGAGTGACCGATCGTTTCGCAGGGTTTCTATTTCTTATCACAGGGGCAATCAGCCTGGAGCGGTGAAAATCAATTATCAACGCTCGCCCCAACTCTGCATTCCATAGTATATTGTTTGGCTTCAAATCCTGATGGTCTACTCCCATGGCGCGGATCTCCTTCTTCGATCGTGAAATCTCATCGTCTAACTGCTGGGAACCCTCTATTTTACTGGTGTCCTCTCCACCCCAGCCCATAAGCAGCATGTGTTTGATAGCTCCTGCGCCATGGAGGTAGTATATCATTTTTAGGTCGATACAACCAAGGAACACAGGAACTGCAGAACCCTGGGCCCGGCGAAGGAAGCGATAGACCACTGCTTCGCGTCGCACCTCATTCCATCGACGAGACGTTGTGCCCTTTCCGACTACTGTATAGCCATACTGGTAACAGGTGATCTTAAACGGCGCACCGTACGAGCCACAGTTGCCAAATGGTGAGCAGTTTTGGTCCAGAGTCTTATCTAACTGCTTCTTAATTAAGCTCACAAGATGGTTCGTATCAATAGGATGCTTATCGCGGTTATCTGTTCTGTGACTCTCCACATTTGGACAATTTTCATCTAGGTAGTCTCCCTGCTGAAGACCAAGCAAACATTTCTGCGTACAAAATGGCGCAGTATGCTGTCTAGGGCCTCCTCGACTTCCCCCGTTACCCCTTTGGCGCGATAGCCTTTGGTTGGGTGGCAACGATGTGAGCTCACTTAAGTTCCGTTTCCGCCCACGAGCCTCTTGCTGTGAGTCGGGGTCAGAGTCGGAGTCTATAGACCCTGAAGGATGCGTAGTTGTGCTTTGAGGTGCGCAGCTAGCCCGGGATCGAGTGACGGGTTGGTGGCTATCTATGGGAGAGCTTGAAGGAGGAGATGATGGCACATATTCCGAGCCTGGGGGAGTTTTACGGAGCTCTGTTTCTGGTATCTGCGCTCTTTCGTAGTCAAGATCTGTTTGCCAGGTTTTTACTCGTTCCCTCGCATAGTCTCTCCAAGCTTGGTCTCGGTAGTCTGAAAGGCAGCTCATTAGACAGAGGCAGAGCACCCGGGTAATAGCAGTATTTGGTTGTAAAATCCGTACGTTCGTAGGTTCAACATCTAAGTTAGGCTCACAGTGAAAGTAATAGAGTACTTCAGGTTCGTTACGATCCACGTAAAGTAGAACATAGGCTAACCCATTAGTAATATATGAGTATTCTAGTCCTTCATTGATCATAACATCGAATTCCTGAACCAAAACGGATGCCGATATCTGTTCTGCAATGCATTTTAGCTTTGCATTTTCTTCCTTTGGCATTGGGCCTCGCTGGACTACTTCTTCCCAAAGATTCATAGGCCGGAGACCAGAGCGGAGATACTCTACTGGTAGCTTGTGAGGTGGCTTATACTCGACAGTAGTAAGCAGTGTAGAGACGCCATCATCTGATCGATGAATGCAGAACTGATCTGGTATAGAGCGCCGTGGGTATTGTAAGCTTGTATCCTCATCCTCTTCAATAATATTCGTATGATTTTCAAACGCAACTCCCTCTCCAAGAGAAAACTCAGCTCGGGCTTCTGGCCTCTTGCATAGCTCCGTAATTATATCCTGGACGTGCTGTTCTACTGCAATTCGCTCGTAAAACCCTAGATCCAACTCACTACTTAATGGCCGGCTGCATCTCCGTCCAATACCCTCGAGTTCAATCCTAGGGCAAAATAGTCTATCAGTTGGCTGGAAATAGCTGCGGACGCGGTGATAAAATCTATCCTGGATATCTGAGCAGTCTAACCAAGGCCGAAGGTAGACTGGGCAGAATTTCCCAGTTGGCTTAGGAATCGATCCCTTTGTGGAGAAGGCTGGCGCTTGAACCCTGAGAGTCAGGGAGAGCAGGTTATGGCATGATCGAATCAGCTCGTCGAATGTCGTTGGCTGGTTGCGCTCCTCCGCCTGTCGTTGTCGCCCCTCTGCTTCTTGCTGCCGCTCCTCTGCTTCTTGTTGCCGCTCCTCTGCTTCTTGCTGCCGCTCCTCTGCTTCTTGCTGCCGCTCCTCTGCTTCTTGCTGCCGCCCCTCTGCTTCTTGCTGTCGCTTTTCCGCCTGTTCTCGCCGTCTCTCTTCCTGTAGAAAGAGAGCCTTGTAGTCTATGGCATCTTCAGAGGCCATTGTCTTCGCCCCGCAGAGCCGGAATCGTGCTGGGAAGATGACCCAAAGTCACCCTCGATGTGATAAACACGATATAAAAGGAAGTCCGAGCGTTGCTGCCTTTCGGATAATTGTTAAAGCGAAGCGAGAAGGTCTAGTCACGTGGACACCCAGTTTGGAGGCTGGAGAATAAGGACGAATTATCAGTCTACGAAGAAAAAGTATGAAAGCCACGAAATATAATCCCATTCCTATCATAGCATAAGAGCAGAGAAATAATAAAAGCTTACATGAGACAGCGTTCTCCGTTCATCTGGCTGGCTGAGAAGCGGCCTTTGCCGTCCCAGTGAGGGATTAGATCAAATAGAGACGCACGCGAGGAGAGTATGAAAGCGAGATAACTAAGTGCGAGCAGATAATAAAAAGTACTATCCCGTAATACCAGACAGGTCATGGCTCATCTTCATTCTTTTGAACAGGTAGCGGTGACCGAACTGTAGTATCTACGACGTCTTCATCGTACGTCATGCCATCCAACATCTGCGCCTCAGCCCGTGTGGCCGGGGTATGTGGTCCAGTGGGTGACTGTGGTGGTTGCTGAGACTGGTGCTGGTATGTGATTGGGTGGGAAAAGCGGCTTGAGGTAGGACTGGAGGCCGCTACTGCGGTGGTACTGACGCCCGTCATAGACGAGGACTGCCTGATTAATCCGGCTGCAGCTGAGCGTTGCACGGCAGTGGATATTGGCCCGGAGACGGTGCTGTTTGCTCCCTCGCCGAAGCCAACAAGACTTGCATTTCCTTCGTCACTAAAGGCGTCTGTTGAGCGTGCATCGGCATCGTCTGCATCGATGTCTTCTGCGCCAATGGGTTCATCGTGCCCGAAGACGTCGTCGCTCCCGCTGGCCCAGGTGGTGCGTGTGAGCCCACCAAGGCTGCCACGGCTTATACTTTCCGTCGCGCTGGCGCTGCCGACTGTACTACGCTCCTTGAGCATGTGAGGGTGGGTATCAAAGTATTCCTGTCCGTGCGAGAGTCCGCTGGACTGGTGTAGCTGAAGAGGGTTACCACTACCTGGTGCTGTGCGGGCAGAGAGGCGTTCAAGGCCAGCAAGTCGCGAGATACGGTCTGCGCGCTCTGCATCGAGGGTGGTGGTGGAGGTTTCAGACGCACTGGAAGAGGACCGGTGCGGTCTGTGGGTGTGGGGCCGTCGAGCTCCCTGGTGGCCATCCTTGATGGCTACGGTAGACAGCGCAGAGAGGGAGGTTGTCCCAGAGTTGGGAGTGCTCCTGTATCCATGGTCAGAGGGACGGTTTTACCTCATCTGCATGAGCTGATGGAAGAGGGAGACTTACGGGCCCATGTCAGAGGGGGTGACGGGGTCGGAGGGAGGCGGAGGAAGGTTGATGAGCGTCGGTGTAGTCATTTTTGAAGCAATAGTGGTAGCGGAGCTGTTTACCTGTGTAGAGAAGAGGCTGTTTCGGGGTCAGTATATCTATCCAGGCGTTAGCAAGGCACATCCATATACAACGAGAAGTCACCCACCAGAGACGTGAATAAGACACAAGCAGCAGTAGCAGTATCAGTCAGTACAAACGAGTATATATCACTAGATGAAGCCGTCGGGAGTTTTCTACCGGCTGTCTTTGATGGCGGTTCTCCTTGTTCTTGTTCCTGAAACGGAAGAAGAAGATAGAAAAAGAAGGACGTCATCGAAAGGAGATAAGCTTATGTAAGCATGCCTCTCATAGGCCGTTTGATAGGCGCTCACTACTTATATATATGCAAACAGTCTATCTCTACGAATAATTCTTAGTCTTTAAGTAGGCTTATAATATATGTAAGTCTATTTATTCTGTTAGAGAGATTATATCTTTCCTGCCGAAAGCCCATAGGATGTCTAAGAAACTAATCTGTGAGATAGGGGAGAAGAGGGCCAGGCAGACTGAGACCAGAAGGCCATTCGTAAGAATTGCAGTGCTAGTATTACTTTCTCCTTGTAATCAGCATTCTGCAATCTCTCTCCGCATTTGCAGGAAAGGAGGCAATGAAGCACTTGGCGGGGAGGAGCTGCGGTTCGCCGTTGGCTCCCAGGTTCTCAGGGCAAAAGGGGCTGCCGGGAGCGAGAGTGATATCGTAGTCCTTGAGGACGTTGGCGACAATGGTAAGCATTTCGACCCAAGCCAAGTTGCGACCGATGCAGTTGCGCGGGCCATAGGAGAAGGTGAAGAGATTCTTCTTAGCCTCGTCGTTATTGATGAATCTCTCGGGCTCAAAACGCTCAGGTTTATTCCAGATATCTTCACTCATATTGACCGATCGAAGGTTGACGTAGATTTCGACGCCAGGAGGGATATAGTGGCCCTGGATGTCGATGCCGCGGGCCTGGGAGATTCTAGGCGTGACGCCTGCGGTTGTGGGGGACACACGAAGTGCTTCGTAGACGACGGCCTCGATGAAAGGTAGCTTGGAGAGAACTTCACGGTGCAGGATCAAGTGGTCGGAGTCAAATGCGGAGCGGACCTCGTCAACCGCCTTCTTCAGCTTGTTAGGGTGAAGGAGGAGCAGATGGAACACCCACATGATGGCGCTGGACGTGGTCTCACTGCCTGCCAACATCATCATGATGCACTCTGCCTGGATCTCGGGAGGCGACATCTTGACCTTGGAGTCGGGATCTTCAGCCTCGATGAATGCCTGTAGCATATCGGCAGGAGCCTCGGCTCCGGTCTTGAGAAGATCCTTTCTGGTTGAGACTGCGTCTTTGCTATAGTCGGCCAGCTCCCGGTACATGGACTTCCACGGGCGCATGATGAGCGAGAACGGCAGAAGCGAAAGGAGAGCCAAGATTGCGGTGTAATCAAGCAGGTCCATGATGATGGCAGACCACTTTGTGACCGAAGAGCTGCCGTGGCCAATTGTGTCGGGATCACGGCCAAACGCAAGAGCGCTCATGATATCAAAGGTGACCAGCTGAGTGTCGATTCGGTAGTTAACCTCGGTCGGCTTCCCCTTGTTCTCGTCAATGAGTCTGTCCCATTTGGATTGAATGGCCTGGAAGCCGTGTCGCTGGATGACAGGCTCCATCTTGTTGAGGTAGGCATAGTTGAGGTACGGGCCAATCTGCCGTCGTCGCTTGCCTGCGAGAACGGGATCCCTCTGAGACACGATGTTCTTGATCGATCCGTCATCAAAGACGTCGAAGAAGTCGGCCTTGCGGAAGTCCTGCGATCCAAGAATGGCGCGCACGTCGGCGGGGTTATTCACACAGACGGCATTGGGCTTGAAGACATAGATGTCGCCGTACTTTTCGCGGTCCTTTTGCACCTGCGTGGCAACCTGGCCGGAGAAGTTGTTGACATGGCCTCTCTTGGACGTGAGCCTGGCAACCAGAGGGCCCGGAACCTTCGCCAACGGCGACAAGAACGCATGAAGCAGCCTGTAGGCAAAGAAGGCAGCAAGACCAGTGGCTAGAATTGGCACAAAGCGCAGCTCCCTCATCAGATGTCCGTCCATATTGTGAGATGCCGTTGTTTGAGCGCAGAGACGAGCGTCTTGCCCGTCTCGTTAGATAAACCTGGTGGAACGGACATAGTTCTGCTGTGCATGCGTCTGCTATGTAAGTGACATGCGAATCCTGGCTCGAATTCTGTCCTAGGTACGGATACGAGTAAACCCTGTGCTGGAGATCCACAGCCTAGCGCTTATGCCTACTCTATCCCTGCAAACTTTGCGGCTGCGGTGTGGCAGGGCGTGTCTGCATTGCATATACGCATGTACGGAGTACTCATTCTGACGACGTGTTTGTTGGAGACGCAGATTATGGCAAAGTTGAGAAAATGCAATGTGATTTTATTGTTCAGCTCTCCTGCCAACTACAATGAGACAATCTCTTTCGGGGTACTTGGGGGTGGTGAAGAGTGTGCTCTTGGTGGGCATGATGCGTGGCCTGCCCATCTCGTCTACATTGTGCGGACCACACACGCTGCCGCTGGGAAGAGAGATATCGTAATCCTTGAGAATGTTGGCCAGGATGACCATCATCTCCACCCAGGCCAGATTTCTACCGATGCAGTTTCTGTGTCCGTAGGAAAAGGCAAAGACGTTGCGCTTAGCCTCATCGTTGTCGAGGAAGCGGGTCGGGTCATACAGGTAGGGCTTGTCCCAGACGTCCTTGTTGGCGTGGGCTCCGATCATGTTGATGGCAATCTCTGTGCCGGGCGGGATGTAGTGGCCTTGGATGACGATGCCGTTCGTGGGGTTGACGCGGGGCATGAAGCCTGAGGTGATGGGCGAGTAGCGGAGTGTCTCATAGATACACGCAGTCAAGAACGGAAGCTTCTTGTTGCAGTCGTCAAACCCGACAAGATGGTCACGATCGAACTGGCTGCGGACCTCCTCCACCGCGCGAGCAAAGAACTCGGGGTAGAGCGTGAGCAGGTGCAGCACCCACGACACCACAAACGATGTAGACTCGCTGCCGGCCAGCTGCATGGCAATGCTCTCAGTGCTGACTTCGTGGGGCGTCATCCTTGCTCTCTCAGATTCAGGATCCTCCGCATCCAAGAACGCCTGAAGAAGATCGACGGGCTTGGGGTCCGCCGTACCGTCATCCAGAGCCGCACGGCGCTGCTCGACGGACTTCTCAGCGTACGAGACGAAGCGTTCGTACGCATCCTTCTTCTTCCTGATGAGACGGGAGAACGGGTACCAGTTGAGGAGGGGAAAGTTCTTGGTCATGCCGAGGTAGAATCCCGTTGCCTCGATCCAGCGGATGATGGTCGGGTCGTTCGTTTCCAGCGCGCGGAACTCTCGACCAAAGGCGAGGATGCCGACCGTGTCGAAGGTGGCATACTGCGTATCGTTGCGGAAGTTGACGGTGATGGTCTTGCCGTCTGCCTCTTCCAGCTGCGCATCCCATTTCTTCTTGATTGCAACGATGCTGTACTGTAGAATCAACGGCTCCATGCGGCCCAGGTAGCCGTGGTTCATGTAGGGTCCGATCTGGCGACGGCGCTGGCTGGCCTGCGCAGGGACGCGCGTGGTGAAGATGCTGGCCCGGCCCTTGATGTCGAGCATCCGGTACACATCCGTCTTGACGAACTCGTACGAGGTCAGGACGGTCTTGATGTCCTTGGGGTTGCTGATACTGATGCCGTTGGGCTTGAGCACGTAGATGTCGCCGTAGCACTCGTAGTCCTCCTGCACCGACCTGGCGCCCTGGGCGAGCACGCGCTTCAGGACAGAGTGAGAGGCGAACAGGCGCGACCATATCGAGCCCGGGATATGGCGTAGAGGGGAGAAGAAGAGCTGGTAGACAAGGCGGTAGCCCAGCAGGAGTACGACCGCCGTGCAGGCTGTGGACATATAGCCGTAGCCACGCACGACGTCGAGCAACGCCTTGATATCGATGGCTGCCGCGAGCATTGCTGTAGGAAGCGGACAAACAATCTCTGTGAGTCGGTCCACCAAGCCGCGAGCTGTTACCTGCCTATGCTAGGAATTGGACAGTGAATGCAACGCACCATGAAAGAATGCCGTGTAGAAAAACTACATAATAGTAGTATAGAGTGCTAAAAATAGTTAGAGTTAAAAGGTTAAAAAAGGTTAAAAAGGCTAAATAGACATACTAATCGCCCGTACTATGTAGAGTCACAGTCTTGGTCTTGAAGCCATCGTGATCTGCCGTGGCAAGGTCTTCGTTCATCTTTCCATGCCTAATACGGGCTCGTACGCGAATGTGATGAAACCTGGGACGGGAGGACTCTGGTCTGCATGCAACGCTGTATGCCGTGAGGACGCCCTTCCAAGGATCTGTCTTCTCATCGAGTCTAGCCGTCAGCTTATGCTTCTTAGTGCTGATATATGGAGGACATCCCGGTGGCAGCGGAGGTCGACGCTGCAGCGCTACGAGGCCATAGCCTGACTCCCGCACCTGGATACGACCGCAGGCCAAGTCTAGAGCGTCGAACGTCTCACGGGGAACGAACAGTGCTGCCGGCATGCGCTCAGTGAGGGCTGGCGCTGACGGATGCCAGCCGTGGCTGTCACTGCCGGTTGAGCTGTGAGGAGGTGTATATTGGATGGACTCGAGCGGCCGTACAGTCCGTCTTGAACGTCGTTCTGGACATCATTCTACTCTCTATGAGAATCAAGTCGATATACCAAGATCATGCCTGTTGCCGACATCGAGATGGTCACTGGCTCTGCCGGCCACGTCGATAGCAAGGCCGCGTCTGAATACAGCACCGACCTCAGGAGATGGCGTCTCAGGGTGCACGAGGGCCGCCATAAGTGGGAGTATGTCGACGAAGACGCTGCCCAAACGCAGCAGCAGACCTTCGCGGAGAACTACTGGCTGGGCCAGGAGTACGAGCTCCCCAAGATGAGCA